TAAGTGATCCTGCTTGGTCCCATACCTTATCCTAGGCCACATAATTCGTGGCTCATACATGTGTGGGATCCCCAGGTATTGAAGGATGTTTAAGATCTTTGATTGGCTCTTTGTACCAAGGACACTACGGTGGTCCTTTAAGCTCAACTAAATACAAATGCGTGAACACGTAGCAGATCCGTTTGCGGAGTGTTCACCAACAAACGAGAGACGCGAGGAAGATCAATGTTAATTATCTTGGCTGGAGAAGGTTTGGGATAATGGGGGATATGTTTTGTAGAATTTGAAATGGGGGTCGCATGACAGACGGTCGCTTGAATCAATGGTTATGGAGTGTGTGCCAGGTAGATAGAAGTAGCATATGTAGTGCTAAAGCAGAACTCTGGCCTCTCGATCAGTGAAAGACATCACTTCGAGGACTTGTGGCATTTTTGATGTTGGGCTACCTTATTTGTTGAACGCAGCAGAACTATGATGAATCTTGAAAACACTGTGAAGAAGCCGATGGATAGGCTACTATTTGGGACATGAAGACTGAAGCCTAGCTTATATTTTCGTCGCGTTTTTGCTTGAACGATGGAAACCATGACATTTATTATGTTCAGTGATTTGATTTCATCTCGACTGAGAAGATAGAGCAGTTTGGTGTTGCCCTTACTTTCCTTTAGACTTTACTTGTGAGCCGGAAGTCAGTGGCTTGATCATATTTCGCCTCGCTTTACCCATGATGTTTATGGTATTTCCCTCGCCTTTTCCCTACAGTAGTCGCTTGACCGTTAACGGGACGAAGTTTTTGTCAGCGCGTGCATCCTCAACATCATCTTCAGACAGTTTCTCAAGGAGAAAATATGATGCAGCTAGGGATGCGAGCGCATGCGGTAACTCTAAATGCCAACTCGGTGATACTCTCTAGCTTTATGCTTTCCTCATAAGTGAGATGGAAGGATAAGGTAAAGCAGAAGGCAAGTAGTAAGGGCGCCCGAATGTGAGGTCGAGATGAGTTTACGCACATTCTAAGTTGACCGGCTGCGATTTTGGAGATGGCGTCGCAGCACTTGAGACGAATCCGCTGCGTCTCTCATTGGGGATGAACGAAGAACCGGATCGAGGCGTTGAGATTAAGGCGATCGTAAGCACATCTTTTAGGCAGCACCTTTTAAATTTCGAACCTTTTCACGCTGTTAAGCGTTTGCGCTTCGGTGGTGATTATCTCAGCCTTTTTATAGTGTTCGACCTTGTCGAATCATAAAGGAAGCGCCGACTTCATTCAATAGATTGAGCCTCCTTTTCATACAAATTAATAGTGCGTCACCAGTCAATTCCTCAATCACAAGGAGTAGAGAAAGAGAGAGCTCCGAGTATGGATGGTATCGGTCTGAGCATTTACGTTTCGGTCAAAGCGAGAGGAAAGAGGAAGTATTTTGACAAGAGTGCGCGGACAGAGTGAGGGGGAAGCTTTTCTCACCCCAGCAGCGTTTGCTGTAGGAGGATGAAACTCTGTGCTTAGCTGGTGTTGAAATAAAGGCGGCTACCCTTTATATATTTTTCCGTGTGTATGTAATGCGTTATTGTTATTCACACATAGGCATAGTTGATAAATTGCCCAGCCCACACACACATACCCCTCTTACTCTGTTACTTACAGCCTCATATTATTCAGACAAGCGCCGGTACCTTTACTTAATAAAGAGAGGGTCGCGTGACTACTCACCTACAAAACCAAAATGAAACAAAGAAGAGCGGGTTCTTTCGCATACAAGATACGTGGTACGAAAAAGCAAGTAACTGCGAGCTTAAGCGATAAAAACACCAGGGAGTCAATATCCGTCGATTTTTCCAGGTTCTTCTTACTGGTACAGATTAATAAAAATTTGCCATAACTACTACGTACGTCCTCGCTTAGCTGCTAGAAATACAAAAAATATGTCGCTGGGTCCTGAGGATTATGAAGCTATGCAGCGAGAAAGCCAACTAGTGGCTGCGATGGCGCGGCTCCTACGCCACACACACTGTACGCAAATGGGGAACTTTGTCGACAAGCTTTCAACATTAAGTCTTCAAGTCAAAAGATGACGCACAGCTGTACGATGTACACTGAGAATGCTGATCTACATGCTTTGTAGTTGTTACATCAACTTTATGTTGGACATCTAGTGAACAACATGTGGAACATGTACTACTAGTATCATGAGTCGTCCCCCTAACATCATTTGAGACTTGTGTGACCTCTTTAACACATGTTGTGAATTCGCGACTAGGGGACGCCGACGCTGTGGAAGAGAAGCTAAGCGAAGGATCGACGAAGCTGGCACAGTCTCAGAAGACCCTCGTCACGGCATTGTGGGTTGCTGCAAACGAGGATACCGAAGACGATCATGCTGGGAATAGCAGTAAGAAGAAAGAGCAAGATGAAGGTGTAGGTGAATCATCGGTGAATCCAAATACAAAATCAGAGCGAGATCAAGCACCAAAGCAAAATAAAGTCGTAGGACATGACACTGACAGAATACTACCCGAAAGAGGAGACAACGTGGTACCGCAGAAAGAAGGTAGCGCGGCAGAGTGTCCTGCAAGAATAGCATCAAGTAGCTCATCGAACTCCAACGTCGAAGGGGCATCATCTTCTTCTGCCACAACGTCAGAACGGTCAGGACGACCAAGGATAAACTATGACGAGCTTGTGACCGCGCATTTGCTTGTCTTCTGCCACGAAATCTTGCCTCGCACTTTACTGGAACGCTATGGGCGTGACCTCCGTCGCACAGGGAACGTGGGCAGAACGGCCGACAAGGAAAACGAGCCAACGACTTCATCTGCATTTTTATGCCACGGAAAGTACTTAGATGAACTACAACATTAAAAGGTGTTTTTGCTCAATCTGTGGTGGATATAAAATATCAGACTTGCATTTACAATTCATTGCAACTAGAACTAGCGTGTTCCAGTACATTACAGTATGGGCGTTGTTGTACCAGTGCCCGAGTCCTTTTCCCTCTATCTGGTTCTAGTACCTTCTACCTTTTACTCATCGGGCAGCATCCTGGAAAATACGTGGGTCATACTAACTTTTTAGTATACAACCGCCCACCATAGCCCCCCCGTCACAACATTTCTAATTGTAATTTCTGCGACGGGCAGCTTCAATGGTAAGAAGCGCTTCCCCGCGAAGGCTTTCGCGGAAGTAGCTAATCGTCATGCACATGCGTTAGAGAAGATTTCACATGGTTGTTTTGAGCGCGTCTTGTCTCGCACGCCAACTCTAGGGAGACACTGCGAAGCACTGGTCTCCATGAACGTTGGGAAAGAAAAGGTGCTTGATCATCTTGAACTACTACATTTACTAGTTTTATCTACCAGGAGAGCGTCGATCTTTGCTCATCCTCTTGCTTAGGAACAAGTATTGGATTTGGTTACAAGAACATATGCTCCGAAGTAGGTCATCATCTACCTCTACCTGTACAACATCATCTTCAAACCCTCGCGGGATCCCAACATCTATTAAAGGTAGGTTAAAGGTGCTTCTCTTACCGCTTTTTATGCCTCTCCTAAGGGAGAAAGGCATAAAAAGCGGGGTAAGCAAGCACCAAAAACCTACCTCTAAATCTACCTGTACAACGTCTACCTGTACAACAACTCAACCTTGCCTCTACCGTCTCAGGATCTGAGCGAGGGACTGGCGACCGAGGCAGCGCAACGTGCAGCTTTCGAAGGGCGCATAGTGCACGCGCTGAGTATCTCCTGTGAGAATCTGCTATTCCGAATGGCCTACCAATGCCTAGAGCATCATGCGGACATTACCGACGACGTTTTCTGCACTTTGCTTCACTGACTTGTTGGGTCAAGAAGATATAGACCAAAACGGGACAGAAAGGCTGACGAATAATTAGAAGGCTGCATTTCGCCAGGAGCACGCAGGCTGAGTCCTCTGAAGCCTGATTTCTGAAGTTGGAGTACAGCTACAACATCAATCATCCCTCTCAAAAAAAGTACTCTACTTTACCATTTGACGAGAGTGTGTGCGTCTACTCCGAAGGGGAAAACAGGTGCTGACGATGTCTAGTGCTTTAGAAGAAGTGGGCGAGTGCAAATTTCCGATCGCAGGAAGAACTTTTCAAGGCGTCTGCTCCCACAGTTCTATTGTGGACGATAAGACCACCAAACTCTCTCCTGTTCTGCGAAAAATCCTACAACAAATCGCAAACTTGAACATTTTGGATGACCTTCAATAATTCTGTTTTCCCTTCATCTTATCAATACCAATATCTCTAGCGCATTATAACAAGCAAAATTGTAGTTTCCCCCGAAGTGTAGTTGTTTAATTATTACGTCGGTACAATCATCATCATCATCATCATCATCATCATCGTCGTGCTGTGCTCCATGAGGGTTGGATGAAAGTTACTTAATCTTCTGCATCACCTCCTCACCTTAGGTGTTTTGTCCTAACAACGAACATTAGACCTGTTTTTGACACGACCACGACGAAAGAAGATGACTCGTCCGCCACCTGCGCCACCCATCTGGCTCATCGATGGGACACTAGTGGCCAGACGTATGTTTGGATTGACAGGAGATCAAGTTAAGGAGGGGCTATACAGAAGATACTAAAAAGGTGGATAATTGTTCTTGACACATAATAATCGAGCACCCCGTAGTGAGGGGCCCCTACTCCTTGAATTAGCCCTCCACTAGATGAGAGCAATAACTACAAGAAGCTAGCAAACTACTTCATCTACGTAGAAAGATCTCGTCAAATATTAACAACCTGCTCTCCTTCATCTGCTCTTCTAAGCAGTGTCGTTTTGTACAGAATTTTTGCAAGAAGGTCTGGTCTTTGCGGTTGATGGCGGATACAGTTGGTGCGAAGCCAGTGGTTGTTTTCGATCGCGACGCTAACGTTTCATGGCGCAAAGAGTTTCAGCGAGAATACAAACACCGTCGCTCCTTCGCCGGTGAGAGGGACCAACAGGTTTCTTATTTCATAGAATTTGATTCATCGGGCAGTCGTGCTTCATACGCGTAGTATCGACGCGAATGTCTTCAACATGTAAGTATTATCCAAGTCACGACGCGGAGTCCGACTTTGCATATATCACCACAGTCTTCAAAGACATCACAATTATTATTGAACACATCAAAAACATCATAGAATGTATAATGAATATAAATATTATGATGGCAGGAGACAGGTATACGCGGCGAATCTGAATATAGTGAAGACACGTTTTTTGAAGCACACGGGAGTGCCGTTCATCGTCTCCGAAGGAGGCCTTGAAGGTGACGATGTACTGGCGAAGCTTGCGACACGCGCAGCCGCGGAACGGAGTGTTATAGAAGCAGAGATCCGAGCGAGGGCTCCTCCCCGACGTCGGCTGCAGCGAGCAGGAACAAGAGATGAAATGTCGGGACGAGAGAAGCAAGGAGATGATATAGTTAAGGCTATCTTGACGGGGGGAACTCGGAGGGAAGGAGATATAATTAAGGCTATCTTGACGGGGGGAACTCGGAGGGAGGGGTTGTCCAAATCTAGTGTTCTTACTTCAGCTCTTCAAGCGCTGCACTTTCCCTATTCATTCTCTTATTTCATTATAACTGCTAACAAACTAATGGTTGTTCCCCTTTTTAGGCGACCCCTCTTCCATTACCTCCCAGAACCAGAAGGAAGATCTAATATAAAAAATGCTGGAGACAAGATGAGCCTGAATACCAGTGCCGAGGTTCATTCCTGCGACGTTGTGACTACAGCACAAAATCATGATAGTGGTACTAGTGCCGGTGATGTTACACCGGCAGTCGCAGTTGGTAATAACTCGAGAGAGGGGCGGGCTGATAACTCTAGAGACGAGGGAGTCGCAGTTGGCGCGATGGCTGATAACTCTAGAGAAGGAGTAGAGCATGAGAAGGTACATGCGTCTTCGGATACTGCCGCTAGCGATTCGTCGCAGCATGCTCATGCCGTGGAAGAACCGACATTGAGTGCTGGTGCAACTCCTCACCCTAGATGTGTTGAGCCAACTACAGAGGAAGGTGCAAAAGAGAACCTCCACAGCAGCTATGCGAATAAACAGGAACACGACCAGGATACTACTAGAGCAGCATCTTCAAGTTCAGCATCATCTTCTATTTCACCTAGTGGTAGTACAAAAAGGATCATCAAAGACGATACAAGAACTATACTAGATTCAGAACAAGTGTCTCAGCCTCCGCCTACCGGTGCTCCTGACGCGTCAGCTCCTTCGTATCCTCGCGTTCTCCCTGAGAAGATAGATCCACAAAGGACAACGATCTTTACAACTGATAAGGACTTGTTCCAGCTGATCCCTTTCGGAGTGCAAATAGTGGATCCGTTTGACTTCTCTCTCACTTCGCCTCAGGTCGTGCGAGACAAGCTTGTTAAGGCTAGGCTTTAGGTGTTCTTGTTGCCGTTAGTTTAGCCTTTCTTAAGGGAGACAGTGACCACTTACTCTTACAATCCAGCAACAAGCTAGATTCGCGGGTAGAAATCGCCAGGGAAATCTTAGGCAGGCAGCCGACGAGTAGCTTCATCCTATCAAGTAGGGAGAGACGAGGCGCAACGCACTGAAATTTCAGAAGCTAAGACCAAGACAGAGCACACCTCTAAGCCTGGCGTCCCTCCCGAGCGCGTCGCTGAAGCACTCGCTCTTCTAGGCGATGCATGTGACTGCATCACTGGCGTCCATGGGTTGGGACCGAAACGCTTAGCAGAGATACTAGATCGCGTTCCGAGACATATGACGATCACGGAAATCTTAGACCTGTTTAAGCCTTGTGTCGCGGAAGAGAATAAAGTGCAGGTGGCAATGGCTGTGCCGACAGGTTCAAGAACCCCAGGAGAAACACCGACTAATACGACGTCGTTCCCTTTACCTACCTCATCATCAACGCTGGAAAGTTCGACTAGAGCCCCTTCCTCTCTGACCTCCTCCTCTGCTGCAATAGGAAGTAGTACTACTGGAAGCACATCCGCCGTGATAGCAAATCTTTCTGCTGCTTTCGAAGCAGGTACCTCCGTGAAGCGGAGAGTGATCGGAAAACAATTCGGAGAGATGCCGGGCACCACGGTCGACGAAGCACGACTTGATGGCGTCGCAGTCAAAGCAGCTGGTGGAGATGAATCAGAAGATATCACTACTAGAACTGCAGCCGCCAGTGACACAACAGCCAGTTGTATGCCAAGTTTCTCTAGTACTAGCGCAATGCCTAGTTCTTGTTTTAGCACAACGCCTGGTTCTTCTTCTAGTAGCACAACAGCTAGTACGCCAGATTCTTCTAGTACAACTGCGACAACTAGTTGCGATTCTATAGGCATGAGAGCAGCTGCGCCAAGTTCTAGCACGCTGGATGCTACCAGCATTTCACCCTCTGCCTCTCCCTTCAAGTCTAGTCCTTTGTTGAAATCTAGTCCGACGGTTCTGAAGGCTATATGGGACGCGCGTAAGCGCATCCTCGAAAACCATGAGCTGACTCGATTGCCACCACCAATGCCCGTCATCCGCTCGCGTGCTCCCAGGCTACTCAAATTTCGATGCGAGCTTGCTGTAGAGCGTGCTGAGAGTCAGAAAAGTATCCCGAAGATGCAGTTTTTTGCCCGCCACCTCTACCCAAACTTGCCGAACGAAGCAGTGGGTGGCCTAGGAAGTTATGGAAAAAGTTGGCACTTGGCAGTTGGGTTCTACTCATAGATTAGATACTAAGTATGCATAGTACTATATCTATGTAATATATCTATGCCAATGAATATATATGTAGTATAGTACATCTTCATCATGCTGCCATAAAAGTTATGAAAAGTAGGTATCTTCAGTCTCAGTCAGATCATTGACTTTTACGCCGCCAATGAATATCTTATCAATCTAGGTAATATTAATATCACTTTACAGAACGCTTGCATGGGTGGAAGTCCTCGTGTACAAGCAATAACATGAACATGAGCGTTCCCTTGGTGGCTCTTCTAATCTGAGAAGCATCGGCAACCATTTTTTTTGCAGCACGACATTGAAAGTCTCTATCGCAGCAACCCTGACTGTGCCCGCTTTATCCGTGCACTAGGTGGTTGGAAATGTCCGCCTCGGAACAATCAGCAAGATAGATATCGAGAGCTGCCACCACGCCACGGAAAGTATGAGCGCGACCAAGGCTATCCAGCGGAACGTCAAAAATGGAGACACCATCAAAGCGGGGATCCACGTTATAGAAGGAGGGACAACCGAGAACAACGTCGTGATAGTCAAGATTATATTCCTTTCCGGATCCGGGGAGAGGAGCGACGACCACGCCAGCAGCACAATACTGGAGAACATGGCTACGACCATTCGGACTCTCGTGACCATCGAAACCATGATAGGTCAAGAGAAGATCGCCCGCCGCATGATCTTCGAAGGTGGCAGGAGAGGGATTGCGTAGACGAAGGTTTCCAGTCAGGGCCGCAATATCATGACTCTCGTAGAAGAGCAGAGGATGAGTATCCTACGCGACGTCAACATCTTCAAGGTGAGACCTGGAAGAATTATAACGAAAGGCACAACAGCTGCGACTACCGCGAGAAGAAGTATCACAATCACAGTCACGAGGCGAGGTACAACAACCGCGACAGGGGACGTACTTTTGAAATACGTGACGTCAGCAATGCAGGTGATGCTGATTTGGATGAAAATCCTGAATTTGCGTCGGCCTCTCCATCGACGACCACAACAACTAGGAACAATGATACTAGAAGTAGGAACCGAAGCCGCTCCTCTCAAAGAGCAAGGTCGTCTTATTCTGAGCAAGCAAACGAAGACCTCCAAAAAGTTCGAGAACAAGACCCTGGCCCTGCTGGAGTAGAAGTTCAAGTCAAAAGACCGGCCGCACCGCGCAAAAAATGGAGTCTCACAGTCCTCTAGCCTATATATTTCAACCGTTGTATGGTAAAGGTAATTTGGCGAATTATGTTTTCATTTCGCATTCGCTCCCAGTAGTTGTGAACAGAAAAAAACTGATTACTTTTGTATTTGAATGAAATAGAAATATAGGAGGGAAGTGTGCTGGAAATCGTGACTAGAATTGAGAAGTAAGTGTGACTTGTTTTGGCTAGAAGAGACCCTTGATGTTGTACAGCGACGTTGCACGACCCATGACTGATTAGCTGTTGACTGGCTTTGGCTAATATCTCTTGGGGAGGTATGTAGAGTAGAAGATATACAATATTGTCGCTCTGGAAACGGAGCCGTTCGTTCACGTTGGAGCAAGGAGTACTAATAAATCGCACTCATGCAAGAAGCACGCAATACAGAAACACTTTGAAGATCACAAGTCGTGCAGGCAAGAAGATAACAGAACGCCTTTTTTTAGAGGAGATCGATGCAGACTCCTTGTACTCACCAAGGAAGTCTCGTCCTGGCGTTCTTTCATTTCCCCATGATGTGTTCATTGCTGGTGCCCAAAGAAATGACGATGGCGATAGGGAACCGAGTATCACAGAGTACTGGATGGACTACGTGCTTCCTTGTGATCGCGAAGACAGTGATCTGATCGTGGAAGAAGGTGATCCGCTCGAGACGTGTTGAGACCAGTGAAGATCCGTTTCGCTTGCTTCTTGGTACAGGTTTTCATAGAGTCCTTATTAATATCATTATGTACTTGGTAAGAATTTTCTCCCAAAGGGCCTTTGGCTTAGAGGTGTGCTGCAAATCTTGATTGGCTTCTTCCTTTATATAAGGATGAGGCTTAGGCCCAGCGACACTCAAAGCACATAAGTAAAACAACCGCTTCGTTTTCCCTCTGATTCTTAGGCTTCTCCCTTCATGCAACACATTATGTAATTGCACGTCAAATTTTTAAGTATATGGTAACAAGATTGTTGGGTAGATTGGTTGGCTGGTCTACAAATGTACTACCTATTTGAATTTCCCGTTCACCGTCATACTGTTTGTTAGTTTTGATGGTATGAAACAGCGACAAGCAACTATAAACTAAGTAGTTTGTAATGCAGCTCTGATATTTATCCAGACTAGGAACCAAGGTTCAGGGTCCTGCGTTTACCTCATTCAATAGCGTTAGTTTGTATCAAACAGCGCGGATGACATAAGTAATGCGGTGCTATCATTTATCCAAACGAAGACAGGGTGTTAATAGTTTCTTAAGTAGACAGGGTCTAGTCGGACTAGTTGCTTATGCGTGTCTCTCCGTAGAAGAAGATTCAAAAAATCCTATTGCGATCAACATTCTTATCGATATGACTGGGAACAGGATCATACCAGCAGCTAGTTTCTAGATGTATACGATCCTCACAAAAGTAAGTCATTCCGGTTATATTCTCCTTCACAACATCAACATCATCGCCATAATAAATATGAATTAGTCACATTTTTATTTCACGCAGTTTCTTGTGCGATCAAAAAAACTGTCTTCTATGAAACTACTTAATTTACTTCTAGTACTAGAGGAGATTAGTGTGTCCATCACGTGGTAGAGAGGACTTGTTCGAACGACGAAAAAAGTTGACGCGCTCGTCGTCATCCAAGGTTTTTGTCTCTTGTTGTTGTTGGTAGTCTGATTTTTGGCATCGATTTTTGTTGTTTGTTGAATCTATCATCTTTCTACTACTCTGCTGCAGTTCGACGTTGGTTCCGTTGGATCAGAGTGATCAAGAAAATGCCGTCGGTGCGGAATACCAAAGCCAGTGAGGAGGCACGGCGTTCCGTGACCTCTTGCAGCAAGGCTAACGAGGCATGCTCGAAGAATCTAACAACTAAAAACGCCTTCGAGAAAGACGCAAACAATGCGGTAGATGACCAAGCAGACGGAGAGACATCACCGAAGCTTATGCATGGGTTCCCAGATTACATCCTTCACTAACATCCCTGACTCTTTTTCCAGTATGAAAGGTCTCAGGGATGTTCTGAAAAATGCAATGGCGGAACCTCTAAGAAACAAGAACAAGGCAGTCTCAACGTCGCCATTTACGCCTTGGCGTTTGTTTCATTCACCCAGCTACTCGGATACAATTTCTTGCTCATCTTCATCTTGCCGATGGCGAAGGTACCCCGGCGGACCCTTTCTAATATTTCATCTAGTTTACAATCTGAGTCCTTTTTTCTCTTGTTCTCAGGCGCCACCCTGCCTGATCGTCTTCACCCTCCCACCATACTCAATTTCATTACCCCCGTTAAGACGTCGAGTTGTATCTACAATCTTCTATGAACAAGATGTTCTTCCTTCATTCTGCGCGCGACGAGAACCTTTCGTCCTCTATGATAGAATAGTGGTCAACGAGATGAACTGCTACAGAGAGCAGTTTCCCTTATCTTCAAAAATATCAACAGCACTTCGGGCCTATTTTGGGTACGAGTTTTGAGGATATCATGCTGTGGCCATACGCAATTATGAACGTTGTCTGTGGTCTCCTATACTCTTTCGTCATGGATAAGCGGAAGATCAGCTGGGTTCGAACTGCCGGGGATGCAGAAAACGCACATACCGCGTCATTATGACGACTTGTTCTATACCTATTTCTATTTATTTAATAATTGAAATTAGTCGTTCTACTACTTGCTATTACTAGTACTTTCTTAGTATCATCATGTGGTGAAGCCTTCAAATAATCCATTTTAATGTATTCAGAAAATGTAAATGAAGATAAGAATCCATCACTGCTCTAATTCTCTATGAAAAGAGCAAGCCTCACGGCTTTTTCGGATGGTTTTCGTTCCCGAAGAGATGGGTGCTTTGTTGTCTCTGCATGGTCAGCGTGTATCTTCCATGCTTCACGTTGGCGATCATATACAAGGTCAAGGGCCTGGTTGTGTTAGCGATGGTTCTACTCGGCATCGGAAACTCATGGCTGCAGGCGTGTGGATCTGGTATCTATGTTTATAGATTTACTGTTGTACTAGCAGTAGATATAGAGTAGGGAGGGGGTCCTTCTCTCTGGTTGTGGGTTTATTTGCTGAACCGGTACCCCATAGCGAATACACCTGTCGTGCACGCAACCAGAGAGCTGAGCACTCACCGGAGGCGTTGCGCAGGGCTCCGGCCTGCCTTTGAAAGTGAGACCTATGGGGCTGAGTGACAGGACGACGATAGCGCCGGCGCTTAATTAGTTTTAGTAGTTAGCAGGATGCTGCAGGATACTTGTTGATATTTACCATTTTCTCTTTTCTATCTTCCTCTGGTCTGTCTTTTTTCTAGTTAGGTCTTCTCCACCACAATTTATAGCTTTACTGTACTAGCAGTAAAGCAACACCTTAGCTTGGGACGCCGCGCCCCTGAGCAGGAGAGAGCGGCATTCTTCTTCGCGCAGAGCTATGACTTGCATGCGTTGTCTTTCTGTTTTTCCTGTTGTATTTTCCTTGCTGTCTCTCCTGCTCAGGTCTCTGCACATCTTTGAAAAGCGACAAAGCAATGGCCATGTGGAGTTTAGGAAACGCATTGAGTGGGGCACCGGCCGCGATATTGAGCATCCTCATGGCCTTCGTCATAAAAGCAGAGCATGTCAACAATCTCATGTTATGAAAAAATGCACATTTATAAGCACTCTACTTCATATTCACGCGTTTATTTGAGAGTATGTCCTTGAAGGATCTCTTCCTTTCCTCTCCAGTAGCATCTCTATTTGAATTTTGAAGACAGTAGGCAAGAATCACGTAGAAGAAACAAATGAACACACGATACTTCTTGTTCTATTCCAGCACCAGCTCAACAACTTTTCTAATCTTCGTCGGCATATACGTTCTGAACGCGGTTGTGCTCCTCGTGTGCCTTCTGCTTTTGCCCTGCGTTTTTTCCAAGCACCCGATGCTGAGACATCAGATGACGTACGAGTCTGACGGGACGCGGGGTATAAAACCTCCCTCAAACGAGGTCGCTACGAAGGATATCAAAGCCCTGACAGGAGAGCCAGAAGAGGAGCACGAGGACACACAGGCGCTGCTTGATAGTAATGCTAATGCTCGCAACCAAATCGCTGTAGACGACGAGCATGCGGACAGCGACAATAAGATTAAGGTACATCATGATTTCTCTCGAAGCTTTTCCTGATCTTGCTCAACAAGAACAGGATCATGGGAGTTGACATTGGAACAACTCTTTCACATACATTTTCAATGGGAAACTTACTTATAAGTAACCAAGAAAGAGGGCCGAGCAGATCTCGTTCTTCCGAGAATATAGATATGTCTAACAATCAGACGTCGATTTTGACTATATTCGCCGAAGACTGGACTATGTACACAGGAATGTTCGTGCTTTTTTTAAGCACCTTCACGGTATTCCCGGGAATTCCTGCCAAGATCGATGCCTGGGAAGCACGCTTTCCGCTCGCGAGGGATTACACTCCGGCTGGTGCACCCAATTTGTCGGACGACGAGAGGGACGCAATCAAAGGCGCAAACGGGGGCTCCTTCATACCGGTGGGAATTTTGTCATTGCATTTTTTTTCACGCTGCCTTACTCTTGTTGCACCTCTAAAAAAGGAAACTCGAGAATGTAGGATGCATGCAAGTGGCCAGTTACTTCCCATCAATTCTTTTTCCTCCTCGACATTAGAGTCTACTAGTTGCCTATAGAGAACTTCGTGCCTACTCAGGAATTACGCTGCCTGGCGTGCATACTTTGGCGTGCATACTAAGTACAATAATTTTCGATGTCTTACAACCTCCAATTTCACCAGATTCTGTTTTCCATGTTTGCGATTGGAGACATCGTCGGAAGATACTTGCCGAATCTGTATTCGCCACCGCGACAGCTGTTCTTTCCACTGGCGCTCCTCCGATTCGTGGTTTTCGATACCTTGATTGTTCTGCAGACGGTCTACCATTACCACTGGGCTATCACCTTCGTGGTCATGTTCCTGCTTGGCGCATCCCTCGGCTATCTCGCCACGCAGTGTTTCATTCTTATGGCTTTGTTTCGAAGTACTATCTTAGTATAGTTTAGTGACTACTATCTTAGTTTAGCGACGCTCTCTAAGTACTATCTTAGTATGCTGTTGCTGGGGATCTTTTTGAGATCACTCGCTCGTAACAAGCTCTTTCGCCAAAAATGAGATCACTCGCTCTTCACAATAGAAGCTTTTTGAGCATTTTTAACAAAGTATGTCGCTCGTCTCTTCAGAGGTGTCCCTCACCACAGAAGAACACACACGAAGAAGAAGTAGAGAAAAACCTCATCCCCAACATCTATTTCTACTTAGAGGACTTACGAAAAGACAACAACTGCTTCAACTTCTTCTACCAACTTCTAACTCAAAAGCCGGGTCCCGCATTGAGAAGGTGGCAGATAGAGCGCTTGTGGGTCCTCTACTCGGGAATGCGCTTACATGCGGAATTCTAGCGGGGTGCACCTTTCATGTCGCAGTTTGCCAGGGCGTGGACAAGGCTCTCTCATGAACCAAACCGCCGCGTTGAGAGGTGTGCGGGTGTGCGTGGTCCAGGTGGACAATGAGAACGATCTTTATGTGGCTGCCTTGATATGTGTGGACAACAAACTTGGCAGTACTAGACTGGGGTAGTTTCTAGTAGTTGCAGCAGTGAACAAATGTAAATGAAGGTAAGTACGTAATGAAGAAAAACTCCTGTGCCTTTTCTCTAAAGCGGCGATTGTGGAAACAAAGGAGGCCAAAATAATTATATCGTGATGTATCCTCTTCATCATGCTCTTACAACGTTGATTCTATGTTACTACTTTTTTAAGTTGCCATGACATGAAAGATCAATCTATCAGTTTTGTTAACCTCAATATTACCCATGTGCATAGAGTTTACTCATTCTATCATCCATGCATTCCCTTGTCTGCCATAAAAATCATACTCATCTATAGAGCAACGTACTAAAGCCCTGATGACCAGCATGGTGTTACGAAGTTATGCCTTGCTTCATACTCATCATGCTGATCTTCATGAGAGTGTAGAAGAATCAGATGCGAGCCGCTGACCTTGGATCCATGATATGTAGTTGAAAACTGAAGAAGAGAGAAACTTCATCGATCCGAGAGAGATGTAACTTCTTTGGGCTTCATCAACATGTATCTAAATAGTGTGGACTTTGCTCAGGTCCTACTTGTTTCCTCCTTCTATATTTTTGAAAGTGTGGACACCTATTGTCTCAAGTACCCTCCTTCTGTGTACTAAAACAACTGCTCACTAACTATCACACGTACTACCATCCTTCTGTCGTGTACTAGAAGAAGTGGGTGGACTGGTGACACTACTGCTCCTACTGGCAAAGTACTAGAGAATATAGAAGATGAATCAAAATTTACTAAAGCTGCTGCTGGCGACTCAAGAAGCAGTTATGTTCCTTGATTTCGAGACGCAGAATCCTTTCTGAGGTTCGCGCTCAGTCCCTCTATCTTTCAAGTTCTAAAACCAAAGAAGCAGGCTTTTAAACCTTTACGAAGATAGAGAATTCGTCTCAAGTATTGTACACTCTACGCCTTGTTGTGAGTGTCTAGTACAATCTATAAAGTAGAGCACTCTTAATGTCTAAGGTATTGGCTGTTCGTTGCTATTGTCGTTTTGACTTCGATTCATAGGTGGGAGAAAAGTCAGGTATATTAGTGATATTAGTGATCTTTAAAAAATGTGCAGGATCTTGATAGCAGCGAGCGTTCGCAGCAATAGCACGATCATGCGTCAGCGTTAAAGTGATGAAGTTTGTAGATGAAGGCATGCCCCCGAAGACATTGCGGCTCACAGATTCCTCTACAGGCTAGGCCCGTAGTGTCGTCCCTTTCCTTGTGATTTCTTGCTTCCTCGTGTTGCTTTGGTGATATTTTCCCGGCCCGCCCTTTGCCCTGGTCTCGTTGCGCCGCTTCCTTGCGTCGTGGCCAGCGAGATATGCGCCCACCACCGCAACGGAGAGCCCGCCCGGAGAACTTCAAGACTCTAGTAACTTGCAGTAATAATCCTAGCCGGCCAAGGAGGCAATTGCAATGTTGTAGAAGGCCTTCATCCTAGCGAAAACAGGGGCGTAGCGTGACTGAATGGGAATGAGCCGAAGAGGCATTGTAGTTGTAGGTTGTAATTTACTTCGCATGCGCATTGCTCTTCCTCTTCAATGACCAGCAATAAACAAAAACACGACGCGCATAGAAACTTAATGAGATTCGCTGAGTTCTTCGTATCAATGTGCGTGTGTAACTCCTTGTAATATCTATCCCTCGCATCGGATGAAATAAACACAAAAAGAGGGGCGAATCAAAAATGTATCTAACATGATCTGAAATCTAGCATCGTTTTTGTTGAACGACATACACCATAAATTGAATGGCCCAAACATCACAGGTAAGAGAACATCATCAGAATGTGAGACTTATCAAGCAGGCATTCAAAATTTTGGCGGAGTCATGAATCCTAGATTTATATTTTTGAGTATACAAATATTATCTCTGGTCTTCAAACAAGAAAGAAAAGGTGCCTGTCTCTGAAGGCAACTACACTCGTCGTGCATATAAACATGTTTCTGTTTTTCTTATCTTCCCTCAACTCAGTGAAGTGCTCACTACTTTCTAAAAACTGAAACAGCTCGTCGAACAGTTTGTTGTGTTTGTCTCAATGGGGAGCAGCATGACAAAATGCACAATGTCGTGGTTCTTGCACGTCCACTCTGTTGAACCGGTTATTTATAGCAAGTAATGGCTGTATGTTCTCGGTGACAAGACAATAAATATGCAGTATGTTGTCGGTGTCAAGGACAAAGAAACGTGACAAGCTTTCGAATAAAAGTGTCTGTGCATCGGTTCAAGCAAAAGGATTGCTTCCTCGACTGTCGTGGAGGATATGCACTCTCTACACTGACTTACTTGCTTCCCCTTTTCCACTCTTTTACCACAAGTACCCCACGCGTTCAACGTACTAGTTTTGGTTTTGTATCGATCAATTCATTGCGAATTATTTTTTTGATCACGCGAAAACAAAGTTTCAAAATACTTACATAGAAGTATCAATTCATCGCAATCTTGTTGTCAGCAGACAAAGTTCTCTAGTACTTCTACTGGCACGTATAGGCAAAGCCAAAGAGTGTCTAAAGCTGAATTTGGTAGTACAAGCAACATCAAGCATCACGTTCACGATAAGGCGAGGAAGCGTCAGACATCATAACTACAAGATGTTGCTCGACGTTATCGGCTTGTGCGAGAGCGCTCAGGGGCGACGCGTGTGGGAAGGATACTGCAGTGCGTTTGGTTCGAAGATGGAAAGGAAGAAGCCATTCGTATACAAGTTCGGAAAACTTGGATTGTTTTAAGGATACAAGTACGCCTGTCAATGCGAATGCCTCGACAATAAAATACATTTAGTTAGAAGTAATCGTAATGCGCTTGCGCAGTGACCAATTGTAATTTCTTAGTACCAACGAATTTTTGCTTATGCCTATCAATTGGATTGGAATCCATGGTAGGGTAAATGCGTGCTAAAGTTCTAATTCATAGGACGTGAGAAGCTCTCTGGGCCATTGGTTTTTCGTGTGGATTCTGACGTCTTAGAGAAGGCGGGCTTGGCCTCGCGCTGCAAACCAGAGAAGGAGATCAAAGCCAAAATATTTGCCAAGAAAGATATTCCAGTATTCGACAAAGGACTGGATGAACCGGTATCTATTTTTTATTGTTCGAGTACACGAGATGTTTCTCGATTCGATCCAAAATACTTATGTGCACGACCATGGTCTTATTCGATGTTGAAACGACCTTCGTGATCTTCGTACAGGAATTGATCCTCTCGCTCCTGGACGAGGTGATAGATCGAATTGTTGAGGTTCTTCGCAGCCATCACAGTTTAGCGATAGCCTTTCCAGGTCTAGGACGACTGACCTTCCCTTCAGACCGGAATAGCTACTCTTGGATGGAAAGACGGTATTTTTAGTAGTAACTACTAAATTTTCTATGTCTATCTGGTACTACTAAATTTTCTATTTCTATCTGGTGCTGATCGGGCGGATACTAGGTGTACTAGAGTAAAAGCACTTTCTGCTCTTTCCAAATCCAAAAACACGCGACCACTCGTACCTATAATTATTGATGATCGTCATCTTCCAGATCGTCCAAGAAGTTTCCGTCTACAGCTACACCTTTCTTATCTACATCTTCAATGATACCTACAACTCGTCTGAACAAGAACTTCTTGTCACATCGTCGATCATGGATGGATACATTCAATTCTAGGTGGGAGCCTCTGGAGTATGTCACGGGACGTGACGCCCTAGATCCGGAGGACTATGTGCCGGGTGCGGAGACCGAGGCGAAAAATGCTCCTGGTTTTTCCGTGACAGGATCACCTGGTCATGAGTTTACCGAAGGCGCTGGCCGCAAGCCGGACGAAACCGTCTCTGAACTATCTAGTGTCGACGGGGACCGCTACATGGCTGGCATCGACATCGACGCAGACCCCAGCTGGCGTCCATTGACGCCTGAGGGAGGTTGGCCGGTTCGGGAGGAACCACCAGTAGAAGAAACTTCACTAGTTGCTGATGGTGCGGAAGAAGGTGAAGAGAAGAATGGCGAAGCTGGAGGAGGTGACGGCGCTCCGGCCGGAGGTTGAGTAGCGCATCGGCTGAGGGCAAGGGTAGGCGTAGGCCGCGCAGCCAGCGGTAGACATGAAGAGTGAAGCAAACGTGAAAGAAAGTAGAAACGAAGGGATACTGCACTGGGAGACGCTTGCTGTGACAACCACCTTGCGGCGACGTTTATAGGCAGCTGGGAAGTTGAGGCATGAACGACATTTTTTGCGGCACCACCTAGCAGCACGGCTTGCAATAACGACGGAGACGCTAAGGCTACTTTGCGCGGGTAGGATCGAGAGATGAAGCCTGATCGTCCCGATCGCCACCGCCGCGCCTGCACTAGCCCTGCGCGGTACAGAAACACGCTGCTGCATTTACGATAGAAATGGTGGAGCCATACATAGAAGAGTGCATCCAACAGGCGACGAAATCGAAAATGTGTAGCTCGTGAGGAAATAAGAACGAAAGACTACTCCATCAAAGTCGAATGTGAGTCCCACTGTCTTAGCTTGACAGTACATTCGTCCATGAGATGAAAAACGTAACTTGCAGCGTTGAGGGACACGTTATTGTGATGGGTGATCGATTCCATTTTCGAATTCAATACTTGAAGCTGGCAATTATAGGCAAAGAAACTGGGGTATGTTGTCTAGGATGAACTACCCATGATAATTGTGGACCGAAGAGTAGGCGACGTGTTTCGATATTGAAAGGAAGATCAGTGGCTCGCTGAGGATCATCAGGGATACTGAGTTTGTGAAATAAATCGCATTGGCATAAAAATCACCAACTTTGGTCTACTTTTTTTTACAACTGTTGCACAAATCGGCATTTTTGAGCAACAGCACCATTTGTTTTCAACCTGTGAACTGATAGATATAAAATCTTCATTATCGAAGGTAGTCATTTGGAAAAATGATGCGCATTGTGGTGACTGGTGCAAATAAGGGGATCGGCTATGAGATCGTGCGTTGCGTGCGTGGTCACTTTGCTACGACTGAGCACGGCGCCGAAATCTGGATGGCATGTCGTAACTTGGAGCTCGGGCAGAAGGCTCTTCGGGAGATACTAAGCCAGGAAATGGGAGGCGCACAGAACAAGGGTACTATCGGTTTTCGCTTCCCGAAAATCAAAATGAATATTCAAGATGCTGATGCGCCCTTGTACTAGCTAAAAACTTTCGTATGCCAGAGTTATACTAGATTCTGAGCGCGGGTTCTTCACCGAAATGTTCATCATGTTCATGATCGTTCCGTTCTCTGTACAGTTTCCCTGAAATTAGTGGAGCTGGATCTGACGAAGCCTGATACGATCCAGAGCGCAGCGACTACGGTTGGTGCACCAGTCGATGTTCTAATCAACAACGCTGGGATGGCTTACAAGGGGGACGCTTTTGGGCGCGAAGTAGCCGCGCACACGATCGGCACCAACTTCGAGGGCACCTTACTCGTTATCGAAGCCTTTTTGCCACTCATGTTGAGTCCTTCTAGCAGTGGAGGAAGCGACTCGTCCTCCAAAAACCGTAGTCCTCCCAGCAATCCTAGAGGTACAACAACTAGAATCATCAACGTTGCGAGTCGTGCGGGATTGCTGAGTCCGCGAAGGTACAGCCAAGACCTATTGCGAAGGTGGACCAGTGTGAAGAAAATGGACGATATCTTTCAGCTCACGCAAGAATTTACCAAAGCAGCCGGAGACGGGAGCTACGAAGCAAGAGGATGGCCACGACAGACATACGCGGTGTCTAATTAAGGCAACTCGCGTGGATCTCGAACTCGATTCTAAAGTTGTTTGACCATGCATGATTTACCGTTCCGAGTCCCGATATTTTCTCTACCTCCAATCCAGGGCAGTAGAGATTGTTCCTTTTCTACTTCATCTTCTAGTCAGAGGTCGAAGGTGACAGACATTCTCGAGATGAGCACAACTACAAATTGCAGTTCTTCTTCATGCACGTCCTAGACACGATGTAGTTGGGTTCCCAATCATGTTCATGGTTTAGACTAACTTTCTCGTGAATCGAACATCTAATCCAAGGCAGCGGAGATAGCTATGACGCAGTTGCTTGCAAATCAATATCGACAGCAGGGTATGTTTTTTTACACGTGCTGTCCAGGATGGTGTCGGACAGACATGGCGGGGAGCAGGGCGCCACGAAGTGCGCAGGAGGGCGCGGACACACCAGCATGGCTAGCTTGTGTGCCCGACGCAGCCCTACCACCTACCGGGAGCTTTGTCACAGAGCGACGGGTGCAGTCGTGGCTTGTGCAGGAATGAGAATGTCGCAGACAGTGAGCGAGACGATCGGCAGATGATGACAGCGCGCAGGAACCAGAAAGCGGTTTGTTGTGCTGGTGAGCAAGAAAGGGAATCTCCAAGGGAAGTCTATGCTGACGAGCGGGAAGGTAGTGGATCTGTTGAATACGCATTCAGTATCAGAACATGGATGTTTCAGGAACCACAAAGACTTTCCTCATGCTTGCCGACTATTTCAGTACACTAACGAACCCTGTCGGGATCGATTGGGAAAAAACAATCCATTTCATCTTCATTCTTTGAATTTATCTATCTGACTTGTTCCCATCGAAAAAACATCACTCGCACGAGTTCAGCGAGGTGCTATTTTATGTTTTACGAAAGCCACAGCAACCCTTTCTTCTTTCCTTGATGTGTTCTTCCGTCGTCAAGGCGTGCAATGCGAACTTTTGACCAATTACTAACTCGCCACTCGTCTGGGTCGGGTCCCTATCGACTCAATAGCCGCGAGAAGAAGCAAAACGACTGGTAAAAAGCCCGCCACAGCAAGCATTCTAGTCGTCCTACTGTACACGTCGCGTTTCATCGATTGTAAATGCGGCACCGCTGAAAACAGAACTGCAACTGCGATCCTCAAAACTCCGCGTACTTTGCCTCCAAGACGCGGTTTGTTTATCAGGACTCTTCGAGGAGTCTGCCCTGGCCTCGCGCTGACTCCTGAGCCTGACGCCTGTTGCAGTTGTATTTCCGCTGCGACTTGATGTAGACTGGTGAAAGAGAGAGAAGCGTCATCATGGTCGCCTCCTTCAGGCGCTGGACTTCCGAACAAGCAGTTAATGCTAGCGCCGATCAAGAAGCCAGAGCCGTTGAAGTATAGCAGCATTACTGTTTGCGCGAAGTAGTTGGTTTCTCGGGTATGGAAGAAGGCCGAATCGATATTGAAAGTACTAGCACTTGTTTCGTAACCCACGACGCGATGCTCTTCCAGTTTCGCTAGTTTCAACAGCCGCGCGTATCCTGCTCCGAGGCCGGCGAGGGAACACGTGATGATCACAGTTGCAAGGGCCTCAGTTGCGAATCCGACCATGCTCATCACACCGCAATTGCGCCATCCTGGCGGATCGACGCAAAAGTACAGACAGTAACACGCAATTGCTGTTGCCATGCAGCTCAATGCCACAGTCTCATGCGACAGATCGCCAAGACGAGTCAGAAAATCTTCACTGTAGTCTGGTCGCGGAACTCGAACTACCTGATGACTCTCTTGGAAATGCATTCCACCAGCTGCACTTGTTACGTCGCTTCCACGAGGACGATTGTGGTTCACCTGCTGCAGATTGTAAGCCGCATGATTTCGGTTTCGCATCAACCAGGAAGAGCTACTCTCGAACAAATGGTCACTAGCTCTATGCGGAACCTCGAAGCTGGCTGCAACGACTTCGCCGAGAGAAATCAAAACGACAAGTTGAAACCGTTCTTGCCAGAGATGCAGTAAACTCTTGTTGGCTCGCACGCAATCCGCAATCGAGTCGTATTCGGATTGGAAGAGAGCATTGCCCGCAAAGACAAAGAAAATCTTCAAAAAGAACATCGTAACCCACAACCACTCTCCTAGATGAAATGGCCCTACTAGTGAGTGGTCGTCTGATGGATAAGAACCTACTTGTAGAGGGTTATTGAGGCCTCCCGAGTTGCTAGACGAAGACGAGGATGGTCCCATACCTGCTGCGTTAGCACCGCTTAGAACTTGAGGATTGTTGCCGATACTAGAACTAGTGCCGACTCCTTGATGCTCATGCACGCTCATCGACGAGGCTCGCAGCTGTTGAAAGCTTGCTCTTGCGTCACTTTTTCGCTGGTCCTTTTCGATAAGCAGCGCTGCCGGTATAAGCAAACACGCGTCGACAAAGACGAAGACGGCGTAAATTACACCTACCAGGTTAAACTTGTCTAAGTCGGCATTCGGCGGCTCGTCTCCGCGCCTTCGCGCCAGCCATTTGAAGGACGCCGTCACCAGTGCTCCAGCCGTGACGTACCATAAAACGAAGACCAGAAAGTTTAGCTGTTGACTCGCTCTCCCCATCAAACCCGAAAAAATCATGGCCAAGAGCACAACCGAGGCTGCAAATGTCGTCAAACGGTTACCCGCATCGGGACGATTTTTCGCTTCCGCGAAATAGCGCGAAGAGACCGCAAAATCGGAAACCATGGACCACAGAGCCCACACCGTGCTGATCATGAGCATCACGCGGCAGTAGAGATAGGGGAAAACCGGATGCTCTTCTTCCTCTTCAAGTGGGGCTGCGATGTTGTGGATGATCACCACGTACGCGAGATCAAAAAACAACTCGCAATTGCTGGCTTGCCAATGTTCCCCATGTTGTCGATCGTGTGCCTCATGACCATGAGTGTGAGTCTCTTCTACATGTTGTTGTCCACCACCGTCATCATCTTTTTGTACTTCGGGTACAGCTACGGCATGGTCGCCATGCGCGCTGCGAGGTCGCAAATGACGCGCACTGCCATGCTCGCCTGGTGCGATGAGCTCCATCTTTTTTCTTCGTGCAAATGTTTCTTTAGGTCCTGTCTCTTACCAAAACCAAGTATCTCTGACCAATCTTGAGTCTACTACTTTTGTTGTAGTTGATAACTGTCGTCCTTTCTCCCACGTCATCGCCGGTGCTGTGGACTCTGCTCTTGCTCCAAATTCCTTCGTTTGCGCAGAAGAGCGCGGTGGCTGTGACTCCTACGTGTTTATACCCACGTTGTAAGTACAACATGATCAGGAAAAACAAACTACCCGCAACCTCATCCGTTGCTTCAACATACCATGATGCCAGATCCAGTGCATTGACGTTGTGAACGAATAAGCACTACTATGCATGCAGACTCGGGAAATTCCTCCAGCGGCAATAATCATGTGTGTATGTCGACGTATGTTGTACTCGTATGAATGTCGTATCATGTTGTACGATGAATATGCTGTGAATCTCAATCAATGGTGCGGATCGAAGATATTTCTTGATTCATTGGAAACCAATACAGAGAATAATTTTGTGTTTCGCAAACAACAATCCTAATGATCTTTAGGATTGCGTCCGGTTCGATGCACTTTACAAAGTGGAGTTCCTATAAATATAGTATATTTATGATCGCCCTTCAGACCCAAGTCATTGGTAATCGAATTTTGGTTTTCTGCCCCAAGCACTGGACCTTCCTTGTTCAACACCGTTTCGTCTTTCATTTTCGCAGCGTCGGCAACATCATTGTGGCTAGATGAAGCGGCAGCCGAAGCCGAAGTTGAAGAGGCGCACGGCGCTTACGACACTTGTGATATCCCGCTTAGCCAACTAAACTCGATGCATCACAGTTCCGAAATAGTATCGATCTCTTCTCCTCCTCGTCCTTCTCCTCATGCTCGCCGAAGGTCTTTGATCGGTACGTTGGTGTATGTCGCGTAGCCGCTGATGTCGCGACTTCGCACGGACACGCGTTCAGCGCCGTCGCGGTAAAACGACGATGATGAATCTGCGTTAGAGCTGACTGAAACAATGTGGTAATTATACTTTCCTACGGATGCCACCTTCGATGAGTCAGAAAGAGAGACTAGGCAATGAGGCAAATAGAAATACATGAAATATAACTACTTACCTAGATCTTATTAATGAGTCCGGTGCCTCCCTCTCGGAGCTAGCCGGCCAGACAGCTGACACAAACGAAAATGAGCTCTATCTTTGCACCAGACACCCAGCCAATTATTGATATTCAGGGCATTGCCTTCGACGTTGTACCATAGTAGTCTATGAGCTTGTCGTGGGAGCCATAAGAACTGTGCCTTCGTTACCCCATCCCCATCTTACCCTCGTGCCAGCCGGTATTGACCGCGATGACGCGGAAGAGCTCACATTTTTAGAGGTACTTTCTTACATACAAAAACAGCAATCAGAGCAAGGGAGGCAAGGCCGACCACGACTGCGCCGATTTCTGAGTGAAGCGAGAGCGACGCTCCCCCCCTTGCCCCTGCCTCTGCTTGGAGAATGCCACAGACACCGATTGACCCCCTTCGGCATGTTGAAGAAAGACAAAGAGTAAGAGACGAAGTCAGCAAAACCCTCCGCGACCCTAGTAAGGAGCATCTACACCACGCCAGGCGCGCGGACCCAATCAAAGGCCAAACCCTAAGGGGCGCACGCGTCTCCCCTGAGGGTCGCTCTTGCCACTCCTCCTGGAGGTGTCCGATATTGCTCCGCCAGTCTACTAGGCTGCTCCGCTTCCCCTTCACGTCTCTGCAGCTGGGCTGCTTCTCTTTTTCTTCTAGCTCGCCTGTGGCAAGCTGCTCTAAAATGCGCAGCCCTACCGCCTGGGCGAAAGGGTTCCCCGCGCCTTTCTGCCTCTGAGCGATCCGACCCCGATGCCCCTCCCCGCGTTTGGATTTGCACCCAAATGCCGCGCCGCTGCTCCTTCACCTCGCCAAGCTGACAAGGCTAGATGACGCCCCTGGCTTCGCTTCCCCCTTAAATTTTTTCGCTCCAGAGTCAACGAACGAAGTTCGCGGTATGGGGCTGCTGCTGCATATGCAACGGGCCGCCCCCTCCTCCATGCCATAAGCAAAAGACAAGAGCCGCGCACGCGTGTCACCCTCATCCCCTTGGAGCCTTTCCCCGCTTTACCTCCTTGGAAGAAGTCCTTGGCCTTTTTTCGAGTTTTGCTCCGAAATAGGCCAATACTTTAGCCCTATGCGGTGGGGGCTGCGCCGTGGCTGGGTACGCCCGGCGCGGTGCTCACTTTTTTCGTGTGGTTTTCTTCATAAGCTAGCCAGCCCCTTCACGTCGATGCCCCCGCGCACGTTCTTCGCCCTTCACTTCAGCAGCGTCCGGCTTGGTGCACGCCCTTGCGCCGTGTTCCTCCTCGTCGGTGTCTCCGGTGCCGACGTGCCCTGGGGCTCAGCTCAGTTCGCCGGGCGTGGTCGCTGATTACCAGGCGCAGGCGATGCGCAATACAAGCGCCCTCTCCCGCGCACTTTGCCAATCTCACCCGGCAGCTTTGGGGCTGCCTGCGTGCCTGAGAGGCTACAGCGCTGCCGCCTCTCTCCTTATAGAAGTACTGCCCGCGCTGTACCCTCGCGCGGGTCTTCTTGTTTCGTCGGAGTTTTCTACGAAGCTCCACGGGCGGCGCTTTTCTAGTTGCCTGCCCACAGCTTGGCGCACAACATACCCCAGCGGGCACAATGTGAACACAGAGCCCCCGCGAACTATTCCGGGGACGGAGGGCGGGGGCGCCTTTGCTCGCGTCTCGCTCGGTGCTGCGCGCCTAACTACGCCAGGGCCCCACCTGTCACACATGCGCAGCGCTTGTTTCGAAAATCGAGCGGCGGCCGGGCCAGCGCCGTCGTTTTGTTGTGCTTGTGTGGTTGGTTTCTCTATATTTCCATAACAGAGTAGTTTATTGCACGCGTGGCGCATTGAGTGCATGGAGTAGCATGGAGCGCAGAGCTTTAAGGGGCGCAAGAAGCTCCCCCTTTAGCTCCATGCTGCTCCATGTGATCCATGCACTCCATGCCATGCGAGCTGTGAAACCTTATAAATTGCTCGGCAATAAGATGACGCTCGTCGTAAATGTGGTGGACTTGACGACCACGCTTTTTGCCGGCACTTGATCGTAAGTCACGTGTCCACCAATATCGCGATACCGCACAGAGACTTTCTCTTCGCCATCTTTACGAAAGGGACTGCCCTCTACGGTGCCACTACCTGTAAAACCGTAGGAAACCGTGTCGCCGCTCTGTGGCGCCATGCGTCTTGTCGAGAATCGGACCCCAAGAGTCAAGTCCTTGCGCTCGTCGAATATGCAGCTGATCAGATATAACGGGAGAAGCGCAAGACGTGGGGAACGCGGGGCCAAGAGAGGCAAGCGAGAGACTGAAGATGCTGCCAGGCAAGCAGATTTTCGGTCTCTACTTCTACACGACGACATTTTTGTGAGATGGTTGTAAAGTTGGAGAGGTTGGCGCTGGCGATGTGTCTCGTCCATGTATAATTCTTTGGTGCCACAGCAAATGATCTCTCGTACTTTCAAGCTCTCCACAGAAAATGATCTAGATTCATTTCTTCTTTCCTTCGCACAGTCAGAAGATTCAAAGTCACGTAATTAGTATTAGAATTAGAAGATTTCTGGCTTGATTTCAGGGGCATCGCTCCACACAGTCTGGGCGTGGGATACAGTGCATTTCGCAGGCAACAGACAAAGAAACCACAGAAACAACGTAGAGATAAAATAAAACACCCGAGAAGAACAAACAGAATAATAGCCCACGCGCACACGCCATGCAGCCGTGAAAACAAAGCTCACGAACTCAGTGTTTGCTGTCTTCGTTTTCAATCTGACTGCGAAATTTCCTGTTCATTCTTCTTAGCTTCTTCGCTTATATATATTTGAATTTGGTCAAATTATCTTCACAATTTATGTTATGTTCCTTAGCTTGTAGTTGCTGATCTTACACAAAAACGCACTACAATAGTTTCTGGTAAGTAGTTACAACAAGTGCCATTGTCAAATGTTTATGTTATATCTGAGTTTTCTCTGTAGAAGTGTATTTCTCGGTAGGAATATTACATTCTGTAGTGTCCGTTTGGTTCTAGTTGTACATTTTTCTTAGAGGTCTTTGATTCGTATCATCTGTGTTTTTCTGTCTGCTATGCTCGCTCAGTTTCATCCGTGGATAATTTCCGATCGTTATACATTTGTAGGATACAACTTCATCAGTCACTGAGATTTTTGTACATTTTCATTTTACTTACGCGACTGCATAGTTGGTAGAGTAGATGCCGAACAAGTGGCGATATGATCAAGCTTACTACGTAGATGACAGTTTTTGTTTCTATTGTTCAAATTCGTTTGCAATGTTGAACTTGAATTCTATACAGATAATGGCCCCTATTATCAAGCAAAATACTCTACAATCTTTTAACACACTTCACAAACAAACCCGAATTTACAGCATTCTTATTTCTTTTCATAAAGTTCAATATGTTGCTTGGTGCAGTTCGAATAAATTAACAGAATCATGGCGATGATCGATTTTCATGACATACATATTACTTACATACTCGGTATTAATTAAGTAGTAACTACAACTAGACTAGTACAAGAACTATAAGTTTGTCTATTTGTTTCAATACAGCAACACACGATATTCCATCGAAGATCGATTGCTCATAATCGTTTTTCGATCGAGCAACACACGATACTTCTTCGAAGATCAGTTGCTCCTATAACCGTTTACTACGATCCGACTTCTCCTCTTTTCGCTTTGTGGCCCGCAAAACACGCCGACCTCGAGCAGGTGGTGAACCAACTGCTGACTCGGACATAGAGCTCTCGCTTGCCTCGTAGTACATCATGGCCGCATTCCCGCGTTGTGGAGGTGGTTCTACGTGTTGTAAATCCGTTGGACCACTAGGCGGCGTATCCATAGCGTTGCTCGTGCTGCTGTTGTTTTTACCCACGGCATGGCTGATTCTCTGAACCGGACTGTTCTCACTGCTTTGTAACCCCAACGCGTTGAGCAAGCTATTTTCCCGCGACAACGGACTACTCACCCTGTTCTGCAAGAGCGGGCTGCTAGTTCTGTTCTGCAAGAGCGGACTACTAGTCAACATCCTATCCCCGCCTCCAAGTCGCACCCCACTGGCGCGCAAGTGCGACGAAGATGTTGTTCGAAGCACGCGAGGATCAATTACGTGATTGACCCCTGGCGGCGCATTAATTAGAGCTACCACAAATCCATCTTCACGACCGTCTGCGCGCCCGTTTTCCCTTTAAAAACGGCACCAGGATGTTGTGGAAGATGGATACGTTGCAGCCTTAAATCGAGGAGACCACTAGAGGCTACTAAAGATCCACGAGACGAGCCCATTGGTGAAGCGATAGGCGAAGCGGATGGCATCCTCGAAGTCGCTCCACCTCCGAAGGAAGCTGGTTGCTGTACTGATCCGCGATTCATGTTCATCGGATTTGTTGTATTTGACGTGCTATGCTGACTATTGTGACTGTGAGCCGCGGCCATTTGTGACACCGTGAAAAATTGACTGCTGCTATTAAGTGACGGCGTCTGATGCTGTAACTCAGCCTCTACACGGCGCTCGTAATCCCCATGTCGTGCTGGAGGGGCGCTGTTCCTAGTATTTGATGCTTCAGCCCAAGCTGTAGACGTTCGCATGGTAGACGAGCTTTTCGGCGCGGCATGAAGCTCGCTATCGACATCGGCGGCAGGCGGAAGCTCTACCTGTGGAAGGTCACCACCCTCGTCAATCTTCTTCTTAGAGGAAACATTTCTTTTCATACCAAGACCAACAGAATGGCTGGACGCTAGGACAAGAAACTTTCGTTTGGGTATCAGTAGCGCAGGCTCTGATCTCCTTTGCTAGTGAACTCCGCTGTAAGTAATGAGTGAACGGTTGCCAAGTCTACCAAATCACTATCAGTATCTGTATCACATCAACAAGGCGGCCATAACAATTTTCATCCGACTACTCTGCGTTCGCGCCTCGCCTTCTCCACCTTGTCTAGGAGTGTGGCCGAGCTGGCTCCGAGCACTCTCATAGAGACTCTCTACGTTGGCCATCATTCTATTGATAGTCTCCTTGTCTGCAGCTACCTTCTCATGGTCTGCTTCAGGCTCCGAAGTGCTTTCCTCTATATGAACAGGCATTACACCAGAAGATTTATGCGTCGAAGTCGACCCTCCACCCGTTGAACTTAGTGCAGGAACTATCTGACTCCTTGTAGAGGACAGACGACTCGATGTGGGCTCGCTGAGAGAACTCGGCTGATAAGGCTCTTGGTAGAACTCCTGCGGTGGAGGCACGGATTGCCGTTGATCATTTTCCTCTTCCTTCTCGATCTCGGTCTCGATTCTTGAAATCATCTCGCTAACAGGATCTCGCGCAAGGGTTAGATGCGGCTGCTGATGTACTTCGACCACACCAGAATGTACGACCACATTGTCAACATCACTAGCAACAACAACATTATCACCATCGCGCAGCTGATCGTGAAGTTCCTCATCCTGAAAGACGGCTTGACGCTCTTCTTCGTCCGATTTCGGCTCTCCACTAGACGCCATTTTATCCTCCTCTGGTTCGAGACGGTCCTGGATCTGAGGCTCCGCAATTTCAACATCCCCAAAAGCTGGACCCGGTCGTTGTGCAGGAGCATCACTTTTCGTACTTGCTTCAGTTCTTAGAAAAGAGCTTGAGCTAATAACTGGCTTCACATCCGTGGAAGCATCCTTTCATGTCGGATTCATTGCTTGTTCCGGTCTACCTTTACTAGTACTAAATACAACGCGATATTTCTTATTACAACAATCCTTCACATGCGCCTGGGCCTGGTGCTATTACTAAACCTAGAGGTCAAAAACTGCGACGAAGACTAACCGACTTCGACTTCTTCCTCCCACACGACACACCCTCCCTTCTACTAGTTGTAATGGCATCAAGATCAACCATAAAGGCTCCCCCTCTTCTTGTTCCTTCTTCTTTCCAGCCAGCCAGAGTGTTTCTTGTTCCTCTTTTAGCGCTTTCCCATCTACTGACGCTGGCAGCGCTCTCCCATCTGAAGAATCTTGTGGAGACTTCGTTGAAGCAACGGTCCTTGGCGTGACTCCTCTTGGCGTAACGCCCCTTGGCGTGGACGTGGAAGACGTAGCTGCTGGCTGTGGCTCTAATGTTTTTTAGAGGAGAGTCGTTCGTTGTCCGTCGCTGCTAAAAAAAGATTTCAATCCTCGTGGAGCATATCGTTCTATTTCTTGAGTGGTTCCTAGTTTTTGTTTCGTCTCGTCAAAAAAAGACAATAAAAGCTATCATATTTATGGGCAATAACAGACAGATGCTGGAGCACCAAGATGATAATGAGGTGAAAAAAACTATAACGAAGATCAACGAACCCTCTCATAACCTTTAGCTCTACTCGTGCGTTCTTTATGCTGCTTTCCTGCTGCGTTCTTCGGTTTCGGTAACGCTTGGGTCCTCGCTGCAAGCGACCTACTTGGCGAGAGGATACTAATAGACGGTGAAGCTTTTCTTATTCCAGTTGGCGACGCACTTTTTCTTCCTGATGGCGACGCGCTTTTTCTTCCAGACGGAGACGCACTTTTTCGTGCCGACGGAGACGCACTTTTTCTTGCCGAAGGAGACGCAGTTTTTCTTGCCGACGGAGACGCACTATCTGGCGAAGCTGCAGCTAGACGATCCCTGGATCGTGGTGTCATGTAATGTGGTCGTGGTGTCACTTCTTGCTCTTCCTTTTTGGTCCTGGAGCTCCGCTTCGGCGCCCTGATACCAGGACTAGTGGCCCTGGAACTAGTTACAGTTCTTGGACTAGTTACAGACCTCGGCGATTTCGACCACGATCCTCGCGACATAATTGCCATTAGAGTTCTTCGCAATTTTTCATCTATCAGCTGCATCCTTGAAAAGTAGTATCGGAGAGTATTTCCCTGACCCTGTCACACTCCCCCATACGTTTGAAGGATGCAGTCAAAGATGAATTAATAACTTCAGTCCTCTTAATGTCACGTTTTTCCCCAAACTTGTTGGCCGCATCTTCTTTTGTGCATATTCCGACGTGGCCTCGCCATCACGAGGTGTGGACAATCTAGCCTCTGTGATCATCTTTCTGGCTCGCGCGCTCACAGCGTTGCCAAGCTTAGAACTTGCAGAAATCCATCCCGGTGAGCATCTCCCGGCCCCTGTAGTTGTTCCTTTCACAAACAGGAAGACAAAGATGATTGGGAAGATGGACGATTTCCTCAAGCCTTAACTAGCTGAAGGGTCGCCGTAGTACGTGAACGTAGATCCTTCTGCGTCGATATCTTCTGATGCAAGTCGCCAATTAAACGAACACTCTGCCGCGACTTGCCTTCGTCATTCTTTCGTCTCTTCGCAAGAGCAAAAATTAGAGGACTTAAATATTGTACGATAGAACAAGTATCTCTCCTCTTCTATCTTGTTACAGAATAGGCATCAAATCCGAATGAGACATGTACAACTTACTTACTTAGCATGGAGGAAGAGGACAGCAACGCCACTCTTTGTCTTTTGTCATGTCTTAACTGCATTGCCGTGGTGTGTCTCACACTAGCCCCGCGCGTTCCAATGTTCTTACCCGCCGTGAGATTTTTGGTCGACTTTTTGGACATGCTATTTTTTACCCGCATTGAGGTGCCAGCACGACGAGCTGTGATGGTGATGTGTGGGAATACGCACAACTCGTCACGGACCTCACGTACGAGACTTTGACCCGGAGAGTCGTAAGGACCCACTGCGGATGTCGCTCTGCCTAGCGGATTTGAAGATGCAACAGTTGTTCCACGTCCCTGGCCAGAAGACGGCGACGAAATAGTGACTCCTCCTCGCGTGCGACTATTGGGAGAGGCGACCCTGGGACTGTGAACTCCATGGTGCGCTCTTGGTCTTGAGAGCAGATAGTCCCGCACTTGTTGCTCTTTCGCAGTGATCATCGGCGACGGCTTCCTCGAGAACAAGTAGAGCATATTTCTTGCATCTGGACTAGTTGGAGAGGTTTCACGGGATTTAATAGCACCTTTTGTCTTTGAGGTAGAAGCTGCTTCTTTGAGTACTCGCGTATTATTTTCTGGCTGCAACTTGTACTTGCTACTGCTAGCTTGATCTGGTTCTGCTGTTTGTCCAGACGAAGAGGAGGCCGCGGTTTCTCCTGAACGTCTTTTTAGGAGATGTTCTTCTACAATTTCGCGTGTTGATCGCACAGTTGCTACTGTTGCATCGTTCGACGTTTTCGCTGCCGACGCGCCCAGCAATTGTAAGAGTGCCTTGTCTACTTCGACGCTAGAAGATGCGCGGATCGACTTCGACAGTTGTTGACTCTTTGCCGAAAATTAGAGGTAGGTTTTTGGTGCTCGCTTACCCCACTTGTTATGCCTTTCTCATCCTAAGGGAGAGAGGCATAAAAAGCAGTAAGAAAAGCACCTTTAACCTACCCTTAAGAAAATACCTGCGACCGGAGCGCTTGCCAACCGGCGCGCGCACTGCGTCGCATCGCTGTGCCTTTTTGACTCCGTTCCCACAAGCTACGACGCCGGAGTGCAGCAGGAGAAGCCGCATCCCTAGGACTAGCATGGTCTACGATGTTCGCTTCCGTGTCCTCCAAGGGCTGCTCTTGTTTCTCCTGATTCATCTGATTCACATTTTCATTCCTAGCATCACGCTTGATCGAATCAGCCACCATATCGCCAACTTGAGCTGTATTCCCTTTCAACAGTCTGGTCCGTGTCCACGGTGAAGTCCCTATCATGTGCGCTGGTAATCGCGATGCCGCGATAATTCCGCTCACTCGCGGTGGAGGCAACACTTTCACGCTTGACGTTCCCGACGCTGCTGCACCAGTGGCCGCTCCAAGCTGCATCATCCACGGAGCAACAGAAGATCCGACTACGTTCTCTCGTCCTCCGTTACTGTCCTCTGTGCTTCCTGGTGAACCAGCAGCCCTCAGCGGAGACGCTAGAGCCAATACTGGTTTCGGGAGGGCTAAGTGTTGAGGAGGCTGCAATCCTGGCATTGCTCGTCTTTCGCCTGGCGGAGATGTCTGCGCTGCTGGAGCGCTTGGCAACCGCATAATTTGAGGTGGAGTCAGCGGTCGTCTAATGGAGTTACGGTAGTGGTATGTTGGTGGTGCAGCGATTAAGTATTCATGTTCAATTTGAAATCCTCAGAAAGGGTGCTTTTTTGCAATAAGTCTACTAGGGTAGTTTAGAGTAAGAGTTCTCACTCTGTGTGTGTGTACTTGATACTTCTATGTAATATACATGTTGTATTGTGTTCAACACATAGTGTGTGTACTTGTGTTCACAGTACATGGTGCAAAGATCATTAGGATACACTTACACTAGTTGTAGTTTTTGAATAAGTACCTATCGAATCTCGGCTTCAGGCTTGGTGAGCGCAGCTGAGGAACGACAACGGGGCGAAGCCGACTTCCTGGTGACAGATGTGGAGCTTCTAGAACCCTTGCAGCTGGTCCAGGGGACGCCGTCTGAGGAGATACCACACTTCCAAGCGGGTTGATTGTGACTATCGTTCGATCTCCAGCGCGTCCTGTTGAGGATACTACTGGTGGCGAGGCCGTCTTCGCACGAACTTCTAGTACTTGAGCAGCTTCTGATGGGGTCGGAGATGCTGAAGCTGCCAGGCCCTGTGCACGTGTGTACTCCGCTACAACTGTTTGAGATTGAGGAGGTGCAGCCAGCGTACTAGTTTGAGGAACTTGCGCAGAAGAGGGCTCCTCGACTTGTTTTTCCTGCCTGGGACTCCCCATCCCAAAGAAACTACCGATCGCAGAGAAGAGACCACCTCCTCCAGACTTCTTCTGATCTGCCTCAGGAGAAGAGGTTCTAGAACTCCGAGATGCAGACGATGCTCTCTTCTTCTCTCCTACTACTACGTTGTTATCTTTAACCGCCGTGGATGTGGTAGTGGTTGTTTCTTCCTCTGATTTTTTTCGCGGTTGCATCTGCGTTGATTGTGACTTTCGTGCTTGTTGAGCTTGTGACGTTCTCTTTTGTGGTCGTGGCCGCTCCTTTGGCGCTTGATGAACTTCTTGCGACGGTGTTGGTGCTGTTCGTGGTGATTGATGTGCCATGCGTGGAGATTGCACCATTCGCGGTGATTGGGGGGATCCTCGTGGAGATTGGGCCGCTCGTGGAGAGTGAAACACTTTTGGTAGTGCTGCTTTTCTCGGCGTCAACTCCCTTCGCGGCGTCGATTGAGCCGGCTCTGGAGCGTGTGACTGTGCACCTGCTTTCGTGCCGTGTGAAGGAAAGTGTGGTAGTGCAGGTTTGCTATGACTGTGCGGCGAGCCTGGGGGATGATCAGCTTTCTTCTCACGCGTAGCAGCATGTGCTGTTGGACTCTCTGGATGCACAACCTCCTTGACCTTGTCTAACAATTTAGCTTGACGCGGACTCAGTATTTTTTTGGAACTACGAGCCGCGCCCCCGAGCGAGATTCGATCTATTTCCGGTACTATCCTGAACTGCATTTGGGGTGTGTTCTTCTGCTTGTTTGCGGCAATCGCCTTGATTTCGTGTGCGGCCGCAACGTCAACGATCTTGTGATCTCCACCTACGCTTGTCACATGATCAGTCGGCGACGCAGAACTGGCGAAGCCTGAGCTTAGAAGTGGTTCTTCTAGTTCTTCGTTGTATTTCGAAAACTAGAACTACAGTATCACGACCCTGGATTCTCCCCTCTGAGCGTGGGCTCTCCTGCTCTTCCTCTTAAATAGGAATTCATCCGTCCTCTCGCTCTCGGGCAGACCGCCTCATACTGTCTGAATGATACTCGTCAAGTTCTGAACTATTGAAAAACTACAAAAAATAGTCTCTTAAGACTGGCCCCCTTGGGGTAGTTCTTGCTTCTTCGTCCGTCAGATCCCATACTTCCATTAGGTACTCCGTTCCAGCTCGCTCCGAAGCAAGAGGGTCATCTGCTGCACGACTCGGAGAGCGGACAAATTGCCTAGCAGTAGTGATCTCATGACCAATCGATTGCGCGAACGAGTCCTCCGACGACCCCGCCGTGTGTCGCAAATCTTCTCGCTGAGCAGCTACGGTGTCCACTGAGGACGCTTTCGAATGAACGACTGTGTCGACGTTGCTGTCCTTGTCCACTGGGATGGGATAACGAGCATCTTCTACTGTTTCCTCTTCCTCTACTTCTGCAATATTGTAACTGGAAGTTTTGCTCTTTGTTCTATTCATTTCATCGTCGTCACTATCGTTCGGTCCGGTGGGCCTATAGAAGGCCTGTGAGTACTGAGAATAGGTCTGGTGGCCCCTTGATTTTGGATCTGCGTCAACATCGGAACCCTGTGGTGTAGGCTCTTGCAAAGGAGGTAAAGCGGGAGCGTGGTCATCGATTAGGTTATTGAGATGCGAAATTTTCTCACTCAGCATCTTCTGAGTCGCGTCTCCATCGCGCGTAGCATTAGCGTGCGCGCTCAAAGCAGCGCTCGTACGAATTTCATGCACTGCGAGATCTTGCTTTAAAAATATGACTGATTTTTTAGAACCTTGAATCGTAGGTCTTGTTTTCTTCGAATTCGGTTGCGAACCCTTTGCTCCACCAGTGCCTGTCGTTGTTTTCCGCGAAAAATCTCCTCCACGTTGAGACAGAGGCGAGTCCCCTACTTGCCGCTGTTGCATGACTTGCGTTTCTCTCGCGAAATGGTGCGTAGCTGCAAAATCACGATTTGCAGCGTCCGGAGAAACACTTCTTGACGAACCTCCTTGTTTTCGCTTGTTCAAGCCTAAGATAGCAAGTGATCCGGCATTCGCAGCGTGCACTGCAACGTCTAATTCCGTTGCGAGCTTCTTGTTCTTGCCTTCTGCCATGTGGAGCTTTTCGGCCAAAGCGTCCCGCTCAAACTGCAACTGTAGTTCCACTGATTGCCGCTTCGTGCTGTTCTGCTCAGCAAGCAGCGAGTGACACTGTTGTTTGTTATTTTTAAGAGTTGTCGATCCCGATCGAAGACGAGCATAGATAGCGATACTGAGGATATTACTGAGGTGGAACAAGTATCTCATCCACAAGTAGAATAAAAGCAGTAACTGAAGAAAACAAAAATAGCCAAAAGCAAAATTATGATCGACAAGAACAAGGAACAACAAAAAAGAGTACGTCATCCCATAGCTTTTTCGAGTATTCTTCTATTGCCTCTGGATCGTCCGCATCGAAATCTATCTCATCCGTATCAGCAGCTGAAAAGCAGAGAAGGATTGAGCTTTTCCTACATAAAATGGATCAATAACAATAGTGCATGATGATCCTCTGGTGAAGCACATGCAGATTCAACAAGATCATGAAGGTTTTACCTGTCCCAGCATCTTCCTCCTGCTCCTCTTCCTTGCCGTCTGCGTTCATTTTCTCCTTCCTCGCCCTCGGCTCCTCGGTCAAAACTGCTTCGCCATTTCCATTTCCTGTTGGAGAGGACACTGCTCCCTCTACATCCGTTTTCTCAGCCTCCTGCCGCGTGACAGCAGCCTGGTGGAGAAGAGGATTGAAAATAGGAATTAAAGGTATCATCTTCACAGCTTTACCTATATATAAGGTGAAAGAAGACACCAGACGATATGATCAGCAGGTTAATACGCAAGTCTAGCATATTAATAGACACCCACGACTGCTTGTTTGACGCAGACCGCTAGCTAGAAACACATAGACATGACTGAAAATTATTTTTAAGGCAGTAGTACCACAACCACAGATGAAACTGCTATAAGGTAGTTCTAATTTCCAGTGAGGCTCTCAGTCACCACTACAATAGAAAGTAAAGTTGTAGTACCACATGCAATTCGTTGCCTAAATGCGCTATCTTCTGGTCCTTCTCCTTCAATTGTTGCAGAAGTTTCTCGACTAGAGTGTGCTCGCTGTCCTTTTCGCGCACAAAATGCTCCATCTTGACCTCTTTTTCCTTTACCTTCGACAACTCATTCTGCAGTGCGGCAGAGTTCCGCTTGAACCTGTCGGCTTTTGTGAATTAGAGGTCAACATGCGTCCATGCATTTCCGTTACTGACGCAATATTTAGGGCATTACACTCTCCAACCCCACGCGGGGGGGCCCCACAGGTAGTTGTGCCCCTTTTCTTTGTATCATTCAGTAGCAGATGCCGGGAGGTCGGTGCCCTGTGGAGGCAATGTGATTGATTGATTAAATATTATCTGCATGATCTTCTACATTGCCAAGTTCACGCCTTAACTACGATGCGCTTCAGCATCTCGCTCCTTCAGGGCCAGCTCTTCCCTCAGCCTTGCGACCTCGAGTTCGGCGTCTCTCATTTTACGCACAGTTCCTGCGTGAGCCGTGTTCCGCTTCAGCATGTGACTCCTGCTATCTTCGGTTGAGGTACTATTTGGTCCTCCTCCAAGCGTTGTGGCCTCGTTTTTCGGTCTTTTCTTAGAGGTGTAAAGACGAGTGTAGAACTAGATGCCCCATGTATAATTCGTTCTTGTCACCATGAATGATAGGAGGATTAGCCTTGGGGTTAGGTCCCTGTGGGCTACCCCTGTTGTAGCTTTATTTCTCCCAATGAATTTATCATAAACAATAACAACTAAGCTACAAAATGACGAATGATTCTTCTGTACAACGATTAAAATATTCCAACATGGTCGTAATGCTTTTTTCACATGATCATACATGATCTTCTATCTCTAAAATATATAGCCTGAACCTTAATAACGTTCGTCCTCTCCATTGATGCCGTGCCAGCCCTTTCGAATCTTTTTTGAGGTGCTGCTCTCGAGGCTCCGCCCTTAACTTTCTGTTTCGCCGCAGAAGCCTGCGTCGAGGAAGTTACACTTTCACCTTCGGGAGCAACATGTGGATGTGGCGGCGCGGGAGAAGGCGCATGCGCCATGTCCTGCTGACCACTCCGCTCACTGCTCGTCGGTGTTTCTCCTAAAGCAGATTGGAAAAGAATGGGAGGTGCTTGGTGGAGTCCAGCACCCTTTCCATGTTGTTGTTGGGGTATTGTCAAACTACCCACTGCAAGACTTCCTGCGCGCAGTTTCTGCAACGCTCCCTGCAAATGCTGACTGGCTGGAACAACAGGTTGTAGCACTTCTGGCTTCGAAGCTTGTCCAACATGCGTTCCTTGATGAAACTGAGTCTGGAGCACCGAGTGACGATGTGCTTCTATGCCTGTCCCAATACTCGCATGACTCGTGATATGTGGCGTTCCATGAAGCTGTGCACTCGGTCGAGAATGTTCCTGTGATCAGGTTTTTCAGAGACTTTCTTGAGAGAGATAGATGCTGATTATAGTTCTCAGAGGGACCACAGGGACTTTCCCCGACAACTACCTACGACCATATTCATACGCACATGATCTTTCCTTGATTCTGATGTAAGTAGGTACCACATTAGGTACCACATCATGATCGATTCAACTACAATCCAACAATAGAATACGTGATTGCTCGTCGCAGCAGCGCTGTGCTCCAACGGTTCTGGATAGTGAACTTGCACCATCGGTTGTTCCGGTTCTTCAGACGCCTTCAACCCTTTCCGCGGGCTAGTCTGAGCCCCGCCCCCTCGAGTACTGGGCTGTCTAGCACTCGCTGACGGCCCAGCTCGTGAACGAAGCAATTCTGCTGTTGTCATACTTCTTTGAAGATTTTTCGGAATTCCATTAGAAGTAGCTCCACCTTTGCCATTCGTAGGAGTCAGGCTCTTGCAGCTAGTCCTGTGTTGGGCCTTTCCTCCCTTGATGCCGTTACTAGGGTTGCCACCTTTAGTACTCGGCTCACTGGCCCCCTTAGAAGAAGCGTGTTGACGAGGGCTGAGGTACGAGGATGATGTGGATATAGAAGTTGCATTCACAGGTGCTGTCTTCTTTCCAGTCGAGGGTAGGGCCCCATTGCTCTTTCTAGAAGCTAAGGACTTCGTAGGCGTAAACGCTGCTCCTCCGGGAGTCGACACAGCAGATGAGCTCCCCATCTTTCTACCCTTAACGCCGTTAGTACCTGTCCTGTTTGTAGACGGAGTTGTTGGAGTCTTGGCCGCCGCAGCCGCTGCTGCTCTTTTCGCTACATGTTCTTGATATAGTCGCACTCCTGGCTGCATGTCTGGCTTGCACTCCATTTCCATACTCACCTCCATGAAGCGTTCCATTTCCGGGTGACCCTCGAATTGCTCTGGGCATTGCTCTGGGACCGGCTTTGCTCGGTTTGGCTCTAGCACATGGTTACGTTCAGAAACGTCGCTACTGCTCTGAGACGATGCTGGGGGCCCTTGTTCTGGTACCGGTGCTGGAGGTGCTTGCATTCTGGGAGTGCTGTCTGATGAAACTGAAGTTACTCTTGCTGCTTGCTGCGCGATTGGCGTATTGTTAAGACCGACTCCCGAAACCGTGAGTGAGACACCTCCAGGAGCCTGAATCTTCGCGCTCAAACCAATGCTGGCTGCACTGCTCGAAAACATACTGGCTGAGGACGGAGCCATTTTTACTGGGGTACGCGTACCCATGACCGCGACGGGCGCAAGACCAACTTGCGTCGGCGCTCGAACGCTAGTAATGCCAGACGATTCTTGACCATCCAGTAGTACTAGTTTCTCCTCAACAGTGGGCGCACTCGCTCGCGCGTGTTCGTCTAGCTCCTTGCTGCGTTGTTGCGACTGCGAAGTAGCCTTAGTGCCTAGTAGTTGCAGTTTTGTTGGCACCACTCCCAAAGTCGGAAGCTGTAACGTTGCTGCACTAGCGGTGGTGCCCAGAGTCGTCCTCGAAACACCTGATCCACCCAACAAAGCCGAAGATGCGCTTCCCCGCATGTGGATCCCGGAGACTGTTGATAAGGCGCCTACAGCCTCGATACTTTTTGCCGGAGACAAGGAAGCTACCTCGATAGTATTTTTCGCCGGAGAGACGCTCGAAGTACCACTCGTTATCTTTAGTCCCGCAATCTCCCGAGGCTTCAACACCGAAGCACGCTGTTGCGGACCATGGAGTAACTCGCTTCTAGGTGATTCTCCTGGCAGTTCAGATGATAACGTGGCATTTATCGTGCGCTTCGCTGCTGTAGGCTCCGGAACAACAGCACCTGGTCCTCCCAGACCCGCACCTCGTCCGCGACTAAGCCGACTGCTGTTAGGAGCACTGGCGTTCTCGTGATCGGCATAGTTGACAACGGAGGGCTCACCCTGGAACGACACGCTTCCTGGCCGAATCACGAACGAGCCCGACGGATCGCTCACGGCCTGCAACTCGGACACCACCGACACTGAGAGGTCACGCAAATCGGCTTGGCTACTGCCGGAAGTAGCAGCAAGACCCAAATGCGTACACGAATCCTGTCGGGTGAGCACCATATTCTACAGATACTTATGTCTTCCTATAATCATGAAGAACTAGTACACGCACAGACCGAAAATAGGCACGTCCATTGGATCATCTTGATGTACCTGGAACCGTACATTTTCATGGTGGGTGTGTTTGCTCACCCGCGCGTACCGCGATAGTTCAGGATCATAACTATGTATTAGTAAGGAAACAATACTCAGCTGCTATAAGTAAATAAGGGGTAGCTGCAGGCAAATCTTCAGCAGCGAGAAATTCTATGACTGAGGAAAAAGGATGTAAGTAGAACCTTGTACCTGTTGAGCAGAGAGATTGACAGCCTGACCGATACGTGTCATCTCGCGTGTTGTGTCCGTTAGCACTACCAGATTCTTGGACCTACCGACCACATCAGATCACAGACACCGACCTGCCGTTATATTCCTCTCCTAACGTTGATTATAGATGACCGATACTTCATCAGACAAATTGACACTGATGATGAGACCACAACTGAAGACATCGATTGTACATGCACTTGCATTTTCTTGATAATTTCACGGGATCGCGTCTACGTAGCCAGTTTTTCGCGAGAATCGTAATCCTATTGTTAATAGTGCCACCGGCATCGCCAGGTGCTACACCTAGAAGGAGTGCGACCTGAATGAAGAACCATAGTACATCACACATCCATGAATGTTTTCAAAAAACGGCTGTTGTCTAGGGGGCAATCGCTCGGTGATTTCTGGAAAATGCGTGACGACCTTTGTTACACAAATGTAAATTGATTTGATGGCCTCCCGCCTCAGTAGATGAAAAAATAGTAATCGATCCCAGTGTTTCTTTCTTCTTCTTACAAGTTCGCTGATGGCGTTTCGACGACATTCTTCAGCAGCGTTGCCACTATGGTTTTGTCATCGCCGCCCATGTTCACCGCGAGGCCGACTTGCGGCTTCTTCGGTAGCTGGTATTCTCCGCACTGGCCCTTCATTTGCCTGTAGATTTCATGGATTTGCTTCACGCCCGTGGCCCCCACCGGGTGACCAAAGGCAATCAGACCGCCGCCCGTGTTGACCGGTAGTGTTCCCTCCAAACTAGTGACGCCTGACTGCGCACACTTCGGTCCCTCGCCTGGCGCGGCTAGACCGATAGCCTCGTACATGAGGATCTCCGCGATGGAGAAGCAATCGTGGACCTCTGCAACGTCTACTTTGCTGATGTCGCAGCCCGTACGCGCGTAAAGACGGTCAACCACAGCCTTACAGGTGTCCATTTCGGCGAGATCCTTGGGATCCTCGTACAGGTTTCCACAACCATATTCGCTTGCCACGAGTTCGACTAAGTCTGCTTGGTATGAAAGAGAACATCAGAAAAAAGATTTTTAATTTAAGGGTTGATTGCAAGTGGAAAAGAGTTCTCTGATCTCTTCACTCCTCGCAGATTTCAAAATCTCCTTGATGGGTCATCAGTTTGATGTAACAAAGCACTCAGCGTACTAAAGCAATAGACACGACTGCATAAGTACGATGAGAAAAGAATACAAAATTGCCTTTCAACACGAACACCATAAACCTTTTCCGATGCCTTTCAGGCCGTTCTCGTTTGCCATTACGATGCACGAGCCACCATCGCTCACCTGAGAGCAATCACGCATTCTCACGTGACCACAGAAATCTTGGTTCGATAGAAAATTCGGATTTTTTTCTCCTGCTTTCGCTGCCTCTAGTGGTACTTTCGATCTGTGCATGTGCGCTTTCGGGTTCCTATTGCCGTTCGCGTACGCTTTGGCGACGACTGCGTTTAGGTCGTCCATACTCAGATGTGGATGCTTTTCTAGGTATGCCTTGGTCCGTCTTGCCAACAAACAGGGAAAGGCGAAGTATGGATCATGTTGATTTTGCCATCTAGGCAGGCCACCCTGGCAGTTTTTCCATTTGAAATGAGTGCCAGGATGGTCGTAAGGATGGAAAAAACGTCATCCATACAAAGTCGTCAATATCTGCTTGTCGTGGAAAATCGGCTGCACGCGCCAAAAAGCCACCACCTTCGCGCGCACTGACCGTGCTCTGCACCTCAGCGCCGACTACTAGGACTACATCAGCGCCGCCGTTTTCCTTACCGGCACGTAAAACATCCGCGGCCGCAGCAACAGCAAGTCCGCCACTGGCACAGGCGCCCTCGATGCGCATACTCGGTTTGTACAAAAAATCAGGAGAAACACCAGCAAGCGCGGAACCGAGATGGCCTAGTCGTGTAGGAGGTAAAGGTACTTGTAATATGCAAAAATACAATAAGAGGTGGATCAAGATTTTTGTAGATGCTCATACTAATATCGACTTCACAACTACAGTAATTTTGGTTTATATAGTACAGTGTTGAAGTACCTTGTTTCGAAAATAGTTCCCCAGCAAAATTTCCGACGTAGAGTCGGTCAACATCCTTCCCTGCAAGCCCTGTCGCTTGCAGCGTCTCTGCAACTGGCGTGCTCAGGTAGTACTTTAAGTCGGGGTTTTCCTTCTTTCCGAATTCTGGGTGCTTCGGATGGATGAACTCGGGATGCCCTTTACCCAGGAAAGTCGTAGTCGCACCTCCCGCTATGAAAACTCGACGGCTCGCGGACGACGAACTGCTCATGGCGCGTTGGGACGACAAAAGGGCAGAAAGCTGCTGCCCAGTTGTTCCTGTACCGGAAAGTCGTACACCGAGGTGCATTGTGGTGGAACTTGAACAACGAAGAACTTTTTGAAGGAATTCGCTTTGACAATATGGGCACCAAAATGGAATCTACTTCAAGACGATTCTCCACAGGTGGCCAACGAGAACGAAAACGGAAGAGGGAGAATTATCAAATATTTAACTGTCTTTTGTAATCCGAGTACCATTTCCAGGGCACAGCTTTTCCTGTAGATATGCTGGAAAGTCACAACAAATTATCGAAGACTTCAACATTCTTGCCATAAATCTCTCGCTCTCTGTTGTTCATCGCTCTTTGTATTCAAACTCGCCCTTTTGCTTTTGCGCCATGATCATTCGACACACTGCCTCGATATGCAAAAGCCTTGGTGCAGGGATTAGTTTTTGTAAGAAGTAAAAAATTTGATGCGTCTTGTTATTGCCAACTGTACGTTTAAGATATGACCCATTCTCAAATCCAATCTTTTCAAAACGCATGTGCGCTCGGACGGCGTTCAATATTTGTGGGTTCAATCCTGCCAGCCTGTGCATGAAGATGAAAATAATTCTTACGAAATCAAAAAGGAAAAAAGACTGAGAAACTACACAACTTCTTCTATCATAAATAAACTGCGCAACCACCAAGAAATAAACTAGTATCAACTCCTGCATATTCACTTCACCAAAGCTTCCGCGAAAGCCTCTAAGTTTGCTGCCACCCTAGGGTCTTGTTCAAAGGCCCTCAATTTGCCTTCGCTGGTGATACCCGCTACAGTCGGGAACGCCTCGACCGCTCCGAAGGCTTGTGGGATATCGGAAAGAGAAGCTGGATCACTCGCATCGAATTTTACGACGGCTACCTCTGACTTCTTCCCCTGCAATGCCGCCAAAGCAAGTTCGAGTGGTGCTGTCTCGATACTGTCGTCATCGACCCCGTGCTCGACGACGACCTTGAACAATTTGAGCATTTGAAGTATGGGATAGGATAGGATAGGATAGGATAGGATCCATGATAGGATAGGATAGGATAGGAATTGATCCACCTTCCATGTCGCAGAAGTGACAAAAAACGAAGTAGTGGAAGAGAGGACGGATGAAGTGCCTAACTTAAGTAGTACCTGACAATGAGGGCACCAGCTCGCGAAAAAGACCACTAAAAAGGGCTTCTGCTCCTCTAGCATCTTTGCCAACCCCTTGCCTGTCACAAACGGGACCTTTCCTTCATCACGGCTCTTTTTCTTGTCCTTGCTGGGAATGAAAGGAGACAAATTTTGACTTGTGGTGTCAATCATACAATTGAAGTTGTAATGAGTCTACGAATAGGTGTGAACATAGTCCTAGAAATAGGTGCTAAAAGGGAATTTCGATTTTTCGGGGGATGAAGATCATAAGTATGTAATATGAAGATCGACGCTAGAAGTCAGTACAACCAATACCAACTGCCTCGATCATTAAGTAAATACCGGTAAATACGATCATTCACCTTTCATAACAGCAACGAAGTTGACATCGCTATCGTGATCCGCATATTGCTTCCTGTCTTTGGCACTGCAAACGGGGAAATGCTTCTGAGCCGGCTCCGCCTCTACAGCATTCTGGAAGTGTAACGCGTTTGTACCCTGAACCAACACAGTGGCGATCGACGCAAACAGTCGAAGATTTGACATTTTCTTTTCTTGAAAATAATTAAAAATTCCTCTATTACTTATACTTGACTTCCAAACTGAGGTCTACGTCGTGCTTTACAACTACTGGTTCACTTCCAGTCTATAATGAAACGAAGTCACTACATAAGACAGGACGGTTACAGCCGAGATCCCACGCAGTCCATACTAACAACTCCAACATAGACGTATGTATCGTGCTTGCACAAAACCGCTCACGATGCCCATACCAGAAGTCGAAGAATATTCAAAGTGACAACCACTGCAGCATGTGGAAGCAGAAGCCATGTATGTCGGCACATTTTTTCACGACTGTACCATTTCGTTGCACATGTTCTTCTGGTTTGTACTAAGTCTTGCGTTCTATACACGTCTGTATCACTATGCAGACAATACGGGAAAAAAGAGTCTTCAACAGCATTATTTGCCCGTCTCGTGGCTGACGCCGACCACAGCGGAAAAGGAGCTTCATCATCCTGTGATTGAGTAATATATAAATAAAAAGAAGTACTAAAAAGGCTCATGCAAAGTACTTAACAACGTGATGAACGTTCTCTGTGACTGTGACTTTCGCCATTCTTCTTCCTTTTTCAGCTGTGACCTATTCCTTGCCCCATCGCCATCGTCCTCTAGCTCCCCCCGTGATTATCGCAGCCCATTGGCGGCACCTCCACGGGACTGCACAACGTTTTTGATGGCATCAAGATTTACTATTCTCACGTTCCCAGGATCGTTGAGACCGGCATCTGCGAGAAAATGTGGCGGGAATTCGATTCCGTAGACGATATCTGAGCTCAGGCTCCACACGTAAGTTGTACATGAAAGCGAAATTACCTAAGGAACAAGGAAGTGGGAAGCACGGGAAGAAATGCTGGTGTTAAGAAGATCCTCAGACGCACGACTTTTGTACTTATACTCTACAGCATAGATACTTCCTGAACGTAAAATAGCAAAATTGCACTGAGTTGTTCATGAACTCTCCCTACCGTCCCAACAAGGTAAGAACATTGATCTGTTCATGATTTGCTCAAAGGATTCCAGAATCCAATATCAGACATAATTGTAGTCCATAAAAGGTCCTCTGGCTGCATCTCCATTCCCGGTTCGCGTAAGACTCCGTTTTGATCCCACCACGTGGCTTGAAGGGGAATCAACGTGTCTTTCATCCAGAACACTCTTTTTGCCGGCGTTGGGTAGACGAAAACCATACCTTCTCGCTTAGCCAAGGGCTCGGCTCGGTGCATCAAACCCCGCTCATGCTGTGCTGGCGTGGACGCGACACTTAGCAAAACTTCTACTAGTACCGTTGGCTCCAGGACCTGTGCTGCTCCTGTAGTTGTAGGAATTGTAGCTGCATTTTTTGAATGTTCGATTTGAATCTGCACTGGTGAACCGAAGTCAACGGCTGTTGGCTGCAACTTCGTGCTTTTCGTGGTTCCTGTTTTTCTACCGTGGAAAACAAGCGAGAAAGCCCCGGTCGTGCAGTCGCTGAAGAGCGTCAAATACAAGAGGCGCCGAATGAGTGCTGGTTCACTACGAACCCTCGAAACGCGGGGTCGAGCCATTTTCCTTCGAGACTACGCAGATGTTGAAATGTGATTTCTACATCATTCTCCGGTCGCACTTACGCCTTTTTCTCCAACATGAACTATTTTTAATTACAGCACACGATCAACATCCAAGTTCAGGATAATAAGGCAACATGGAGATGAGAGGAACTTCACCATACGAGCATGCACATTTCGAAGGTCTCTCTTAAGAATGACCAAATAATCTATTGCCATTTTGAGGAAGTGGTTTCTCGCTATTCGTATCTCTTCTCCATATTTGATCATCGAGAGAGTGTTCTTTTTCATGTTTTAACAATTGCGCTATTAACACAAACTTCAAACCCATTCTACTCTCGTCCTCACACCATTTCCAAAGTAGCAGTCTGTAACTGATACCCTCATCTCTCTCATCGGATATAATATTTTTGCACGAGAACTAATAGGAATAAAGGCTGCCTCACCGTCACAAAAAGGAAAGGCTCCTCTCCTCCTCCTACGGTTGAAGGCTCCCTGTCGCTACTTCAATCTGTGGATCCGTCCAACAAGCAGATGTAATTCATTAGACTGTATTCTCAAACATCTTCTTCGGCTCGTGGCGCGAGAGAACAAATGAATACCGAGAGAGCAAATGATACCGGAAAAGAAGAGGAATTTATTCCCGTCGCATGAATTCGTCAATGCGGAAGACTATGAGTCAATGGCTAGTAAATCTAAAGTCTTAAAGCTATTGCTGCTACGTTTTATCTACGAAAAATCAAATATTAAATCTGCCAGTTGCACACGAAGACAATTTTTGCCGACGCCTTGCAGACAATTTCCGAAGGTTTGTGGGGACCATTCCAAATCCAATCATCTCCGCACATATTGCTACACAACCATGGTCCCGAGGCTCTCCCCGAAATTCAACTTAAAGTCAATATTATTGAATTGTTTTCGCGTAGCTGCGATATGCGACTGTAGCTGGACAGGTCGAGAGAAGAACATCGCTACAAGCGATCCCCCACGAGCAAAACAGCCTATTTTGTCTCCTTTTCGGACGTAAGGCTGCTGCTGTCTACGTCGTTTACTCGGCGACAGTAGAGAAGAAGCGGAGCCGCTGACTTGCTTGGGCCCAACTCCGTCCTGGGAAGGCGACTCATCCTCGTCAGTAGTTTCGTCGCTCGAAAGCTCGTCTACTGCGCCTGTAGAGGTAGGTCCGGTGAGGTGATAACTCCTTGCGCTTAGCTTGCGTCCCTGCCTCAACGTCAGGCAGCCCTCGGGCCGCCCTTGAGATAATAAATTAATTGGCCCTGAAGGGGCAGGCGCAAAATGAGTTACACAACCCACATAAGACACACCGGGAGCGAGGACGCTCTCCCGGAGTTTAGCTCTAGTCCCCCGAATTCCATCAGTCAGCCATAATTATACGCCCAGCGCGGCCGCGGGCGCTAACATGCGGCGCGCAAGGTTTCAACACTCCAAGACGAAAGACAGCACCAAGGCCCTCACCTTACCAAACCTCAGAGAGCCCACCAGGCTGACAGCTGCAGCGGCGCCAAAAGACCAAGCGCCCATCTTCCCGCGCGGGGCCACCAAGAGAACAGCATCCCCCTCCACCCTTCCACGACGTTGCTGGAGTTCTGCGGCAGTCATGCCGGGCAGTCCTTCAGGCTGGAGATATGGCACGCCCCTGAATGCGAGGCCATCGCCAGCACCTGCAGAAGTGACCGGGCAGCGCCTCCTTCGTCCCTCAGCCTCCTCAATCTCCGCGCCCGCCTTGCCAAGCGCCTTCGTCTACGCTCCTGCCGCCCTTCCAGATTCATGGGATCTCCGTCCCCGTCTGAACCACCTCAGGGCTTGGCTGGCCTCTTCCTTTCCTTCGGCGACGGGTCTCGAGTATTTTGGCAACAGACAGAATGAACGGAGCCGAAGACAGTGGCGCACCCATCCACGCCGACGCCAGAGCGGGCCCTTTGTGGGCCACTCACTCGTCCACGCCTTGTCTCGCAGGAGCTCTCTCGCCACCTCGAAGCCCGCAGTAAGAGACACCGGCGCAAGGAGTCCACCCTGGTGCCCTGCCTCCTGCTTTGCACTCAGCCCATTTCCCGCGGAACGTCTCCCCATCAAGGTGGGGCCCCAAGCGGTCCCCCCCCAAATTTCATTCAGCAAGAAGCTCGCACGCCATTGCGCTGCACGTTTTTCATCGGGAAGGCGATCGAAAGCAAGGCGAGCCCCCTCAGCCTCACCCTGCGCCGCGGCGCCCTCCGAAAGTCCACCGCCAGTAGCTTTAGTGGCTTTAATGCCATCCATCAGCGTCAGCGCCATGCTATCAAGCAAGAGAAGCGAGGCCGACTGTCGTAAGCATATGCACGCAGCAGCTATTAGCACGCAGTCTTCAGACCTGTCCCAGCCTGGAGACAATCGCACCCGCAAAGCCGAGGACCGCTGCAACGCTAGCCTCTGGAGCCCGCGGCAGCTGAGTCGGATTCTCCCCGAATGCACCCCGCGGGAGCCCCTGGCCCGCGGCCGCGCTCCCTCTTCCTCTTTGGAGCTCATCCCTATTCAGACAACGACCAGCAGGCGCGAAGTTTTGGCATTAGACTGCAGCTCGGCCCATCACCGCTCTGGCAACGTTTGGGCGGCGCTGGAGCCGGGTCTCTGCAGGTGTCACGCCCTAGGCGCGCCCCCGCGGCGGGTGGCCTCCGGCCGGGTGGGCGTTCGTTTCGACAATCCTCAGCAGCACCGGAAGACAGGGGGGCCATGCTTCTCACTTACGGATTTGCCGAACACCCGGGCCACACCCCGGCAGACACCGCACAGCGGAAAAGCTGCGGCGCGGTTTGTCAGCGGGGTACTTACATACCCGACAGCGACATGTGTCGCCACCCAACTACTAACCGCCTTTGAAAAACCGCACTAGATATCTCGACACTTCAAAAGTACCACTAGCCGTCGGGTCTATGTCTGAGCCACATGTATGCAGCCAATCCTCGTCTTCATCTGCTTGATGCCGTCTTTTCCCATACCGATCTACCGCAGCTTTCTTACAGGGGATATCCATGCGTATGCTGTCTACAGTGATGCCGCCGACGATCACCATCGCGACAGATATGAGAGGTAAGCGTTTCATCCTTTGTAGGGTTCCCTCCATCATAATCATGGAATATTTGAGTACTGTGATGCTGGTTTAGCTAGATCTCAAGATCATCACCAACTAACTCTTTCTATTCACAGGAATCGCTGACAGAGCGCGCGCAATGAGGTGCCAGAACATGACGAATGACTAGAACTATGAAGGCCATAACATATTCGCGTGTCGGCATGCCGCGTGCCTGTCGGTCGCTTTCTGGCGACAGCTCTCCCGCAAAGGTATTTTCCAGAGCTCCTTTTGCCGTCGGCGTACTAAAACTACGCGCGCGCCTCATCGAAGCTCGACTACTGCTGCTCACTGTCGATGTTGTAGGCCCTCTCGCTTTCAGTGAGCTTCTGTTGGCCTCCTCGCTGTGGACCTTGTGACGGTCTTCTTTTTCTCTTCCTGCATTCTCTGTCTCGGGCGAAACACTACTAGATCTTATTATTTTCTCCTCGCCAGGATCAGGTCCTATCGTCTCCGGGGCTTCTCCATCTGCCCGTCCTCGAGCAGAAGGAAAGAGGACAGCAGCTGCAGATACGCTTGCTGTGCGACAGTCGCGTGCAGGTGATCCTTCGCATGATTGCGTAGCTGTTTCATCGGAGATCACAGATGATCCACTGGGTGACGCTGATGGCAACGGCGTCTCCGTTGCGGACTCACCATCGTCCGCCACGGCTTCCTCTGCATTTTTTGCTGCTTCCTCTTGATCGTCGGTTGAGCATAGATTTTTAGAACTGCGAAAATGAAGTACTCCTTACAAGTATCCAACAGAACCTAACTTCTGCAAAAGTCAACGGTCGTCTACGTTATCTACGACGTTTTATGATCAAATTACTCGTCAGACTTGTCCAAAACGCCAGCACTTGTCCTAAACGCATCATGAAGATGAACTTCAACTTTCTAATCATTTATTGTCCATAACAGTTTGCACTGATTGTCGTGAGCCCGTTTCGGTTTTCCTAGAACCTAATCTCCGGCGAGAATGGGACGCTCTTGGGCTCAGCATAAGAGACGATCTGGATCCACTAGCAGATGAGGCGGTGGGACTACGTACCTCGAATACAACAACAACCCGTCGATGCTGCGCCAGGATGTTCACGGATCCCCAGATATCGCTTTTCACCGTTCCACTCCAAAAATCCGGAAACATTTCGCAGTGCACTACTCTGCCAGTCACAGGCGCATGGAAACTGAGAGGGACAGATGAAACCGGAACAGGTGAGAAGATAAAGACTAGGGCGCACTAAAAAATAGAGAGATGAGACGACAAAGCACGACAAGGACGATTCTCAATTAAGCCTACCACGCTAGTCTTGACGCACCTGGTACGGTCAATCACTGCACGCCAAATACCCAACAACCAAGGCCACCGAAAGAACACACAAGGCAAGGGCCACAGCACTGCACAACCAAAGCACAACGCCAAGCGAGGGAGCAACCCTTACCCCCCCGCAGGTATACGCGGCCACACTAGAACGATTAAAGACAGAAAGCACCCCTTCCATGTAGTTCGCCCCTATGTCAGCATAAGCGGGGCCGGACAATCGTGAAACAACACGAGCCAACCGTGTAAGTGTAAGTATATGCTGCCGAAAACCAGACAGGCTCGCCCCGAGCAACGAAAGGTAGAGCTTGCTGCAACGCAACTCGTTGCAGCTTTGGCAGTCGCTCTTTTGTTTGATTGGTCACAGTCACGACGTAACCCATGACCCACCCACCTGTTAGCAGTCCAGCCACGTCAGAGTTACTAACTCACCCCCAGGCTAGCGCTTTGGGTGTCAAATTTTCGTCAGCCAGAAGCGCTCGCCCGAACAAAGCAGAAGCGGAAGCCGCCGCACGCCGTTGCTCGCGATCGTTATTCGAGCCCGCATTGATGAAGGCCAGCTTGTCGATTGCTTTTTTTTCAGCGGCGGCGGGGCCGGCTGTAGCGCCGAGGCGTCTTGCTTGAAGCACACTAGACACTTGGGCCCGGACCTCGTTATACCCAGCTGGGGCGTCGAACACGCACGCGGGGAGATTCTCGCTACCAGATTCGGCTAGATACGCACGGAGCGTTAAGGCCCGATAGCCAAGACTAGAAGAAGACGGCGTGGCCATCGTATTCGTATTACTCAAGCTCTGAAATAAACGCGGGTCCCTGGGTATGGTATTAGTCGCTGATGGGTTGGCACATGTGGAAAGGTCTGGGGCAGTGCCTCCCGATCTGCGACCGCACGCAGCTCCCCCACTTGACCAGACAAGCTCAGCCGCCGCAGCCTGGTCGTTCGTGCTCACGTCGCTGCGGCTCTGCTGCAGCAAGCGCCGGCAGTGCTGAGCGTTGTGACCAGCGAAAGGCGCACCAGGTCCGTTTTGCATGATCGCACCAGTCGACTTGTCTCCTTCCACATGCCAGCCAACCGCGTAAGCCATCGCATTCAAGACGGGCCCCATGAATAAGCCAAGGCTGCTGCCGGTAATCCTCTCCAAGCAACTCGGCTTCCCGTCGTATATCGTCGGTCTTCAGTCCGTACCTACTGGACAGCGCGCCAATAATATGCGGGGCTGGGCAAGTCTCCCCCCCCGCTTTGTACTCTGCGCCTGTAACGAAGGCCGCGAGCGCCAGGCATACAACCTCCCGCGCGAGAAAGTCGAAGCGTGAAACATATCCAGGGGAGAGATGGAAGAAGAACACCGCTACGAGACGCTAAGCGCCGCCTGCTTCTTCTTGGGGCGTCTTTCTTTTGTTGTTGCTGGTCGCTCGTACTACCGGCAGCCCCAGCATGATCAAAATTGGCGACTTCCTTGTCCGCATCTCGCGGCTCGTTCATGAAGGACCCGATGAGGCGCTTCATGTCAGTCGGGATCGACACCGGAAACGCCACCTTGTCTCCGCGTGGCTTTTCCTTCTGGAGCTTAACGAAGCAGACGCAGGCGACCTGAATCGCCCGCGCGTTGATTCTTCGGAGGACGTGGCCCGCGACAGCGGGGCAGCGCGATCTTCCAACAAATACCGCGCAAAGTCGTAACTCAACGCATCGGAGCGAGTACGGACTTCATTGCCAGAGACGAGTTTCGGGCTGTGGGCACCTCTCCGGAAAAGTTGCAACATCGTGAAGTAATCATCTCGGAAGAAGATCCAAAGTGGTTGACGATTACCCTCACCAAGTGCGTCGACGCCGCGGCTGACATCTGGAAAACGCGGATCGGTGTCGAGCAGTCTGACCAACGCAGAACCATGGCGGTTCCGTGCTAACGCAACCAATGTGTGCGCAGAACCAAGTATCGCGGTCGCCGTGTCTGCAAGTCTTCAACAGCAAATATTGTCACGCAACCTTTCTGGCGAGTGGGCGCTGGTTTTGTTACGAAATTCCCCGTCTCGGATTTTCCGTCCATGAGTGAGCGGCTCTTCAGGCTTCCGCGCTCTTTCTTAGTTCTAGGCCATCGAGAACATCTGAAACCCAGATACGCGCTCCACTGTACTCAGTGCGGACGAATTCGATCAACGCTGAGAGCAAAAGCCTCAAGTAGCCTAACAGTGCGCGCCCATCCTGTAACTCGTGCACAAAACGCGAGAGCAACCCACGAAATAAGCCCAACCGGATTCACTAAGTAAGGGCATCAACTGCGGCAAGAGTCCCGTAGCAAGCCGCGACCTCGAGCCTCTGAAAAGAGAAAGCGCACACATATCGCAAGGACAGCCACTCCTTCTCTAGGCATCAGCGTGCGCTTATGGCTACGCAAAAAAAGGAGGCACCAACCTGAGACACGAACGCAGTTCCCACGCACATGCGCCGCCTGAACACTGCACGACGGCAGTAAGCCACTGACAGCGACCACGACATTAGCGAGCAAGAGATAACCGACTTTGTCCTGGAGTGTGAGCGAAGCTAAGTCCGCAACATACAAACACGCCACCACCCCAAACCCAGCACCTAGCGCCTGGCGTAGATTGACAGACCCAACGCCAGTGATCAGGTTAGTCAATAGGCAGCTTAGTACAAGCATAAAAAGCAGTAAGCCTAGAACCCACCCAACCAGTCCGGCCACCCCAATGAGCACGCGACTACGGTGATACACTCGCCGCCAAAGTGCAACCAGTATCAGCAACATGCACAGCTGTGCATGCATTTGCTGAAGGATAACACTTACTGGAGGGACGGTCGGCGTTTGGTAATCGAAAACACTGCAGCCAACTGGAAACTTTCACTCCAGCGCCCAGAAAACGAACTAGCCCTGCCCATTGCCTGCACAGACGCTGCTTCTTTTCTGCCTCTCCTCTTTCTTTCAAAAGACACCCCGAGGCCCCCCGCTGCGTGCATGCGCCTGCGCGGCGGCGGCGCCCGCCTTGCTAACAAACCCGCCCCCCGCATCGTCCCTAGTCCTCCCTGTAGAGAAGCTGAGGAATAACTACGAAAAAAAAAAAAGAGCTCACACAGACCGAGAGCGGCCCGCGCCTTTGCCTTCACGACTGCTGCCGGATAGACAGATGCCCAACCCCAACGCGCTTAGCATGCGCAGGCAGATGGCCAACAAAATGGGCTGGGCACCCGCAACGCCTCGCGGCGGCTTGGGCTTCCTGGCTGGCATGCTTTCCTTACGCCTAAGAGCCAAGCGAGCCCGATCAGCCACGCACGACGCCGCGGGCCCCACTGATGCAAAGCAAACACATCGAGCCCCCCCCACCCTTCCCCAACTTTTAACGCCTGCAGGCTGCCTGCGGGTGTCTTGCAGTGAGGGAGTGGATCAGAAGCGCGCCCGATGTGTGTCCGCGATTTCTGGCGAGAGCGCCCGCCCTTGCAAGATTCCAGCAGCCTGCCAGAGTGAGACTGCAGACAGCTTCCAAGATAATGCCACACCTCACGCAGGCAGCTGATAAAACGAAACAACACACGCGACGCACAACGGAGGCTAATGACGAAACCAGCCACCCAGAGAGACACTGAAAGAACGCCACCGCTGCCCGCGGGTGTCTGTTCCCGCGTCTTCGGTACCGACGACGAAGCCAACGCCTGAGCAACGAAAGCCCCGCGCGTCCTCGGGGAGGTTCCTGATCGAAGGCCGGTCTGGATCGGATCCGCGAAGACCTCGCGGAGACGCGTTGCTGACGCCCGCAGCTCACTCTGGGCCACCTATCAAAGGCCGGAACTCACCAAGCGCGCCGGTTTCGAGCCGACCGCCGCCGCCCCCGCGCGCAGAAGACAGAGGCGGGCCCCCCTCCTGATCGCCAGGCCCGGGCGGTTTCTCCCTGTTTTTCTTGTCCTGCTTTCACGTAGCTGCCGCAGGTGCTGCGCCTCCTGCTCCAGCTTGATCGGTCGCCATCTTCCTCTGCGAGGGATACGCGGCCGCCAGTGCGCAAATGAAATGCTTCGCGTCCCTGTTCGTTCTGGCTCTGCTCTTGTTAACGTAACCCAAGCAAACTCCTGCGCGCTTTGGGCTCATAACTCTGCGAAGACAGAGACGGCGACCGATGGAGAACGAGACGAGAAGACCGCGCGGCCCATTTCTCCTCGCGTTGAGGTTGGTGGCACAATACGAGGCGCGTCCTCCGAGAGTAGAGGAACAGGGAAGCAGTTTAAAAACTTTTTCTTTTAATGCAAGCAGTAAAATAGATACCAGTGATAATCATTCGGCGCCAGATAGAGCATGCAGGCCGGATTCTTTTCGTATCGATCGGAGTCGGGAATCCCTATCGATGATAGATCCCAAAAAGCGTCGTTCTTTAGGCGCTTTGGCATATCGCGTGTGCATGCAAACCATGTGCACACACCATCTACAGGAGATACCACTTGTGAGCTGCCCATTTTAGGCATCCACTCTTTTGCATACTCGAAAAACTGAAATAAGCGAGCAGACGAAATAATAAAAAAGAAAGCCCTTAAACAGTTCACTTCAAAGGGTCAACTTCTAGTGGGGACGCCCGACTACGCCCTTACTTTCAGTCTGAAGCAATTAGATGCGCGACCATCCAAGCAGGGGAGTTCTTCGCGCAGTTCCAGTTGTTCAGCTTAAAATGGGACTTGAATTCGATAGCGGTCTGTCGTTCATGAATAAGAACGGCCATAAAGAAAGAAGAGCTCAGAGAAGTAACTTAGATTTCATGACATGAACATGATAGATAAAAAGCCAAGGGAACAGCGGCTGCGCGCCGGAGGCGCGCCCCCGCTCTCCAAGAAGATCTCGAGATCCGCTACGCGCCGGCACGCAGCGGATCTGGAGCTGCCTGGGAATCTCGAGATCCGCTGCGCGCCGGCGCGCAGCGGATCTCGAGATCTCCTGGAGAGCGGGGGCGCGCCTTCGGCGCGCACCTCCTTTGGAAAGCTCCAGAACAGCTGGAAGCAAGACAGCTACGAGCGCTCTTTTCTCCTTAGAAGTGAGCCCCTTCGTTCTAGGGGTTTGAGGGATCTCGAAGTGGCATCGGCGACCCCCCCTTCGAGATCGTCTGCGCGGCGACGCGCAGGCCATCTCGAGATGGTTCACCTGTACCAAACCATTGGTTTGGCATCGGATGAGCGTCTGGAGATGCTCTGCGCGTCGCCGCGCAGGCGATCTCGAAGGGGGGGTCGCCGATGCCACTTCGAGATCCCTCCAACCCCTAGAACAAAGGGGCACACGTCGAAGGAGGCTGGCCTTTCGTAGCTGTCTGGCTTACAGCTGCGCCGAGGCTTTCCAAAGCAGGGGCGCGCTTTCCAGGAAGTCTCGCGAACCGCTGCGCGCCGGCGCGCAGGGTCCGGAATTTTGGCTCTGTGGGGCGAGTGTTCCACTAGGCCAAAACCCCGGACCACTGGCCCGGAATTTTGGCCCTGTGGAACAGATCGCCCCCGCGGCTTCTTCCACAAGGCCAAAACCCGGGGCCACTAGTCCGGAATTTTGGCCCTGTGGGGCAGGTCGCTCTCTCGGCTTGTTCCGCGCACAGGGCCTAAACTCGGGGCCACGCGCTCCGCTGACAGCTCCACTGGTGTCCGACCTAAGCCCGCGATGATGTCCTGCCTTCGAACCCGTTTGCGAAGCAGTGGCACTACCATAAAACAGACGGAAAAGTAGTCGACTTCTACCTTAAAGCCGAAAACTAAAAAAGGGCTCCCTCTTTTATTTTTTACTCAACTCGCTTATTTCAAGTTTACGAGTACGTCCGCGTAAAAAAATCGTTCTTGCTTGTATAGCCCCCTGGCTGTCGATCCCACACCCACGGCTCAACCTTCAGAAGTAGTAGTGAAAATCCAAGATAGTCGCGCACCGCTAGAAGCTATGGTCAAGTCATTGCCTATTGAGCGTAGACGCAAATGCCAAACTCTATAGATGCCTCAATACCCTCACACATTCTACTCCCTTGTAAATCCTCTACGGAATAATGGACAAAAACTATGAGGTACGGACTAATACAAATACCTGCACACCCCAAAAGCGACACCAGAGAAGCACTTGTCTTTGTGCAGCTTTCGCGTTTCTGTAAGGCTTATCCCATGAATTATGATGAGTCGTGAACCACCTCAGAAACCTTTCGTACAAATGCATCCCAGGTCGACCAAAGAAACAGCATGCTGGCCGCTCACTTAGATGGATGATCAAGAAAGTATTTTGATGAGATGTTCATCTCCTCAGAGAAGAACACGGCGAGAGAAGCTATTGCTCGTTCTTGTTCCTCGCTCTAGACTTAGATGATGACGCTAGTCGGTTCGGAGTTGTCCTACGACTTCCCTGAGTCTCTTCTGAGTTTTACGGATTTCCCTGATGTTAAAACTGTTGTGTTGAAGATGTTGATGATCTGCCAACATCCTTTTGTTCATAACAGCAAGTAGAAGATGAGAGCATGTCCGAGACAGACTGGCCATCGCTTCTTTTCTCGCTTCACCTCCTGCGTTTTAATCACAACATATTCGCGTGGGTAGCCCAGCTGCACCGTCACCACAAGCACGTAGACCAGGATGCCGAAGAGCTGCAAAGAGACCACATACGAGGGAATCCATGAAGGCTCAGGCGCAGAGACCAACAAGCCTCCCGCATCGAGAGCAGAGACTCCCGCATCGAGAGAGCCCATTCTCGTGCTTGCCACAATTCGTTTTGGAGAGGATCTTCAGTCTGCTCTTCCGGCGCAGGGGGCAAGGAACCGCAACGGGCCACGGAAACCTCGAAGAATCGAAATCATAGAGACTCCCAAATACCAAAGGAAAATCGCTAGGACGTTCAAGTCAACGCCAACGAACCTCCAGCAGAAGCGCGAGAACAACCATCATCATTAGGAGAATATTTCGATGAAAACTTCTACCACCAAATGCTCTCACAAACTGGGTCACTCAACATGTTGCTGAATATGCATGCCGACTACAAGTCCCTTTCTGTTTTTTCTGAAGATTAAAAACCTGCTGTATCTACCCCATGATGAATGCTACATTATTTATCTACTCTCGTTTGATCATGCGCTCTCTTCTAAATCGAAACAAAGAACCTGCTCTTTTGATCCCATCTTTGATTTTGGCTGATCAAGCTCCAAAAAAGGTGAACGCTAGATCACTGGTGAACTACCCCTCGTACTGCCTGCTAGACCCATAGTCATGAGAGAAATGACAATGAGAACGCTCCTCAAACCAACGAACACATTTCCAAAATCGTTACAAGCACCATTTACTTTTCATACTAGTAGCTATTTCATTTCATTTTTGTCAAAAGCATCAAAAATCTCCCGACGAGACTGTCTAATAAAGAGTTGCAAGTTGCATCAACAAGTCACAGAACTACCCGTGATTTCAGCATTTCTGTTATTAGTTGCACTTTGGAACTTGCCCCGGCTCCCGCAGCATGGAAAATGAAGTCGGCCCTACGATGATAGTTCCGAGTTCCGTTCACAAAGCGGAAAGACGTGCCCTTCGGCTGCTTTCCCTCGTACAAAGTTTCCATGGCTGAGTCGGTAATATTGCTGTTCAATATGTGCATCGGCAGGACACAAACATTCGGAAAAAACTTGGGTCCAGGAGGTGTTGAAGAAGTTGTCTCTTTCATTTGCGATGGGTAGTCTTGAAGAGGAAGATGACCCTTATTTTCGAGGTCTACAGGTACATTTTTAACACCCACACTAGTGGTGTCTGTGTTTGATGCAGTCTGCCTTTGATGTCGTCCCGCACTTGCTTTTTGTATCTCGGCCAGGTCCGCGGGCCAATTTGAGGGTGAGCAAAAGGTGTGCCAGCCCTTCCATTTGTCCTCAATGTTAGCCCCCTTTTTGCTTTTCTCGCTCTTGCCGTCAAAAAAAGCTTCGAACTGGTTCAACTTCTTCAACATCTTTTGTAAGGCAGTCTGCTCATAAAAAGGCCGGTCGAAATAAGTCCACTCCTTTGTCGTTTGAAGATACACCCGATAAGGAGCACCGGCTTTAGCTGCTTTCCTACTCCTGCGATCATTCCTTTGAGCAAGCTCACGGATCACGACAGGCGGGGCTTCTGCAGCTCTGTAGTCTGGCGCATCTCCTTCTGGTCTAACGACCTCACTCCTATTATTTATTTCCGGTTCTACAACTTCCTGTATCTTGACCGCACCAGAGGTAGTAGAGTCTGCGGTACATGATAAAGATTCGACTTCGGATGGTAATCTGGTACTCGAGGTCGACGGGCTACACGACGACTCATCTAGCCCAGTAGGACTATTTTCTAGAAAAGGAACTGCTTCCCCTTCTTTCACTCGTATTTTCGTCGTACGCGTCCGTGTCGTCTTCACCGTCCACACGCCACGCCACAGCTCCCGTGACCAAGCGCTCTTTCTTATGAGGATGATGCCGCAGTTGACTAAATTGCCGCAATGCATGTCCTCTGCGATGATCAAGTCCTTGTAGCGGCCCATCTCAGCCACAGCTTCGAAGGTCTGCTCCATATTCACGATTACAGCATCGGCATCAATCCAAACGAGATACTCAATGACCTGTTCATCTCCATCTTGATCTTCATCTAAAGATTGTCCGCTACCGCCGCCACCTGCATTCTCACTCGGGACATGACAATGATCTTCACCAAACCTCAACGCCCTCATCTTATCACGATCAACATTTCCTTCATGTAGTACTTCTCCCGCTAACATCCTATCTTCAAGTTGAACCGCGCCGTCCGATAAAGCCGCTACATCTTCGCCAAGCCAGTCTAGAAAAAGCGCTACTTTATACCACGTTGGGTGTCCCCTCGCGCCCACAACGCGCATCATCTCACTGTGGCTCTTCACATGCGCTTCCCAACCGTAGCCATGACGCGCTGCATAAATCGCATTGCTGTTTGCGCAGAGGTCTCCGATCGCGCCATACCCGTTATCCTCCGAGAAGGCCGTAATCAAGCGAAACCGGCATTTTCGTCTCTCAGCCACGCAGCTTCGCGCAGAGGAGTTGGCATCGTCAGCCTTGTTTACAGTAGAACTCGATGAGAGAGACATGGTCGCTCGCGGAACACTGAAGTCCTTCTGCTAAAACTTGAACGTAAAGGTCACTTAGCCAATCAACCTACCTAAGGTCGTCGAAGTCTCTAGATCTCTATGATGCTTTACGTAGAAAGTTAGACCATAGATATTTAGAGAAGGGCCTTCATTGTCGCTGGAAAGAGGAAGGATCATGTTGATGAAAAAATTGATCGGTTACATCATCCAACAGCCTCTCGCTGTCCACCAGGTTTGACAGTAACATAGATCTTCACATTCGAATTTCGTTTAGCTACTCTCTTTTGCTCGACGGACCCGAAAATAAAAATGATGATCGTCAGATGTATCGAAAGAACCACTTAAATATCAAGATCATTGTCCATTGTACGCCTCGGTGTTTGTAGTTGTTCTTTCATATCTTCATCACCCACGCTCTTTCGTAGAGGTAAAGAGTTCCTAATACATCCCAACTTTTTCTAGAACTTGATCCATCTTCTACAACCATGTCTACAGCAGCTTGACCTTTTTCATACAGTCACAAAAAATTGCTGGGATCTGTAACAGAAAATTGAGGAATGTGGACCCATCTTGTCGTATGTGCTACGTTTATCGCCCAGTCGACATTATCGCGCCTCATTTGGGACATGGGAGAAACGCGGGCTTTTCTTGACCAATCAGGGAAACTCGATGGCATTTAGCTGTTTAGACCGCTTGAAAAATGAGGGAGGATCTTCTTCTTGGAACATCAGGGACATTTAATGACATCATTGAAATGCTCTAACAATTAGCAAAAAGTTGAAAGATTTTTTTGAAAGTGCCTTGAGAGAAATCTGACGTCTCTGCTTCTGACGTCTCTGCTTCGCTCTAGTCTGGAAAGGTGCCTACTCGTCTTCGTCACTGCTGGCCAGGTCAACAACCTCTTCTGCGTAATTTGTCATTTCCCGCCAAGATTAGACCGAGTTTTTGTTTTCGAGCGAAGAGAAGCAAAGCGAAAAAGTAGATAAAGTCCGATAACAAAAACAAAAAATTAGAACCAGAGTGAGGCCAGGTCAACAACCTCTTCTGCGTAATTCGTCATAACAATATGCTGAGTTCGCTGGAGGGAGCGGAAATCCCATATCTTGCAAGGCCAGCAAGAAGGCCCGGAATGCGTCGACGCCCTGGTTTCTGCGAGTCCGCAGCCCTGGTAGACTCGAATGAGTGAAGTAAACGAGCGCGAACCTGTCACCGGTCCACGGCATAGTGCCGTGCACTTCACGCGCAGCATCGAACATCACCGGCTTTGCCTTCGTATCAAACTCCCGTGCGCAGATGAAGTAGCGGGTATCGTGATGCAGCCTCTTCGGTTTCTTCTTCTCTTTGAGCTTGTTCATGTCGTAGACTGACGGCCACTTCTCCGTCTTCCTACCCCACAGTTTCTTCTTCTCGTTTTCATTTTCTGCTATTGATGCAGGCACTTCGATCGCGACTGCTCGATTGTCCATCGGCTCATGGATCCGTGGTAAATCGAAATCGAGGTCTCTCGGGGTGAGCGTAGTATCAACCACATAGGTTCCACCACCCTGAAAGTTACCAAAGGAGAGAACAACAGAGGGCCCGAGATTCCCGCCATCGATGTGCGGCACCGTGCCAGCGTTTTTATGCACCTTCATTAGCGCTAACCTGCCACTATTAAACTACGTAAAAATCTGTAAGACTCTCTCCTTCAGTTTGAAACACCCACAGATTCCACTCTGAAAACCTTGCTCGATGGGTCATCAGTTTATGAACTCTGACATAATCAATGTTCATATAAGTATAAGAAACATCTGGATCCTCCATAAACTGATGCTGCTGTAGCTGAAAACCTCCGGCGCGTTGGCGACAGCTGCTCCAGGCACAACAAGATCAAAGCCAGCTGAGTGGTCGACGCGCTTGATTTCGCCTTGCCGGTCATTCAGATAGCCCGTCAGCAATGGGCAAACGTACTCACCCTCCTTCGTTTTCAGTTTTTGGGTATATGCTGTCATTGTGCATCCAGCAAAGTTATGCGTGGTGGCACCGAAGCCAGCACTCTGCTTCGGATCTTGTGTCTGCCGCAGATCTTTTTGGACAATGCGACCGCCATCGCGCTTGGTTCGCTGAGGATCAAATATGTCCTCCAGCAGGTCAGCCAAGCTCAATGGGCTCCCTGCTATTTTTTCCGTGGTCGACAATGCTGACGAGGAACTTGATGAGGAGGATGGCGACGACGATGGTAACAATGATGCCGAGGAGGATGATGAAAACAATGATGACGATGAGGATGACGAGGAGGAGGAGGAGGGTGCTGTTGCTGGCATAGAGCCCAGAGGCGCGCCTCCAGTTCCGCCACCAGCTCTATCAGCCGTTTTTTTGCGTTTTGCAGGTGGTCCAGACGATGGCGCTGCTGCTCTGCTTGCCAACTTCGCCTGTAGCTTCTCGTAAAGCGAGGAAGAAGAGCCCATATTATCGTCTTGAACAGCACAGTGCTCCAGTAAACGAACTAAATCCGAGTCGTTTAGCCGCACTGCTGTCGGCCTCTGAGGAAAGCTTCGTGCGAAAGACACGTCCACGCGCGCGATGATCTTTAGATTCTGCACCACTTCAAATCCGACTTTAGGAAGCGATAGCTCTTTTGCCTCCTCTTGCGTTAGCCCACGCTTTTTGTCCTCTGTACTGATCCGCTCGTCCCAGTTGAAGGGACAGTACTCGTCTGTATTCGTTTCCTGAACCTGGCACAGCCAAGCATAGTCGGCACTCTGGTACTTTATGCCATACTTCTGCACACGCGCTGGGACCTGCAGATGTGATGGATTCCTGTTTGGTGATTTGAACAATTTTCGACGAGTTTCCTGAGCAGGTCATCCACACATTAGAAAGTCAAAAATAGTCTGTTCAATACTACGATCGAAAAAAAACTTGCTAAGAAACAGAAACAACTATAGGGCGAAGAACCTTTAGGAGAAGGTAGCTGCCTTGTGGCTGCGAAAACTCCAGCCAGAACATGGCAGCGTACTTTCGTAGATGTACGAGCTCCTCGGTTGTTTCCCATCCAGGCTGTGTGGTGTCCGGAAGCTTCCGGCAGCCCTTGCTGCGGTCCGTATTTTTCGCGCCCTCCCATCCCTTGCCGCTCCAATGTGGAAGGCATTCCATCGCTAATATTGTGCATCGCGGCGCGTGCTTGATAAATGCTACTGCCAACTTCTTCGTATCAACTTCAGGCTTCGGCAGCAGTACTTCTCTGCCGCCCCGTTCCGCCTTCTCGAAAAAGTCTTCCGCCTCACTGCTCTTTCTAACGGCATCGAGCACCTCTGCGATGAAAGGCAGCTGGTGGCTCACAGGTCGGGCGCGCAGCTGACCCGGACACCAGTCGGAGACTTCTCCAGCTCTGTCCAGATCATGAATGTCCCAGAACGTCATGATTGCTCTGTGTCTCCACGTAGCCAGCTGTTGTGCCTCGGCGTGCGCCGGTGCACGTGAGGACGAAGACGACGATGACGAGAGCGACATAATCACGATTTCTTGGTAACTTTTCGTTCGAGAAGAAGATGAGAAGATCAAGACTATGCTAAAAAATGCAGCTAGCTATAATATCCTGTTTATGTGAGCAACAAATAGAAAAGCAGTGAGTATCGATTCATATTCTCCACCAAAACGGATAACTGCGCATGTAGCAAATCAACATGCACGAATATCAATTCTCTTCCTACTCCTTTGATCGCATGAACCCCATGAAGCACAGTGCAGATGCGACCAGCCGGATTGGAGGCTAAACTACCATGTATAAAACTGCATGAGTCGCATCAACATCATAAGCATGTCTTTCCTTCGCGAAGGTGGGATCAGGCAGCGCGGGTTGACCACATGTTTCTTTCTCTGCAAAAAAAACTACAACAAGGTTAAGATGGCCATTGTCTTAACATATTCAGTTGCAGTAACAGGTTTCAAAAATTTCGAAAATGACTGTGTGTTCCGAAAATGACTGTAAGCCATCACCGACCTCCTATTAGAAAGTATGAATTTTTTCGGCATCTTTTTTGTTCCCATGAGCTCATGTCTTGTTTCTACGTCATGTGTGATAGTGAGATACACTACTCGTCACAGGCCCTTTCCTGAACAATGGAAGTAAAAACATTCGCAGGCTTTAATTGTGACAGTCGCAGGTTTTGAAAAGCTTAATTCGTAAGTCTATCGAGGGGACCATCAAAGGCAAAGTCAGACCTTAGGCAAGTGAGCTAGTCCTGGTACATTGCCCTGGAAACTAAAACCTTCTGTCCATTAGCGGATGGAATTGCTTGAGTGGTGTTCTTGTCTAGGCCTCTTGTTTGACCAAGAGTGCAGCATGCCAAGAAAGGAAAATTAGGCTACTAAATCAAGATAACGAGTCAAAAAAAAACGCGCTGGGAACGCGATTTGCATTGCTAGGGTGGGGTGGGGTCTAATACTAATTTCTCAAATCCAAGTGGAAGTGCACAAATAGCAGTAGTAGGCAGAGATACTAATTTCTAGAACTGAAAGAATTTGAATTTGTCTATTCTATTGGTTATGGTTCTTGTGATTGTGAAGGTGGGTAGGTGGTAAGTAGATTATAACTCAACTTACTCCACAGCCGACGCCATTTCCAGAAGCGTCTCAGCGCGACCATTCCTTAGAGGCGCGCTCGGTCCGCTAAAGAGCCTTGAGACTCTTGTCATTAGTAATAGTGCAACCACGGTCGTAGCGAGACCAGCTAGGAAAGTTACTATCAGATGTGACGCGCTATACTTGAGTACCCCGACATCGGTTCGGAAAACGGAGTCCAGGATACCTGTGCGAGGCAGAAGACGTGCGAGAGAGAGAGAAACAGAATCCCGGTTGTTTTACAACACAGCATCTACAGTACATTTTTCATACAGTAGATACTGCATAGCACATTTTTCATGATCATTGTAGCTCCGTACTAGAGAACTGAAGATTATGATCGGTACGTAAATAGTCGATACATGATCTAACGATTGTATTGGTTCCATCATGATCAGTAAAAAAAATTGACTCTCATTTTTTACATCTAATTAGACCAATTTAAGAATAAAATGGAACAAATGTAGGCATAGTCGTACCTGTCACTATGACGCTCACTTCACTTGGCGGCTTGTCTGTGGTCGAGACAAGAGAACGCTGTCGCTTTTTCGTTCCTACGCCGCATGACACACTACATTCGGTGAAGGGCGACCATTCTTGCCACGCACACCAATACTGCTTTCCACACGCTTGCAAGTTGCAGGCTGCTTCCTCTACGGCGAAGAATGAAAGGTGACAAAAGCTCACAGATTTTGTTGCATTGATGAGATCACAGCGCAAGAAGAGAGTAAAGAGTATTTTTGAGTCTCAAAAAGGGAAGAAGAAACGAACAAGGAGGACTAGTTACATACGCTTAGACAGAAGTCAGATGAGGTAGTATTAATCCAGAAAGTTTAGATGAGTAAATCAGTAGTTATTTAAGAGAATCTTCATAAATTTTCCATTGCACACTCAGTGCCTCCATCTTTTGGAAGGTCTTCGACCCTTCGATACCTTGATTTCTGACCTCCGCCACATTGCGCGGTGCATTCTCCCCACTCGCTCCATTCTGACCATCTGCAGTCCACTCTCGAATCACATCTCTGGGTGTTGCAAGGCTCTATCCTACTTAGTGGCCCTGCACAGCCTTTCCCTTGATTCTTTGGGAAGACCTGGGTTTTGATTGTGACAATTCATTGCAGACGAGGATATAACTTTGGTTATGACAATTCTCAGTTGTAGTATATATCGGTGGAGCACGCCTAACTAAATCAGTAAATTTGTGACCCCAGATGTGTTTTTGATCCAGTTGTAGTAGAAAGTCAAACGACCAGCATTTGGTGTGCAAACTGCCGAATCGAAGTACTAGACATTAAGCTCAAAGTACTTAAGTAATTCTTGGCGTAGAGATAGATACCAAAACTTCCCTCTTGACTTCTAGCACACCACCACCGCACGTTGCTGAGCACTCACCCGGATAACCCCAATCACCCATAACGCAGTCTACAGGATCAAAAACATCGCAGCTTTCTACATTGCACGGCTCAATTTCCTTCAGAGCTCTTGCTTAGAACCAAGTGGAGGAAAAAAGAATAATTGTAAATAATCTAGTTGTACCATATAATTAACCACATCACTTAATTTATTCAGTTGGTATGAAACTTTGACGTCAGTTGGAAGGACTAATTCTGAGAGGACAACCACGAGAGCTTCATTCATTTAGTATCCAATCCTCGAGCCAAAAAAAAAACAAACTTTTATCAATACTAATGGTGCATTGGAAGAGAACCATTAGTCTAAGACGAAGAACGATTGGATAAAAAATCGTCCTTAATGTCCAGTGCATGGCTTTCCACCATTTCTTGCTGCAACCTCGATCCGCCTCGAACGATCTCTAACGCCATTGCATGTGCAGGAGCAATCGCCCCATTCTGTCCACTCAATGCGTTAGAAGAATGGCCATGCCATGTCATGGAACCTCGTTTGTAGCTGTACATGTCTACCTGTGAGGTCATCCGGTACTAGTAATATCTACATTCATTTACAGTCGCATCTCAGAGAAAAGTTCGAATCCCCGCAAGTGCAGTCATCTAAAATCCTTGTTCTCCCATTTGCATGAATCCCACCAAGAGTAGTCTCCTCTGCATAATCATCGTTCTTCTCCCATGGACTTGACACAGACCTGGAAGGGATCAAAACACTAAGAACCTTCTACCTGAACAAGAACATATCATACTAAAAAACAATGAGCATAACTAAGAAGACAGTCTCGAGCATCTGGGTCGCACGGCTCGAGACCGGGACACGGCTGCATCTCTTGCTTAACGCCTTCTAACGGCTTTCCACAGCCATTCGGTCGCTGGAGGATCTCCCGGTTTCTGAGAGGATCATTCACACATTTGTTAGGAGACTGACATTGGAGGAGACATTATCATTCACACGTGGTCCCAAGACTACATCAATCTGCGAAGACGCAAAAAGATTTTAGAAGTTGTGACTTGTTCACTGTAACGTCACAGATCATTCGCGTTAAATCCATCAAGTACTCGAAGATTGAAATACCTCCATTGAAATCCGGATCCACAGGTCGCAGTGCAGGTGCTCCATTCACCCCATTCATCCCACTGGCCATCGATGCACGCGAGGTCGCAATTCTCCTGATTGCATGGTGCTACTTCTTCCTTCACCTTAGGATCACACAGTTTTCCGCCAAATCTTGGCGCTACCGCAATCTCCCGATCCCGAGTTTTTTGCCCGCCGCCGCACGTGGCAGAGCATGCGCCGTATCTGTGGGGAGTGAATCCAGGAGAGAAGATGAGGGAGAGCTGATGAGTGAGAAAGTAATCATGACCGATGAGATGAATGATGTAGGAGGAGAAATAATAAACTAGTCGCTTCTTGGCGGGTGACCTTATTCGTAGCAGCAGTTCTAAACTTGAACCAGGAATACTCAGTCCATTCCCCCCAGACGCAATCAACCGGCTCGATGCATGGGTCAGATGCACATGATTCAACCTCTTTCAGGCTTCCTTCGCATGGCTTGCCGCCTGCTTCATTAGAGCTCTCGACTCGATGCTTCATCTTGTCATGTCATGTCATGGAGCCTCATTTTCCATTATGCAAACGTTACGGAGGCCGTTCAACCACAACTTGTACCTTTCTAAAGAAAGACTCTAGAGGTAAAAGCTTTTCGTTACAACTAACCCAAGATCGATCCACCGATGATTCGGAAAAATATGGCTGATGAGCCCTAACTTCAGCCGCTGCGGAAACGTCTCTTGTTCTGTACTTCTGACCGCCGCCACAGGTAGCAGAGCAGCTTGTCCAATAAGACCATTCCGCTAGGACGCAGTCTACAGGCTCTTTGCAGGCGTCCAGGATATGAAAGATAGACGGGCTCAATAGCAGGAACAGGAAGGGAACCAACTACGCAGAGAGAGAAAAAATTGCACATCGTGCCAGGTGGAATTAAGCTAAGCTATTTTGACGCACGTACCTACTAGTACTAGATCCTTTTCCTCGTTGATTTAGAACCGAGTAACTTTATTTCAGACGGCTTCAGATACAGATGAGTGACAACTAAACAAAAATATGTTTCAGCCATACTCGTTAAATGGCCTCATGATCATCTTAAGGGTAGGCTAAAGGTGCTTTTCTTACCGCTTTTTATGCCTCTCCTAAGGAAGAAAGGCATAAAAAGCGGGGTAAGCGAGCACCAAAAACCTACCTCTAAATCTTTCTAGGTGACAACTACACATGTTTCAGCCATACTCGTTGCACGGCCTCGTCTCCTTTGTCATCTGGTCGCTACAGGGCCTGCCTTCATGCTTTTCTGGGACTTCTATTTCTCGAGTTCGAAAATGCTGGCCACCTCCGCAGTCGGCCGAACATTCACTCCAGTAGCTCCACTCGCCCATTACGCAATATGATATGAAAAGGAGATGAAGGCAGAGGATTTAAGATCGCTCATTACGCATTAAACTATGCATGAAGGTTAGGTTAGGTTGTGAATCCTGCACAACGAGTCCGCCCGGCACCTGACAATAAAGTGGATAAAGGGTGAGAAAAGGGGATAAAGGGTGAGAATATATTATGAAAAACTGCTGGTGTCAGGACTGGGGGAGTACGAGTAGATCACACTACAATTTCAAGAACGTGAACGACGTGGTGGTTACTGGAAAATACTATAAACATTAACATTTCCGATCATGTATCTAGAACATAACAACAGGATCCTTGATGCAGTCTGGGGTGCAGGATTCTGACTCCACCTTTGCTCCAGTGCAAGGCTGACCGCAGTCATCCCTATGTGTGTATATTGACCTATGTCGCTCACGCAATCCCAAGCAAGTGCAAGCGCCCCACGCGGACCAATCACCTGGACGAGAATGAATCTGATCTACGAAAGTGCCCCGTGAACATCAAGCGAGCAATCGGTTGTGACGTTTACTAGGTCGGCTACGTTAATGTAGTTCTAAATCATGCAAACAACCTCTGAATAAATGTACTTCTTCTAGATGATCATGCAAATTACAACCTACGGATAAAAGTAAAACACAATCATAATAGTTCATTACCCCAAACGCAGTCTTGACATGGACATGGTTTCTGACCGCATTCGGTGACCTGCAGAGCGCCCTCCCTAGGACAAGGAGCTCCCCATTTATTGGCCATTTGTTCTACTTCTCGACTCCTCATTTTCTGCCCACCGTTGCACGATGCACTGCAGTAACTCCAATATCCCCATTCCCCGTACTTGCAGTCTACTGCCTCATGCTGCTCAGGCGCGCATGGTTGCGTATTGCAGGCTGTTGTTAGGTTGGAAGATAGATGCCGGAATCAATCAATGTAAAGCGCGGAGGTTTCTTCAATGTACGGAGACAGTAAACGATTTTTAAAGCTATGCGCAAACAGCAAATATCTAATACGTTTGACCCTGACGAGCTCTCCCTGTACTGCTTTGCCACCATACTTTGCACTAGAAAGAAGCTCGCGACGCTCCGTTTGATACCCGCCCCCGCAGGTCGCGCTACAGGCATCAAAGGCGCTCCACTCACTCATCGTACCGTCTACGGGGTCTGGCGTTTCCGGTAGGCCACAGTGCTCCAAACCGTCGTTGCATCTGGTCAGTGTGGGAAGTAGAAAAGTACAACACTTCTACCCTTAGGCTTTTTGTCATGGCAATTGGAAATCGGATTCGAGGACTACGACTATCATGTTGATCTGTGAAGATAATAAAACAGTTCTTGAGCAAACGTGCCAGTATTTCTTTTCAAGAATAACTGAAAATCCTCATCGATCGATTTTCGATTCTGTTCTCCTCAAATTTTCTACTTACAAAGTGGTACGGCTTCACTTCCTTTAGGCCTCCTTCACATGCCTTTCCTTCGAATGGATACGCGTCTATTTGCCTGGTCCGTGTCTTGATTCCATTGCAAGAGGAAGAACAATCGGACCAATAACCCCACTCCGAAAATGTGCAGTCGACTATTTCACCACACGGCTGTGTTTGGAGTTGTTGTGAAGACGGTCAAGAAGAAGTTGTCATCTTGTTGCAGCTCCTGCGTTTCTTGTTTGAGTAGAAGTGAAAATCCTCTTGACATCCTTGAAAATACCTGGGTATTGCAGACTTCAAGTTCGACCATGTCATTGGGTTCGCAGCACTGTCCACCGCTACGAGGCGATTGCTCTATGAGTCGTAGTCTTGTTCTCTCGCCACCACCACAACTAGCACTGCACGCACTCCAGTCACCCCAGTCCGCCCATACGCAGTCAATCGGGTCCTTGCAAACTACATCGTTGCACAAACGAATCTCCTTCAAGTCGCCTTGACAAGGGATGCCGCCTGGTGGCAATGATTCACGAGTCAGGAGGAGGAGAAGGAGGAGGATGCTCATCCTGATAGAGTATTTTGGTGTGAATGTTGTAAAAGTAAATGAAAAATATTCTATAAATATTTCATCATATCATGAAAATAAGCAGTCTACCTTGCTTCAATACACCACGTGCAAAAATCTCAACTCAAGTACCAAACATCGCTGTCGCTATGACTGTCCTAGCTCGTTCTTGCGTGCCACCATTGCACGACTGAGAGCACTCTCCCCACGTGCCCCACTGCGAAAGCTTGCAATGCTGTGGCTCGTTGCATACTTGGGTATTGCATGCTTTCACTTGCTTCAGCTCAAAATTGCATGGCTTGCCGTTTCGTTCGGGAAATTGCACCACCTGTAAGTTGAACTTTGATTCTGTGGATTCACATTCAAATTGAGTGTCCTATTTATTATGATAAACTCGTCATGCATCAAGAGCCAGCCTCTAGTAGTACTTGAACCCCTAGAAGCACTTGTGAGCAGATAGAATGATCATCTACCTTCACCAGAACAAAAATCTTATGAAGTACTTTTCGTTCCCTGAATGTCTGTCCACCACCGCACAGCTCTGAGCATTGACTCCATTGACCCCATTCTGAAGCGTCGCAGTCCACAGGAGGAGGCTCGCAGTCTGAGGGACATGATTCTTTAGACTCTTACCTAAAAAATTCACCTGCTTGGAAGTCTTTTTTCATGTGTTTTCGCCCCTGAGAAAACGTGGCAAAGGTGCCTCCTTCTAAGAGTGTCATTCTCAAAAATACCTCTTAGAAGTCTTGTTCGAGATGAATTATATGGCAAGCCTTAAATTTGGTCTCCGTCGAGGGACCACTACAAGGCTTCCCGCAATAGTTATTATGCTCCGCAACTTCCCTATGCCTCTCGCACAGTCCCAAGCAGCTTGGCGGTCCCCACTCCAACCACTCGCCCCAAGTACAATCGCGACCTTGAGATTCATCGAGCAGTTGTTCAACATCAGCATGGTATGCCTAGTACTGGACATTCACTCAATGAATTGTAGTCGTGCATGAAAGAAACTAGTAAAGTAAGCGTCTTGATGCGGACTTGTTTTTCCGAGACAAACAAAAAAAAATGCACGCAACAGTAATGTTACATTCTTTCCCTGCGCAATCTTCTTCCCTACATATTTCGGTTTCGGTCTGCTTTCTTAAAGGTGCCTTCCTTCATTCCTGTGGGGATCCCTCAGACATATGCCCTGGTATGCTTGAGGGATCCCGGCTATCGATAGAGATGAATTAGAGTCAGCAGCCTTAACTTTCCTTCACATATGAACTGGGGGCGTTCGTCAGCTAACACCGACCCAAGGAACAAAGGCAGTGTGCGTGCGACGCTCCACCGACCCTTTAGCCGTGCCATATTATTTTCCTTATCTCCACCGACACGACAAAGGATCCAACATTGATAGATATTGATTGATTTGGCTGCATATTTTTGACGTACATATAATTTGTGTTCTTGTTCAACTTCTTTCAGCGGAACCTTGCTCTTTTGGTTTCGTCTCCAAGCTAGTACAACAACTTTAGTTTTTGCGGCTCACTCTGAGGCCTTCAGCAAGCATCCCAGTACTAATCACGGCAGATAAGATCTGCATCTTCAAGCATGATCTTGCTTCTTGTCGTTGGAAAATGCGAGGACACTTTGGCCGGCTGCAGCATTTTTGTCGAAAAAGGTATATGGTGAAATCTGGGGAAGGAATCGACGGGAAAGAAAAGTGAAGAGTTTAAATTCATGTTGGCAACATGAACAGCATGGCGGCGTAAATAGTTCTTTATTTAACCATTACAATTGTCTTCACAACTTGAAAGTACTAGTTCGCTGTACTACTTACAATCGATCTAATCATCATCAATATGTCCTCTCAAAAGGTCACTCTCTACCTTCAGCGAGACAAAACAGTTCCTGATGTGATCCCGAGGTATCTAATTAGATTATACGATGATCAATGAATATCTATGAAAGGATCGATTTAAACAAGATGAACTTGCTTGCTTGCTGTGGATGGCGAAAATGTAAGTAGTTGTACGGTTGCATGTAATGCAGAGGAAAGTAGTAGGTTTTCAGAATCAAATGTACAAGACAAGTCACTGATTGATGATCTCTTTTATAATGAAGATCTGCATAAAAAGTACAACTGTTTCCATCGTGGTTAGAGCACAAATACAACTGCGTATGCTTCTCTCGGTGCAGAGTACTGAGTCGGCCAAGCACGACTAGATAGACCAATCACAGTTACGACGATTTGGCCCAAGTAAATTTTAGATAAAGAACAAATATTGATTTGATTGAAACAAGTATGAAAAAATACCACCTCACCTAATTGGAAATGAGAATAATGCTGCGAACATCCTTCGTTCTAAAAATAGTGGAAAATCAAGAACAAGATATCAGTAGAACAACTATTGATATTGAAGTTATCCGACATTCACGCATTTACAAATACAAGGACTCCTCCTCAAAGCGTGCTGGTCACTGAGACGTCAGTCCTTGCTCTGACTATAAACGCAGTGCAGACGAGAATCCTTCTCACAAGATGATGTGGTAAACTAGAAGTCCAGCAACAAACACCAGCTGACTCAGCTGCAAGCTGCTTATTGAAACACTTCTTAGGACTGCTTTGAGCGCGTGGACGAGCGACGTTTTTTCGCGTCCCCTCCCTCCACAGCGGCGTCTGCAGCATGATCTTTGCTTCGTTTTTTACTTGCTGGAGTCTTCTTGCTGTCTGACTTTTTCGACACTGGGCTGCTCCTGCTTACTGCTTTCTTATCGCCAGAAGAAGATGATGAAGACGACGAAGAGGAAGCTTGTGCTGATGCTTTGGATGTAGTCGAAGTCTTGGCCTTCTTTGTTGTAGTCGTACTAGTTTTCATCGACTGCTTGGAAGCAGCTTGCTTCATGGCTTTCTTCACTGCTCCATTGTCGTCAGTGCTCTTCGCATCTGCTTCATCTATTGTCGTCTTAGAGCTACTACTTGCCCCCGTTTCCGACTTCATCGGACGGCCTCGCTTCTTCGGAGCAGCAGCAATATTCGAAGCAGTAGTTTCCTTGGAACTCGTTGTAGTAACTGTTGCCTCCTTTTTGTCCTTTTTTTCGGCAACCGTTTTCGACTTCATCTTGGACTTCATCTGAGCATCTTCGTCTTCTTTTTTAGCGGCTTTAGCGCTTTCTTCAGTTTCTTCTGCAGAGCCCTTCGCCTCTTTTTTCACCTTTTTCATCGCTGGCGCTTTTCCTTTCTCTGCTGCTGCCTTTTCCTTAGCCGGTTTTCATTAGAAAGAGCCTCGTCTAAGTATAATGTCCATCGAAAAACGAGAGTCGATCATAGACGGCAAAGAACCACTAGAGGGTGCGGGTTAAAGAAATAATTATGCACAACAACATTATGTATGAGTACTCGCTTCATTCAGTAGTTGTCATCTGTAGTCATGGTTTCCATAATTTTCATCATTTGCTGCATCATTTTCCGCATTCTCCGCATCATCCTTGCCTTTCCCTTTCTCTTTCTTCCTTTGTGCATTCATCTCCGCCTTCTTATCCTTGATTCTCTGCTGCTCTGCCAACTCTTCAGCTGTGTCACCCGGAATAAACGTGGAATCGTGCTCCTTCTCATAATTTCCCCAGAAAGCGGTGTACCTGATAGCAACATAACTTGAGTCTTGAAAAATGATAATGGAATTGAGATCCTCTTCCGAGATGTGAGACGGGAAAAAAATAAATGTGCATTCATCTTAGGTACTAGTACTACTAAACCTCGAGTTCTGGAAGTGAGTGTAGTAAAAATGTGCAGCTTAGATTCTTCGGCATTACAATACGTTTGCGTTTCAAGTAGTCCTCGATTTATACCACTGACAGATAGGCTTTGGCGTCGATTTCTACCTAGAAGAGTGCAGTTAAAGACTTTTTTAGTCATATAGCGACCCAATTTTAGTGGAAAGAATGAAAGTGCTCACGAAGAATACAGTTTCCTGTGGCATCGCTCATCTTTCCAGTCGCGCTGGGTCATATGGATTTTGACGGAAAAGCTTTGCGCTCCCTTCGGAGTCTTCTTATAAGCGACAAAGGCGCTCGGCTTGCTGCTACTGGAGGCGCCACTTGCTCCTGGCTTGTCGATGCGTTGTATTAGAGCGCAGTGAGTCCTTGTTGGTTTACAGCCACCCGATCAATACTATAACCCATCTACTTCTGGGTAGACTGAGGCGAAGGCTGGGCTCTTTATTACCTCGAGAGCTCATACTCAGCGCCTACTACTTGAAGTGAGAACTTTCCTCGACATAACTGAAACTCGAAGCGTCCACGCAACTCCAGTTTGTCAGGAACTACCGATAGCTCGCATGGCTCGTGCCCTTTTATCCAACCAGCAGCCAAGAGAGCTTCGTCTTTCTCGCTTCGAAAGTTAGAAACTTGCTGAGTATCTTCGTGTCTATCAAGTGCTTGCTCATCTATCAAGTGCCCGACGTTCGTGCTATTCTCCATTTCCCTCTGAGTAGTAGCTCCTATTCTGGTCGATCTCGGAATGTTACTTTTTTGAAAGAGAGCAGTACTGGCTGACGCAGTCTCTGAGTGATACTAAATCAGAGCACCACCTAGTAGCCGCACTACGCAAATTTTCTGCATAACAGCTGCGATCAGAGCATCGTACTTGACTCTATCAATCCGACCAAAACGTAAATCCAGAATGCTTTCCACCTGTGAGTTAACAAGTTTCCATGTGAGAGCGCGTGGGTGAGGCATATCGTGACCGAGCAGAGGATGGCGATGATGATGATGATGATGATGATGGTGACGATAATGATTGTACCTATAGATACCATTCAAAAACCACTCTACTAGGAAAAAATCACTGTTCAAAAACCACTCTACTAGGAAAAAATCACTGTTCAAAAGCCTATTTATGAAGCGGCTATAGCCTGTAAATAGCATAAGACTTCCAGTAACGTTGTGCTAGGGTTCAGAAAAGTGCCAGAACTACTACTTAGTATGATAGGTCATTGAGTCTTACTTAGTATGATATCATTGAACTACTAGGGCCTCTAATATTAGTACATGAGTAGTAAGTATGTACCACTTTGATTCCTTCCGCTTGGTCGGCTTTGATGAACCACCAGTGTTGCGGCCAGTCGCGGAATGGGAACCTTCCCAACTCTTTATTTGTTCGATTTAGAGATGAGGGACAGAAGACGTGGCGCTTCGTGGCCACTTGTGGTTCGTTGCTACAGATCAAAAAGCCTCCTCCGCAGTCCCATAAAGGCACAAGACTGAACAAAACTCATAAAAAGCGTTGAGGCAAGTACTATGTTACATATTGAGAGTAGAAAACTCCTGGCCATCCTTAAAGATTTTTTCCCTTCCTTCCATGTCAATTTACGGCCTTCGATCTGGCGCATGAGACCCCTGAGATTTCGCTTTTGTTGACTTTTCTCCTGTAAACCTGTGCGCTTCTTTTTGCCTTTTCCACTTCCGCCCTGATGTGTTGATAGGAGGTCAATGATAGGTGACATGAACCGAAATGAAAGACCAAAAATGTCACGTCGTGTCCTGATACCTCTTGCTACGTCTCTTCTGATGATGTTAGTCGGTTCGGGTTGGACCTACGACTTCCCTGAATCTTCTTTGAGTTCTACGCTATTGAGGCCGTTCAGTCACCCTGTACCTGATGCCATCTCTTTAAACAAGAGACTGTGTGGCCAGATGAGACCTTAATCTTGAAGAATGTAAGAGATAGCTGATTTGAAGATCTTCGCGGTGAGTGATTTTAGTCCTCTTTAGACTCACTTTTAAGATATGGCATCAGAGACATAGTCGCCAGGCGTTATAAAAAGAAAGCACCTCGCCATCCTCGTCGTCATCGCTCGCATTGTCTTCCTCTTTCGCCTCCGCATCTTCGGCTGCTTTTTTTCTTAGAGGGCGCAGTAATTTGCATACTAATTACTCTGGTGCCCCAGTGAGCCACATCATATGAATGCCACGACTATAGTTCAGTCAATCTAACTATACCATCTATCTATCAGTCTAACTATACCATCTATACCACAAAAAGCAAAGCTCTAGCAGGAACCTACTCAAGAAAAGGCCGACACGGCATAACTTCAATGCTGCCGCTTGTTTCGACCATTGTAGCGCTTTCTTCGCCACTTCCCCCGTGTCCTTGATATTTCCCTGAAGCAATTGCGTTAAGCGTATCGAAAGGTCGTGCCCGTGAAGTGCGCATACCCAATCATAGACCCGGAGATTAGCGCGACACATGACAAAATGTCAGTAATGTACTAGAGCAAGATCATGAGAAGTGGCGCTGACGTTTGAAGAGAAGTACTTATCATCTTTAGGAAGGGAACTAGAAGCATCTTCTCTGTGTCAAGTAGCTTTCCGCTCCATTCCATGGAGCTTAACACTGGCTAGCATACCAGCATCCCCCGTAAGTTTGTGCTTCAGGTAGCAGCTTCGTTACATTTTGCTTCTACAAGTTTCTAGACTTCGATCAAAAAGAAAAGTAACCTATAGCCTTGTTGATCAGAGAAAGTGGAAAGCATAAATAGAGGATTCTGCTCGGCCTCTTCGTCCATGCCCGAGACAAAGTCTTTCGGCTGCTTATAGTTGGGACCTGGGCCGGAGAACACAGAGATACATATTACTTGCCAAGGAATAAGCAATGTAGACTCATTGTGTGAAATCGACTGAAAGCAACCACCCGATATATTTTTTGATACAAAATGTGATGAAGATATCTACTGCTAATCCATATCCTCGACTATCACATAGGACTTCAAAAATACAAAGTCAGAGTCTGTCTTCTCATTCAGTCATAGTGCCTAGCTTCTTATTCAGTACCTAGCTTGCGCTTGGTTCGATTTACTACTTCCTTGATTTCGTCAGATTGCTTCTCACTCATGATGTAGCTCTTTCCACCGTGGTAATTGGCGCATCTTCCCACCTTCTCTAGCTTTTGTCCGTCAAATTAGAAGATTTTTTAAAGCCGAAACGTTTACTGAAACAAACACAGTGAAAGAAAGTCGCTGGTCCAACTGCTGTACACGAGCATGATGGAACAGAGCAGGGATGGAGAGATTATAAAGTTTCTTCCTAATTATGCATACATAGCAGGCACTCTCTAGGAGCTACTCTAGCGAGAAATAGTAGGAGATACATAGAATACAACAAGGACTGCCAATATGTATGACACTTAATCGAGACTCGTGCTGACTACTCTCCTCATGATTACTTAAAGCCAAAGTGTTTACTGAAACAAACACAGTGAAGCTGTGCACTGTAGCCTGGGAGTATCTATGGCCACGCCATCAAAAAGCCTTAATAGAAATTCGTTCTCACTCTGAAGGTGTCCATCCCTTCGCGCGCTTTATCGAAATCCTCAGAGCACCGAACAAAACCAAACCCGACTGCCTTCTTCATCGACGCTGGAACGTTTTTACTAGGAAGCGAGCACGCATGTGGAGGAACTTAGAGGTGGGGAATGGCGAGGACCGAAGATAATAGACATAACGACGGTGGACGAAACTAAGACTACAGACTTAACTATGGTCTCACGTTGCACGAAATTAACATGATGCCACAAGTGGCGCTATAATTCATTTTCGTGAGACGATGGCCCACCATGAAAAGTCTTATAATCGATAGCGCAGCCGAGTCATAATAAAACACGGCTACAAATCGAAGACAGGTGGCATCTCTTGGGCGGTTATTGCTTGCGTCGAGCAATTTCTGCGCTTCTTCGGGAGTCTTAGCAAACTCCAGGTTAAGGCCATCGATTGCCTGCAAAGACTCTGGCCACAGCGAAAAATGAAGAAAACAGTGATACTAGAGTGACTGCATGGTCATGCGAACCAACAACCTCGGAGCGACGAAGACCATACACAAAAATTACGATCTACTACCTATCTTCTGCCACATCCATGAGTACTAAGTTCCAGCAGGAAAAATGGTCTTTCTGTTACTTAAGCACGCTATTGAGCTAACTTCTTCTGTCAAAGACAAATGATCTAGATTTGAGTCGATCCATTGCAAAACTCTGCACGTAAGATTTGTCTGTTTTCCAGCTAGCTGGGAAGACTGGAGCGGTGCAGTGGGGTGCCATCCCGTCGAAATCAGCGACGCGCTCGTTGACGTTGACGCGAAAGAAAGGGAGAGCGATATTGTTGAGACTGCCACCTTCGTCCAGGTAGTCCGGCGTCGCCTCGAACTGCTTTTGCAACATGAAGAAAGACGTGAAAGATTGTTCAATTTTCTAACTAAGTCTAAGTACTTATGACTGCTGTTTAATAGTATCGTTAATATATTTTCGTAATCGTAAGGAGACTTATTTGAAACAGTTTCAGTTACCTAATCTATCCGCCCGCATTCACAAGGACGAATACTATACAAGTGCCACTCTCTCACCCGAAAAAGTCACTTGTTTTAACCATTTAGATTTAGTCAATCTTTTAGATTTGGTTACTCAACATCTTAGTAAAAATAATATTTTATATTTAAGTCTATCGGTTACTCAACATCAATAAGTATCGATCCAGTCTCCTGCAGCCATATTGGTCTTCATGTTGAGACATCGGATTGGCTTTTTTTCCTCCGCTGTGCCCTCGCTGATCTGCATGCCACGATTTCGGATAAAGTTGATGCACTTGTCCTGGAATGTCGGGACCCACTCAATTCGAGACGGATCTGCATCGATTTCATCTTGTTCCGCCATCACCCACGTTTGGCCTCCAATGAACCCGTGACCCCAACAAAACAACCGACTAGGTCCAAGGTTGCCCGCGTCGCAATGGACCTTGATGTGAAGTAGTTGCTTTTTTTAGCTAAGGTGGTTGGGAGTTGACTTGTTTGCTTTGAGATGTGCTAGAAGATGTCTCTCTGCTTCGTTCCCTGTAGATTTAGATAACAGTTATTCATTCATTCACTCATTTACCTGTTCGAGAGGTAACAACTTTTGACATCCAAAGATGAAGAAAGTGCATAAGAAGAAGAAGAAGAAGAAGAGTGGATAAGTACTCCAACAATACATGCTGGCATCAACAAAAAAGTACACTCGTGATCCCGCCACGGTTGACTGTGACACTACTCCACCACCAATCGTCTTTGTGTGTGTAGCTCATTTTTGCTCTATTTGCTGTTAGAAGTTTCCAGTTCCCCATATCAGTCGGCCCCCTTGCTTCCCGCCCTTTGAAAAGGTCTCTATGTTGGAAGATTTAATTGATATTTATTTATACTATTAAAGTGTTCTAAGTAGAAAGTGAGAGGAATGGGTCAACTCCCAAAGAAGCCTTAACTCTGAGGTCGCCATGATCCCGTTGACTAGCATCGACAGCCATCTTCCCTCCGGTTTGCTCATTGCGCAGCCAAGCTTTCCAATCGGTCGACATGGAACGAGCCCAACGTTCATAAAAGCTCGGTTTTTCAACGTGTCGTATCCTTGCACGACAGCGTTCTTCTTCGCCTTTGTTCCTTCAGTTTCTTAGCATGATTCTAAGTACTCCCACGAATGGTTCCTGATACTTACTTTCTTCCTTCAGTTTCAAAATTATTCACTACTGAAACCATGAGTGTGGCTGAGAGTGGCTCTCTGCATGCTGTACATTTTCTCATTTAAGTCTACTGTAAATACGCAGTAGTAGTATTTAGTCGATGGAGGGGGCCGACAACTTAACGAGATACAAATAATCCGTGGCTAGAAATATGAAAACAGATGAGCAGCAGGCTCCTCAAAAATGATACCACGTGTATGTCCCTGATATCGCCATTCTTGCTGAATGTAGGGTTTAAATCTGATCATTTGTGGCGGAGCCAGCCCTACTAGGAAAAAAGAGACTATTAAGTCTGATAATGAAGCATCATCGAACTGCATCACCTGTTAACTCTGATATTGATCACAAAGTAAGCCAGTCTTTTACCATAATCACCCTCCCCGTCTTCCTCTATGTCCTCTCCCTCCTCCATTTCGTTTGCGCCGCCTGCCCCTTCACTTGCCACAGTCACTGAAGTAGCTGTCTGTTCACCGGTAACCCTTAGAGTTCTTTCAACTTGGTACGTTCATCATCCTTGCGTCTCAAGTGATCGTACCTAATCACCACCAACTTGGTACGTTCACCGTCCCAAGTGACCTACCTTAAGCTTGGTACGCTTCGTTGAGAAGTAGTTACCGACTCAAGAGTCGTATCTTGTTCATAGAATAAACTAACAATATGTAGTTGGAAATCTACAATACGAGTCTGGAATCAATGTGACAAGCACATAGTGCTGCTACGAATTGCATTTCTATATCGTTCAAGGACGAACGCGTTTGGTTTACAACATTTGATGGTGAAGGAGAAAAAATATGACAGCCTAAAGCTAAATAGCACTCAATTAGTTACCACATAAGTAAGATTAACACTAAAATAAAATCGTTATCAATACCACACAACAATCTTACAATATGCACAGACCACTTCATCTACTTCTTCAAGCACAACGTCGCATCCTTAAGTTTCCAAATCCAGTTTTTCCGAGCCCCGACTTTTGGGCTCTCCTTTCCTCTTCGTAGGTGTTCAAGAAAACGTTGTTCCTAGTCCACGATTCCGGAAATTTCATACCCTTTGTCTCGTCTCGAAGAAAATCCCACTTCATCTTCTCCGTCATAGCTAGAATGAAAGTAAGATGATCTTCCGAGAATGTGACAACTGTGACAAGAACTTTAGATTTATTACTAACCCTGAAGCATGAAAATATGAAAGTATTTTTTTACTAACTACCCCGTACTTGAAGTATGAAAGTAAGAATCAAATATTCCTAGGGCGGTTCGTTGCACTCGTAGGAGCGGTGGTTTCATATGTAAGCATAGGGTCGTTGTTCCCTGACGCGGTTATAACAAATGTATAAGGGTTCGCTGTATAGGACGACTCGTTGAACAGGCATAGGAAAAAGCTCGAAGGAACTCCCCTATCTCATACTGAGAAAAATAGTCGCCACATAACCCACAAAAAGCCTAAAAATAAGAAAACAAAGCTCAGTCTTCTAATTTTTCAAGTAGAAAACGAACAAAACCCGCCATGTATTTTATTATTGTGGGCTAATTCTGACTAATCAAGACGCCTATTTCGTCTTGTCTGATATAGGAAGGTCCTGAACTTGTATACTACCTACGTATAGGACGACTCGTTGGACAGGCATAGAAAAAAGCTCGAACGGAATATTAAGTGGGTGCGTCTTTCTCTACTCCATCTCCGTCAACATCTGCCAGGGTTGTACGTAGGACTATATTTCTGTAAAACACGGAGAATTCTGTAAGATTCAACCGAAACACGAGTGAAACACTACCTATTGCATAAATTTCATGGCCGCTACGAGGTCACCGAAATGCTCCCGGTCCCTTGCATCCAGAGCCCGTTCATGCGGCGTCATCTTCTTCCATTTTTTCGCGTCCCTCGCCTCCATCTTCGCGCCTTCGCGGATTTCTTAGACATTGTAGAAAGGCACATCAGAAACAGAGTAGTGACATTGATAATAAAGAGGAAGATGCAAGAAAGTGAGAGAAGAGTACTCCACCACCGAACAGGATTTTACATGGAAAGAAGGGCAAGAGGATTTGGAAGATACTACCAGGGCTTAAATTGTTGTCATCTATCTACTATTATATATCACGAGGATGGTGTTTCATGTTTCTTAGGCATTAACAGAGTACAAACGATAAGAATAAAGGGCTTTACTTTAGTTTAACCTTAATGCTCTGTTCTCCCGAGACGCCCAGCAGCTGCCATCTTGTCCTCATCTGGAAAGCCCCCATCATCCTTCATCCCCTCCTCAAACTCTTTCATCGCTGCCCGCTCGTCATTCGCCTCTTTTGTTAGCAAATGCCGTTACTCATTCATCTCAGGTCTCTAGAAGTCTCTGCTGCCCCCATCTTTCCCTTCCCTCGTAAAAATGTTTCATACAGATAAACAAGGGTATGGGCATGCTAAGAGAGATGGAAAAACGCTGACCATAATGCAGCAAAGGCAGCGTCTTCTGCTGAGCCAGCATTGGCTGCAGCAGTATATTTCGTACTAGAAGAAGCAGCCTCCTTATCTTCCTTTTTGTCATCCTTCACAGTATCTTCTTGGTCCTCCATAGAAGGCACGCTTTTACCAGTTTTCAATTCCGGCATCTTGCTTGTTCTCTACTTGACGAAAAATTTACTGAAGTTACTGATCGTCAAAGAAAAGGGTGTTGATACGTAAGTATACAGTTTACCTTATAATCTTGAAGAATCTTAATTGAAAAATTGAATGAAATCTTAGGAGTTCAGACGTACATAGTATGGTAAATTGTAGCTCAGAAACTTACGAAAGTGATATGTGACAATCTAATTACAGAAACGACAGCTTAATCTACTAGTTGCAGGATCGTACAAATGAATCACTTTGGATTCTGAATGGAGGTGGCAAATTAATTCCTGCTTCCCTTCTGAACTTCGTTCTCAGTATCAGTCATCTCGCTTGCTTAAAACCTAGATGTGGGTTGGGTTTTTTTCGATAAAAAGAGTCCGACGGAAATAAGCTTCCATTTTTTTCAGTCAAATATTACTACCTGATGCAACAATGCGGCCCTCCTTCTCGCCAGCATCACTCACGAGACCTCCTCTCTCATGGTGGTAGCACAATCCTATTCAAACAGTCAACTAAACTCTAAAGATCAACGTGCATTCGTCAGTATGACAAATAGGACCATTCAATTATTAGTCGTTTACCCTCTGCTGGCACACAAAACATCGAGACGCGCCAAGACACAGCAGGCACAATGTCGGTCTTTCTCCCGTCAAAACAGTGAACGAAGTCGAACTCAGTCATTCTTTTTCTTTTTGTCATTTCTCACATGCACTTTTGTTTGTTTCAGCCTCACAAGTTAATTTTACATGTCTGTCTCAACATGGACTTTCCTGCCTCATCCCATAGACCAAAATTTTCATTTTGGGGAGTAATGAAAACGAAGATGCAATGCAATCGTTCGGAAAATGGTGGGATAGCAGGCTGGAGCGTGCATTAAGAAAAAGCGATACGTATAAAAAATTGCTCAACAACAAAAATAACTCACTAAATTCATCGCACACCAGGTGGACTAACGATTGACTCATAAATCAGGGTGCACGGCATGCGATATGGAGTATTAATTTGGACTTCCACCCCACTCGCAACAAGAAGAAGGGAAGCAGAGCGGCTGCACGTCGTGCCGCAAGAGAAAAAGACTGCGAACCAACAGCCGGCCACGACAAGGCCGCTAAGGCATTAATTCTTCAGAAAAACAACAATTCGGTGTTCGAGCACCATTTATCTATTTGGCGATTTAATCAATGATTTCGTTCAACTTCTATGCTTGCTTTACCTAGGAGGACATTATTTGAAAATGAGAAGTATTCGTTGTATTGCTATTGTGTGAAATGTGAACGATGTCAGTGTTGTTTCTTTAAATAGGTTGATGATGGTTCTCAACAGCCAAATACTGAAGCGTTTTCCAGTGCTCTACTCTATCACCAGATCCTCATCTTCGAGTGGCGCAAAACGGCTAGAGCGCGAGCGCCTGAGGCCAGTGTAAATTGCGAAAAGCGCCAGCGTGCTCGACACCATGCCACCCACGAACGTAAGCGCCACATGATCTGCGCTAAAACGTCCGGTCCCTCCGAGAATGCTGTTGCCGGGGAGAATGAAAGAGGATGAGACTATGAATCGAAAATTGATATTTGCAGTTGTACGTGTTGTGTAGCTTCAAGAATCTCGAACCGACGACTGTTGTAGCAATTCGACTTCCATGGATGACGATAATTGTCATTCGTCCTATAGACATCATTCAATCAACGTACTACAGCTACACATAAACACCAACCTCATAAGAAACAGTTCTGCAAAAACTCCGGAGCTCAGCGCCGTCTCGGCTGTTGATGCATCAGCACTGATCGTCAGTGCCCTCTTTCGATGTTTGGTGCCTTGGCCACACGTTTTACTACATGACGACCAAACGCTCCATTCGTTCCAGACACAGTACTCTATATGGCCACATGGGGTTGTGTTACAAGCCTCGATCTCTGAAGCCTCTTTTCGGTCGCAGGGGGTCCCCATTCGCTTCGGGTTCTTCACTATGTGCCGGAAACGCGTTCGCTCGCCTGGGAGGTTGCAGGGTGTAAAAGGTGGTCAGAAAGAAAGAGGGGTTTTTCATGGAATCCATCAGATTTGCTCTTTATCTTCAAATTGCTTGCGAGAGGAGCCTAAAGAAAACCCGAAAGTAGCCTGGAAAAAACTGAGCAAGTACCTCCACCACAATGCTTATCGCAGCTTCCCCATTCACCCCATACGGACCACTTGCAGTCATGGCTGGTCTCACATCGCTGTTCATTGCATGTCTTGACTTCCTGCAAACTGCCCTCGCAGGTCTTGCCACCGCGAAGCGGATATTGGATTAGAAGAGCAAGAGTCGCTTTTATGACTAAGTATTTGACATAGATAAGTTCACATGATTGAAAACAACCAGTCCGTAGGTCTTAGAGATAGAGTACTGCACTTATTCCTTCCACCTGCTCATCTAAAGGGCACCATAATTGATCGATCTTTCTTTTCCTCGTCGATGTGCCCGTCTCGCACTCAGCAGTGCACTCAGTCCACAGACCCCACTCTCCAAGAACGCAATCGACTGGTTCCTTATACTCGCAATTGCTTCCAGTATTGCATGGACCAATCTGGAGAAGTACGTAGTTGTTTGGACGGATGATTCGACCATGTTGGAGTGTTACAACTGTACTGTACAAACAATAGTAGAATTATAACCAGAGGTGGAGGCACAACGAACTTTATCTATCGCACAAGACAGAAAGTTAACTTCTTCTTGACGACTAAACGATTATATAAGATTATAACACTTCCAAGAACCTGCTTCGTTGCTCCTGAGCATGGGACGCCGTTGTTCTTGCTATACACTGTTACAAGACGCATTCGCTCGTGCACGCCGTTGCACTTAGAGGAGCACGGCTCCCAACTAGACCAGTCTCCGAACTCGCAATCTGCTGTTAGAGTTCACCCTAATCCATCTTGAGCCTCATCCTGTCATTCATCCTGAAAACTTGAAAAGCCTCTCTCCTAGCTAGGATGCATCTCCCGAGAAGCGATGGATCATTGGGGGAAGCCTTAATACTGGTCCGTTATCGCACTGGCCCATATTGCATACTTGCAATTCCTCATGCTTGCCTGTTACAGGCTCACCGCACGCATTGGGCTCCGAGGCGACTTGCCGATGCCGAAACTGGTAGCCCTCACCGCAAGTGGTGCTGCACATGGACCTGGTGGGAACAAGGTGGGCAGACGCTAGAACCTTAAACTTAAAGAAATTGAAAGAAATTAATCAAGATAGTATAATTGATATCTGCGTATCTGCTCGAAGCATTGCAATGTACACTGGTCACTCCCACACACGTATTGACCAGCACCACAACAAAGAGTCTTACGATTTACCAGTTACTCCACTCGCCCCACTTTCCGTTTCTGCACGTTGTGCCTGCGTCACAGCTCTCTGTTGCACATGGAACGACTTCCGCGGATGTCAAAGGCTCGCATAGTTTCCCGCCCAGTCGTGGTGATGTCGTCACATGGCGAGTCCTGGTTTTCTGGCCGCCGCCACAAGTCTTACTACACTCGTCGAACGCGGACCACTCACCCCACACACAGTCTACTGGTGTCTGGCATGGCGTCTTGCCGCAACCCCGAACTTGTGAAAGCTCATCCTGACACGGTGCGCCTCCGTTCTTCGCCTCCCGTGAGATCTTCCTGCCCCGATGCTGCTCACCACCGCCACAGGTTGCACTGTTCGACCACGTACAGGAAATTCAAACAACAACACTGACAGAATTCTTACGAAAATAAAAACAACACTTGCAGAATTCTTACGAAAATAAAATCATAGATAAGGAGTTTTGATTTTCGAAATTTTATAGTACGAACAATCTCCCCAGTCGCTCCACTCGGCTACAACGCAATCCACCGACTTTTCACAGGTTTCAGTGTTGCAGGCCTTCATTTCCTCCAAACCGCCATCGCAGCTTTTGCCTCCGTATTCTGGATGTACTAGCACTTTCCGCGTTCGTTCTTGCTGGCCGCCCCCACAGGGTTCGGAGCAGGCAGTCCTAGGATAGACAGACGATCATGATTCTTGATAAAGGGTGATAGATTTTTGAGATTATATCCAATAAAAAAATATGAAATTTGGAGGTGTCTTTGAATATGCGTCGAAGAAGTTGTGACTGTTTTTCAAATTTAAACTGAAAAATAGTACCAATGTGACCATGAGGAGAGTTCACAGTCAATCGGCTCTGCTTCACAGTGTGCATCGCAATGCTGTGTCTCGACCTTAGGGCCATCGCATGGCTTTCCTTCACCCGCAAAGTGTTGTGCGATTTCTCTATGCCTTTCCTGCAAGCAACTGCACGTGCAGTCGGACCAGCTAGACCATTCGGACCAGAGGCAGTCCACAGCTGGTAGATTTTCGAGTGTAGTTAATCGCTTGTCAACATTATGATGCAATTGTAGAGTATCGTTTGTCAACATTGTGATTTGTTCTGTAAGTATGTTATTTCTCCATCTCAGAGTCATTGTTTCTATACCATTCCACTAAATACAGCATAAGCATCATGAAATAATGGATGAAGACTAGCCTAGGGTTTACCGACACAAGGCTTCAGCTTGCATTGCGTTACTTCCATAGCTGCATTAGGGTCGCAAGCATTCCCTGTCATACTAGCCTCTTGTGCTATTTTCCTAGTACGGAATTTCTGGCCTACGCCACAGGATGCTGAGCATTCACCCCATTCTTCCCATTGCGCCCACGCGCAATCTACCTAATAATGCGGGGAGAATTACCTAACTAGCACTCGGAAAAAACAAGAAAAATATATGAAGATAAAGATTTGAAATTCCGTTTGCAAACAGAGGGTGAAGAATCAGACTTAGAAAATCTGTCAGAAAATCCAAAGCTTACCGCCTCAACCACGGGCACTACATCCTTTGGGCATATTTCGACGTTGCATGGCTCTACCTCTGATAAAGCCCCATTGCATGCTTCTCCGTCGTGTGCGCTTGGTGTGACGATACGCCTTGACCGCGTGCGTGTGCCGCCACCGCAACTTACTGAGCACTCAGACCAGTCTTTCCAATATGACAAGACGCAATCTACTGGGTCGTTTCGGTGATTAGAGCTACCACTTCGCATCCCTGATGCCATCTGTGGACCAACCCTCTTTCCCCTTGAAAAAGAGGGCAAGAATGACGCTGGGGACGCACTTTTGGTTGCCTTAATATGGGCGTCACCTTCGAAGCACTCAGCATTATTACACCCTTGCATCTCCGTAAGTGAGCCCTCACATGCCGCTCCACCGTACTTAGGTGTGGCGGCAATGTGTCGTGTTCGTTGCTGCACCTGGTGAGTGGTGACAAGTAGTTGCACTTAAATTCATTCTTGGAGAGCGAGATAGGTCTGCGAGGTCAAGCGCATGTGGTGCCTACTCCAAAGTAGATAAATGCACAACTTCTACACAGAAAGTTCTTTCTCCTGAAAAAAATAAGTAACACATCAAGTAAATCATTACCCCTGAAACAGAAAATCCATCATTAAGTAAATTATTATCCCTGAAACAGAAAAGCCATCATCAAGTAAGTTATTACCCCTGAAACCCTAAGCCCTAATCATCGCTGCACACAAATTCATCATAGCTACTAACACAAAATCCGCCATAGCTACTTAGTTGTACCCCAAAAATCCATCATAGCTAATCTACTTAGTCCCTAATCATAGCTACTAGTTCTACCCCATGACAACTTGCGCTGCATTCTCCCCACGGTGACCAGGATTCGAAGACACAGTCTACTGCGGCGTGGCACAGGCCCATGTCGCACTTCTCCATTTCGGCCATGTCTCTAGGTTCACACAAGGCTCCCTGCCCACGGGGCGCATGCTTTATCATGCGTTCACGCCCTTTGGTACCGATGCAGCCGTTAGAGAGACTGGAGATGAATCGCATGTAACACTGGAGATGATGCGCGAGAGCGTCTTCTTGTAGGAAAGAACGCGTCTTCTTAAACTGGAGACGATGCGCTAGAGCGTCTTCAGCTTGAAGAGGGGTGTTCTTTCTTCGTTGCAAGTGCTCAATCCCGTGGATGCAAGCGAAAGAAAAGCAATGAATCACCTAAAACTAACACTGGAATTCTTGACGAAAGAGTAGACCAATTATATATACGATGTACTTACATAACACAAGTCCTCGAACAGGTGCTCCACTCCTGCCACTCATCCCAGACACAATCGCGATCGACTTCACAAACCTGCGTGTTGCAATCTTTCGTCTCGATAAGTCCGCCAGTGCATGGCAACCCGCCGCTCCTGGTGTGTGTGAAAATCGATTTGGATTTTTGGGCGAGAAACACTCTACGATTCTCGAAGTTGTTAGTGGGCCAAAAACAAACTTTTTGCGTGTCGTTTTTAGTCGGCACATGATATCTCGGCTATCGTCCCCGAGGTTACAGCATAGCAGCAGTACAAAGGAACTAATTCTAAGTATAAGTACTTCGCCACGGTCTGCACAACTCTCGTTCGCGTAGTCTGTCCGCCACCGCATTTGTGATTAGAGAACAAGATACACAACCATAGGTTGTTGAAGTTTTAGAGTCAAATGAAATAACATAAAAATTAGCTTCAAACTATACTCTAAAAAATAGAAAGAGACTCATAACTTCCGAACAGTAGTCCCAGCTGCTCCACTCGCCAAGCACGCAGTCGACCGGTGCTTCACACGGTGCGGTATTACACGGCTCGACCTCGCTCAAATTAGCGCTATCCTAGTCGCATCTTCCTTGAGAGTCAAATCCCTGGCTCCGCCTATTCCAGAGTAGGAAAAGAAGATCCGAGGATCATGGTGTTAAGGACATGGACTTGCTTCAGCGTTACTAGCCTTAATCAAAGCCCCATCGCATGTTTTGCCATCATGTGCTGCCTCGACTTCGACAGTTCGAGTGCGGTTGCGCTGGCCACCTCCGCAATCCTTTGAACACCTGCCCCATGACGACCACGCCGACAGTTGGCAGTCTATAGGGGTCTTGTGACAGTCAGGTATGCACCGTACAGTCTCGACTTTGGGACCTTTGTTGGCGTCGAAGAGTTGTTTTTAGACCTTTGTCATTGGAGATGCAGGTGCTTTGCTTTTCTAGTCGTGAAATCACAGGGAAATATCGTAAATTCTAGGAAGCAGCTACCCTCGCACGGCTTTCCGCACGAATTGCTTTGCTGTGCAATGACGCGATGTCGTTCTCGTAGCCCCTCACAGGAACATGCGGATAGTGGTGCCCACTCTGACCACACACAATCCATACATGGGTCCCGCCCACATGGCTCTACCTCACATTCCGCGTATTCCTTCTGCGTCCCTTTGCAGCTCAGATCCGTATCTCGATCGCTGATAGCAGCTAGAGAATGAAAGTCATGGCATGTTGTGATGGCTCGGCGTTGTCGTTCTAGCGTCACCTTCTAAGCAGGAGTCCTATTAAATAATACATGAAAATCGTTGAGATTGCTTCACAGATCTTTATCAACGAGGCAACTGGTCAACAACAACAACGACAGCATCATCTTCCTCCAACCAGCTTTGATCTACATCATATGTAGGTACTCAAATTCGAATCTCTACGAGAGAAACCATAAACTGACGATCCGAAGAGCAAAAATGCGATACTCCTATGTGGCCTTTGCTTTCTGGTTAGCTGTGCAGTACTGCGTCTCCCGGTGCTGCTTGCTGAAGCCGAGCACCGCTCAGGCTGATCTCCATCATCCACAGCCATTTTTACAGTCCGTCGACCATGCTCATCTCTTGAGTAATTGCAGGTAGATGATGGACAGTTATTGTTGTTCAACAGGGAATTATAATGGGATCGCGTACGTACTAGTTTTTTCGGTAATGCTTTTTTGCGGTAAGTACATTTAGCACAGAAGTGAAGGACGTGCTTCTCATTCTTCTTGCCTGCTTCAAGCACTTTCACTACTCATTCCAACCCTCGTTTTTTTCAGACATCGATCTCTATCGGTCCGCCTCGCTCACCATTGCCGCTCGAGAAAACTTATACCTCTCAAAGTCCTCACAACGTCAGCACTAATGGTCTTCGTCACGGACGAGCAAGAAATCTGCTCTGGAACTGGATGCGCTTTGTTTTGTTGTACATGTGTTCTCATGGTCACAAATTCAGTACATTTTAGACAGCTATGGACAGTTAGGTCGTGGCTTCGTTAACAAACAATTGGTACAGGAAAACGTTCTCACTTCAGACGATCTCATTTTTGATAACGACGATATACTCATGAGGAACAAACAAGCACTAGACGAACCTTATATGCTAAACTCTGAATTCAATATGCAGCATGGATACCTGCATTCTACTCTGATGTTCTATTAGCGATTAATCCACATCCTCAGTAGGAAGCTATATTCAATTTCGGTCTAACTAAATTCGTTTCCGTTTCTATTTGATTCTAAGAAATTTGCAGATTGGCGATCTTGATAGATAGTTAATGACAGAAGAATTTTGCGAAGTGTATTAGACAGTTTCATCTTGAGCAGATGCAATGACACGCCCTCATGGACGTCGTGAAGGGCTAACAAAATGTAAACGATTGATAATTGATGACATAGATAACATCTTTGTGGCGCTCGTTTTCTTGTATGAAAACAGTTTGAGGACTTTTCGTCCATACGATGATGAGCAACTCCTTTGCTTGCAGACCCTCTTCTGACTGCGACACATGATCACACCTAGCTAGTACGTAATAAGTATCTTCTATACAACGAGGACAGCACGATCAAGCTTGCACCCGTTCTGATCACTGTGTGTGTGAAGCCTGTCGCCCCCTGAGGTCTACAACTTCTAATAGTACGTATTCGATAAACTGAAATAAGCGAGTAACAGACGAGAATAACCGAGAGACTGATGAGAAGGAGGAGTAGCCTTGATGTTAAGCTACCTCCCTTATTTCAGTCACTAACTCGGTTATTTTCAGTTTTCGAATAGTACTTATAAGTAAATGGTACTATGACATGTTTGTTCTAAATACCCAGTTTACATCACTGGATTTCCGTTATCGACGGGGTCCACCTGACGTTTTTTCGTCAGTGTGTACTGGTACTCAGCAGGCAGCTTGTACCCATCGACGTAGAAACTACCGAGGTCGCTGTACCTGGGTTGATTGGAAGAACGAGCCAGTGTTGTCGTGGGTACTTGGAGGAGACAATTTAAGACAAAGAAGAGATCATTTATTTTGGTCTCAAAAAAAAATTAGGTCAAAAAAACGTGTAAGCAGAATGGGTACGTTGACTTTGGGCACTTGATGTACTCTCCCGGCTTGTACGGCCTGTCGACCCAATGCGGATGATGGGGCAAAAACCTGCGATTGCGGTGTTGTAGTTGAAAGCATACAATTTCGTCCTTTTGTTCCAAAAGAGAGACAACATCGATTCTAGAACAAAAACAAATCGTATTAGTACAGTTACAGTATACGTCAACAATTTCAATCGTTTCAAATGTTTACAGTTCTTACAGTAGACAACAATTGATTCCAAACATATCTCCCCCCCCACACATAGAAAAAAAGTACCGCGAGTTTTCGAATGACTTGACTCCTGCACGCTTAGCATGGAGGACTGATGGTTGAACCACCGACCCGAATTCGCCGTTCGTCGTGTGCCAGCAATCACTGCCATAACTCGCGATCTGTTACGAGATACGTGGTAATGTGGTAACAATCAAAATTCTACTTACTTTGGCTAGTACTCTTCAAGGGGTAGAAAAAAGAAAAACTCTTGCAAGAGGTGGTAACAGTTGTTCCAATTTTCTTGCATACCGTTCTATAAATCTTCCTCCAAGGTGGACCTAACATAGAGTAGTACGTTGTCCCAGCACATGGATAATCTCTTTCCTTTCTTGAAATTGGCTAGAGTGTTTGCACTTGGCTTCTTGAAGTTGATGCCGGTAAAAGTGATTTCTCCGAGATCCTGCATGGACGTGGATCGGGATAGTGGTGGTCGCGGAACTATTGTACCTGTGGTCCGGTTTTGGAATTTTTGGCATGATTTGGTAGACCTTAGACAAAAAAAGAACAGCCTCTATTTGACAGGGTGGACTGGAAGGATGTTAAACCAAATTCTACGTGATTCCAGTAGTAGAAGTGCTGTAGTGGATCATAATAATTGCACCATCTGCGCATTTCTTTGGTTTTCCGGTGTAGATGGTGAGGTCTCTTCTCTCCCTTGGCTTTGATGCCTTCATCAATTTTCGTGTCACCTCCGCTTGCCGCCTCTCTGCATCCATTTCCTGTGTTGGAAGAGGGACAAGGACATAGAAAATGTGGAAGATCGCCTCGCCTCTCTGCATCCATTTCCTATGTTGGACGATGGAGTCTAAAATTTATACTCCATCTTCCAACATAGGAATTGATTCGAGAAAAAATTCGTAGCAAATCAAACAAGGAACCATGAGATAGGGATAACCAATATTACAACTAAACTAGAATTTTTGATAGGGAAAAACCAATGAAGGAAGATCAAAACTTGAAGAAAGTTCAACTTCAAGAAAGAATCAACGAAAAAATACTATCTCTGTAACTAGTGTAATACTATCTCGTCCATTTTGTCAGTGGTCATTTTCTTCTGACCGAACATTTGATAATCCGTATCATAGGCCGGGACGCCCTTGACCACGACATACGGATACGTCGCTATGTTCGGGTTGCCCGCGAGATCTGCAACCTCGTCCTCCATCTTGTCTTTCAATTTTTCTGTGAGGGATGGCAACGTTGTAATGGACACAAAGATGCCAGGATTATTTTGACTGCTATTTTTAAACTGGTGAGTGTTGAACTGTTGTCGTTGTAGTTATTTTGTAGCCAAGCTCGCTGATTCAGGAATGAATTGGTGTCAAAGAAAGGCTACTCGACAAAATCAGCCTACATTCAAACACAGGATCATGATCGCCGTAGGTAAAAGTGAGAAGACAGGGTAAATTCGTTATGAGGGATGGGGGGATGTTGGAGGGAAGGAAGCTCATGGGGGAGCACTGGATTAGGATTAGGATTCGATCCGCCATCCACAGTTTTACTTCCATACTCAAGCTGGAGGGCCAGCCCAGGATACCGATATATCATTGCCTTTCCTACGCTGATCCCTATTCGCACATCCCATACAACCTGCGCAAAGCTCAAGTCCGTACAGAAAGAGATTGTATTTTTTTACCGATTCACCTCACAAACAGACATTCCAGGTACAGATTTCTTCTTCATCGATCCTTGTGGAACCACGACCCACTTCAGAAGACTAGGTGGACGGCAACAGCGTCGCCACGGTAAATACGACCTTGTTTACTTTTCTTGATCTATTCCTTTCTGTTGTGCTCATACATAAACAAGCGACTGAGTACATCTTTCAGCGCACTCGTTGTTTCTCGGAAAACGTTTTCATTCATTAATACGTCTTCGAAAGTCGTGATTATTCTTGATCACCGGTAAGACGACTCTACTGTGTTCTAGATGATATTTAGACTTACGTCTACGTATGCTTAGACATGTATGCTTCAAGAGAGATTTGTTCAAGACTGTCTGTGAAATTGCTGAGTATGCTAGACAAAAATTCTGTGACTTTGGGAATATGCAGGATGCTTCGAAATATATGACTGTGATTTATGGTGTGCTTTTGCGATCCTGTGTGTTAGATTCAGTATGACTGTGATTTCTCGTTCGTTACGTGCCTGTAATCCTGTAACAATGTCCATGTACAGATTCAAAATGCACAACGATCACCATGATAAGGTGTACAGTATGCTAATTTTCAGGAGAGAGGTCACTACAAACCTACGGTACACCAACATGTGCCGTTTATTGTCGGGTATAAAACAAAAACTTCTGTACAGATTATGAAAGAGAGTCTGACATTTATATACAAGACTTCCTAATCCTATTCCTCAACAACCAGATGGCATAAGAAAGTACAGCGAGAGCTCACGCCACCGTCCCTCCCGGCGGTCCTCTGGCGTGGTATTTCACGTCATGCACCTTCTGGTACGGCGCTAGTGGCATTTCCTCGATATTCGGTTCGGGATCCAACCTTAGTCGCACTTGAAACAGGGTATTCAACGAAACTGCCTCTGCCTCGTCAACGCGTCCGGTTTTGGCATCGCTCTCCTCGATGAGCCAAGCGGGCTTGCGTTCAGCCAGCATTTTTACGAAGCTTTGGAACAATGCGGGAATATCAGCAGGCTGCATAGGCCCCAGACGCTTCAATGCTCGGTGCATGAAAATGCCCATGTACCTAGTATCAGAAGTCAACATGCAGGGTCCAGTAGTTATCAGTAGACTAGGGATTAGGGGATTAGGGATCTGATCCGCCGTGGTTCACAGAGAATAATATAGTATTATACGAAGAAGTGTTTGCGCTTGTTCACATAATTGGTTATGGTTTCATGGATTTCTTCTTGGTGCTATCACTTACTCTTTGGTAAAATAAGTGCTCTTCGTTCATAAAAGATAGTTCAAACGGGACTCCCACCTGTACCACGGCTCATAAAACTGGAGTACTACAATCATACTGTATTCAACGAAAACGAGTACCCACGACGACTCTAGGATACTTGTTCTCATAAATCATACTGTCTAAGTAAATAGTCCCATCTATCATACTGTAAGATAAAACTTGCTTATACCGTTCCACTAGATCCGGCAGTTCCTTCGGCTTGGGGTAGCACTGAGGCAGCGTTGGCGGGAAAGGCATGGGTCCTACTTCGCCGCCCATAATTTTGGCTGCATGTCGCTGCTCTCTCCAGGATTGCACCTGTTTCTCAAAGTCTTTCCAGTCGTCCTTATACTGTTGAAGAGCGGTCACAGCGAGATACCTAGGATTTGCAAATCAATGAGCATCATGTGGATACGGGTATGGATGACCAGCCTACTCACTGGGACGTTGTTCAAAAATAAAAAGAAAACCAAAATTCTCGTACTGGAATACTTCCTTGTATCATCCTCATCAAAGAACTTGAAGCTTAGATATTGATCTATCAATTCAATGAATCATGTGCATATGGACATGGGAAACGTTGACGTGCATTCAGAACAAAGAAAACTCTGCTCTCAAACAAACTTCCTTGCATCAAAAGCGAAAAACTTCGTTGTGTCACCATTCTCAAATAAAGATTTCAAATTAACTTAAGTAATAAATTGAATAATGATATCAACTGGGTGGTGCACCTCGACATATTAAACACCTTCTGGCCCGCATTTCGATTACTACAAAGGTTTTCCGGTCGCTGGCAGGAATGAGAAGTGCCTTTAAATTCGCTCCACTCGGAGGACTCAGGGCGCCACCATGCCGGTCTATGAAAACCTGCTTGTGATAGCGCAACTCGGATTGTGTTACGGCCTTCAGGATCGCAGCGAAGCGCTTCTGCAAAGCCTTCCTTGTATCCCGCCACCACGCCTGGATGAATCGACATTTTTTGTGAAACGACAAAAAAACCTTGATGGTGTTAATGTTCCGCATTTTCCGCTCAAAAATCTTCATCGCAGCTTTCAGATAGAATTAGAGAGAGAGTAGACGCAACAAGACCACTGTCTATGAACAAGTATGATGGAATTAGAGAGAGAGAGAGAGAGTAGACGCAACAAGACCACTGTCTATGAACAGGTAATATTTGTATTCATTGTATTATAACAATTATATATCATTGTAGGCATAAGATCACTCATATTATAACAAATATAAGTATATGATCTCGGTCTTCTATGCTGGATCATGGTGACTCCGTAAATTCGTGCCGCCTTTATCTTGAACCGGGTCTTGACTACTCTTCGCAGGGCCATCTTGAAACGGAGGAATTTCAGCTTATTTTTGCGTCGTTCCTCGAGCTCCTGTTCATCCGCATCATCATCCGTGGTCTCGTCACCGGGAAGTCTTAACGGTGCCACAGCACTCTGTTCATTTGTCACATTCATGGGGTTTCAAGTTGATGTGTCCTCGCGACTGCAATATCATTCGAAAAGGAAGAGGGATAAAAACTTCACAAGTCCTGCCTTATTCATTCTCAACAGTTCCGTTAGACAAAACTTAAACTAGGGAAGTATAAATCTTAATGAACAAACCTACGTCTACAAGTACAAAACTTTCCACAAGAATACCCTCACTGACATTATCATTAAAAAGAATGAGCTGTACCAGTTCCGCTCTTCGTTGCGCTTCCTCCTCTTCCGTCAGCACTTTCCTATTCTTAGTTGCTACGGTCGCACGTAATTCTGTCAAGAATGTGTCGGATTGGGGATTGTAGAGGTCATCCAACATTCCTCCAGCTGATTCCAAAAATGAGCAGACAACAATCGCGCCCAATATCTTGCCCATGGCTTCATCTGCGATTTCGTCCTCGCTTAGCTTTGACCGCTCCCACTCAAAGATATCTTCGGTTTTGTTAGAACCGTCGCCGTTGCATCCCTGGGGCCATCCCTCGCTTCTTTTTCAAGATGAAAAAGATGCCAAGAATGATGTTGAGGATGCAGCCTGCGTTGCCCTAATTTTGGCAAGTTTCCGAGACCCAAGAATGGGAAAATGAAACTGTTTTCGACGCAAAGACTCTATGGCTGCCTCTCTTTTCGCCATGATCCTCTGTCGCTTCCACTTCTGCACTACCCTTAACCGTTCTTCCCACGCTTGACCGGTGTCTCGACACCTTGCGAACCAATGAAGAAAAATTCTCTTGTAAATATTCTATTCGTATCCGAATGAAAGCCAAACATGTCGTCTTCAACAGCCCTCTAAGTAACTACTTAGAATAGTTGCTGCAGCAAGACACATCACGAACTCAACAACTGGAACCTACTGCTCTCGTCCCATGGATGGCAGTACTAAAGCACCAGATGTGAAAAATAAGCTTTGAAGCGGAGAGAACAATAGTGCTTGAGATGAACAATAATCACAATACCGTTTCGCCTTCTCCTCCGGCTTCCATTGCGCTAGATAATCCCTGGTCGCATTCCGAGCGACAGCGTCGTGGCCCCCACTTGCATAGGCGTATCTCTCTGCTAGGTAGTCGTTCGGGCAAAGCTGGTTGCCCTTCATCGGAGGTAACTTACTTTGCAATACGCGATGAAATCGGAAGTATTCAAAACGAGCTTGTATTGTTGGAAATTCACCACGTGCGTCAACCTGTGGCACTCCCAATAGCGACACTCCCACTGCGCTACTGCCACCTGACGAACATGAAAAATGCTTCTTCACATATTCTTTTTTGTATGCCTACATGAACCATGATCATGTGAAGGTCGACGAAAACAATGAAAACATCCATGAAATCAAATCATTGAAACATTTGATATACAAGTCTTCACAAACATAGTCTTCTCGAACAAAGCAAACATCTTGAAACAAAGAAAATGGTTTCTTATCGTTTTCTTCTTCTACGTATGTGATGACTTCCATGCGTTTTTGCTTGCTTTTTAGGTGCTGAAAAATGGTATACGTAGGATAAGATAGGATAGGATGCCTCGGCTTCGCTGCCAAGTGAGTCACCCTAACAAACAAAAAAAAACGCAAGTACTTCTATGCTCTCGTATTGGACGTACCAAACATTAAACAACGAAACCTGGTGCACCCATACAAGCCACACTCACAATGTAAAATGAAATCCGAAGATGCCAATCCTATGACAGGGAAAAGTATAGCAATAGACTATCGAAAAAGTTCGCATACCGCCTCCTCCCTTCCCTCCTGGGTTGTGGTCTGCATCTGCGGTATGGAGAAGCTGCTCAGCTGTTGTTGCTATCCACTTTAGGTTGTTTTCGAATTGGGCCTTTCCCGTAGAATCTTCGGACACCACATCCTTCTGCGTAGCGAGCCGCACCCCACGCCCACGAGTGCTTTGCCTGCTTGACAGAGATTAGAGTGAGGAAATTTCGAAAAAAAGGTGCAAAGGACGATACGGTGATTTTCCACAGAACTTGATGTAGCTTCCACTGGTACTCGTGGACGTATTCCGATCTATCAGAGTGAAACTGAAAAGTATCTCGAATTTCAAAAATTTGTTACATGATAATAGTTCACGCAATCATCTCAAAAAGAACAACGGCATTTTTGTTATAATGGCTTCCTTCGTTCCAGATGTATATCACCATCATAACTAGTTGTAAAAGCGAAATTAAGCCCACCGCCGCTTCCCGGTGTTCCAACACGGATCCCACTTCCTTGGCCAAAACGCTGCAAGGTTTGTGAAAAATCCCTACGTAAACCATGTCCACGAGTTTCTACGATCTTGGTCGTACTCCTCGAAGTCCGACTGCCTCCCTGCGGCGGAAAGAAGCACTTCACTCCCCGTGGAGGAGACGCAAGTTCATCCCCTTCCTGTGGTAATCGGAAGCCAGACCCATTGCCAAGAGTCGCGGCGAGAGTGTGCTTGTCCTTAATCACTGTCTGGCCGTGATGCACAACGAGCGGAGAGGTTGCTGCGACGATCTTCCGTTTTCTTGTTCGTGCTCGCTTCGCATCGACATCCTGTTCTTGAACAGATTTCCGAAAATTTTGCTCCTCCTCCTGTGCTCCTCCCTCCTGTGAGCTTGACAAGAAACTCAGCTTGCTAGTGTCAGTCAGCGGCAGTGCGGTTGATTCGTAGGCATTGTTCTGAATGCTACCATCGTTGCCTCCTTGTTTGTCCCCACCTTCTGGGTAGTACAGCATGCGACTCGAGGAGGCATTACTTGCATCCCACAGAGAATTGACGGAAGGGCCAGCGCTGTCAATAGCCCGACCGCGAGAGAGCAGCGTCATGGTTGGGGCTTATCCACTTGAGCTTAAGTCTACTAAGACCGTGTCCAAGTGAAGCATGGCAAGCTCAGTAAGCGTGGTTATTCTTATTTGCAAAGGGGGGCAATTAATACTAGTAAAAGACAAGTATGCCTTTTTATTTCATCTAAGATGCAAGATGACAGATACAGGCCACTATTGAAAACAGCTAATACTCAAGCTTCTTGACTGTTGATTACGCTTCGGAAAATTTAGGGCGTTAAACAGTGATAGAGCCAGGGATGGCAGTCTAAGTACAGGAGTCGTTTGACAGATGATGTACTACCGATTGGAAAATAGCGGTAGCACCCCTCTCTGCGCTCGTGTGCTTTTGACAGAGACTTTCATACAGATGAATTCTTTTTCTGGGATCTAAGCATGTCAAAGTAGTAGATTCCGCTCGCGCAACACCGACTTGGTGCTCTTCGAGGACATGAAAGTTTCATAATCTCAAAATCTTGATGCTGGAAGTGCAGATCGATTACAGACAAAGGTTCGATGACTCTCTTGACGCATTCGTTAAGGGCATTACACCTATTCAGCACCTCCCAGTTGTCTCGAACACAGGGACCAGACCACGACTAGAAATGAAATTTATGAGCTAGTACTGCCAAGATGCGTCAGAGTCAGGGAAAGACGTTGACGACAAGGCCATTACTCTTGCAGAAGCACGATCTTCTGATCTCCGCCTGAAGGCCCATCAAAAGTTTCGAATAAATCCACCACAGGGTACAACTTTGGAAAGGATGGCGCTGGCTGGATCGTTCCCGACTGAGGTCCACCTCCACTTGTTGCTCCAGTAGTGCCTCCACTTCCAACTGCACCTCCCGAGAATGGCGTCGAAGTCGACATAGCTGCAGTTCGCGCGGATATTTTCGCTGGCCATCGACCGCGAACTTTCCCGTTTAGTCGCAGTTCGAGGTCGCCTGCTGGAAAAAGGACTCGACACTCCACAACATCGCCCTCACGCAGTAACGCAGCTGCATTCCACTCCGGACAGCGTCGGATTTAGAGATAGAGAATATGTGAATGCTCATACAACTGTCTCTCTCCCAAAGGTGCATGCTGTTGTCTCTGTTTTCATCCCTCCGGATGACCGTTTCTAAACGTATTTGAATTAAGTATACACTGATCTCTTACATTATTGGAAGTGCTACTCTATTACTAACAACGAGCGATGTGAGATAATTCCCTATAGATTTAATCGACATAAGTTCTTACGCCGGGATGCGAGCCAACCAGTAGGCCACGCGCCTCTACTACCCAGCAGCCAAGCAAGTCCTCGGCGAACCGTAGACGCCGCTGCTCACCTGGTGGCACAGACGTAACGCCTATGTCTAAGCGACAGCCCGCTGGCCACCTTGCTAAAAAAATGCGAAAGCGACAGAGCTCGCAAAAATCGACACTCAAAGCTGGCTGTTTGCTCGGGGCTGCGGCTCCATGACCTGCTTTGGTAGTTGCGGTAATAGAAGAGTTGTCGCGCGGAGACGGCAGGAAGGATAGCGATGGCGGTTGCGCTGTGGACCCCACAGCCCCTCCAACTTGTTCCGATGTTGAACCTCCTATTTGTGCAGGCGGTAGCGATAAGGTATCTTCTTTTTCGCCTTGTTTGGGTACGGAGCGCAACGCTGCAAGCGTTTTCCTACGCAAATGCTGGGCGCCAACGAGCACCCCGAAACCTTTGGAACTCTTCTTCTTCCGATACGCCGTACATCGCCTTGGAGACGGGAAATCGACACTCGGACTCTCTCGTGCGGCGTAGAAGTCGTGCCACGAGTTTGTTAAGAGGGGCAACTGATTTCGCAAAGCTAAAGGCAGCAAAAGCTCGGCCCGCTCGCGCCGTCCGCGTGCTCCTGGCGTGCTGTCGTGATGCGTCGGCGTAGATTGGTTTGACCCGGGGCCGGCTGAACCGTGCACATGCATCATCCTGTCCAGAAGGACGCGTGTGAAGGAAGACTCCACTTGCGCAGCTACAGTGTAATCTACAGTAGTGCTTCTGTCACCGGCGGCCAATGTACTAGCGTAAGCCGTCGATCCCCGCAGGCTATCAGGAGTAGCGTCTCGCCCGCTAGCTCCGGCCAGGCATGTTGGCCAACCATTAGAGGTTGGGCGTTGGTGTTCGCTTGCGCTGTTAGTTACGAGTAAGGCAAAACTAACGGCAACAGGAACAACAAATGCCTACCCATAAAACTAGTCAACGCTCGCGCGGTCATGAGCTGTGGTGTCCCATCTGTCGTCGTCCTAAAAAGCACTTTCTCAGTTCGTCCTATGGAAGCTCGTTCGTACTGGGACAGTGGCTCAACAGCGAGATAGTTGAGAACGAGATCATCGAAGACATGTTGGACTCCAGTAAACAGGCTCTGTCCGCCGGATGAATTGCCTGTGCAGCTCAGGCCACCTGTGCTTAGGCTTAATGACGCATTTAATTCAACAACTGGTCCTCTTCCTGCTCGTCCCGTTGACTGGCCCTTGGAAGATGTTGGTGGACCCGGTTGCCCTGCAACGCCTGAAGATGCAGTTGACGTTGCATCTACTTTCGAACTGACGCCGACCAAGTCTGACCCGCTTTCCGCAGTTCGGCTTTCGTTGACTGCTTTCGGCGTCGCTCGCCTTTGTGACCCGCTTCGTGAGGCAGCAAGCTCAGAAGCATCTTCTCGTAGCCCATCTTCTAGCTCATCTTCTATATAGAGCGCGCTTCGCCGTTTTCGTTTAGGCTTCGAGCTTCCCCAAGTGTTTGCGTCTCGTCCGCGACCCTCCTGCTCCGCGATCCGCGCCTCAAACCTCTGCTTCAAACCCTCGAGCTCGAAAAGCAGAGTGCATTCTTCGACGCCAGAAGCCTGATTTTGTTTCTCACTGACAGCAAGAGACGACGGCGAATCCGCATTATGATCGTTAGTACTCCCACCATGAATGTTGTTGTAACCAGCTTGTGGCGCAGCAGTTGCGATTTGGAGTGTCGAATCCCAAGAAAAAATACTCGAACTCTGCGCTCCAGCGGTACTTTTGTAGCCTTTTCCCTGGGCAATGCCCTTAGTACGTTTTGCCGTATTATCATGTGCTCCCTCGCCACCTGGTCCCTGTATCATTTCCCCATCAGGTCGCAAGTCATCAGGTGCTTCTTCTTGTTGTAGGATTTTTATCCGAGAAGATGCAGCGTAACACTTTTTCAAAGCGAGCAGTGATTCTGATTCCCTGGCCTCAAATCCCCTCAACAGCGTATCAACTGTATCTGGCGCCAGAGCATCGGGCAAACGCACGCTGCGTAATCCCGCACCTGCCCAAACTGTTCCAAGATGACAGATCGGAGGCCAAATGCCCACGATGTCGCGTCTTGAGAGTTGCACGTGATGCTTCTCCATAACTTAGCGCTCAAGAATGTTGACGCTAGCCACTCACAATCTTTAACGTTGAGTGAGTTCACGTTTCCCTCTAGACAGTTTCCCCTTGACTTCTTCCAAGGGACGAAACCCACTCAGCATAGTAGTCCCAACGGGATAGCGATCCATTTTAAAAAGGGACGGAGCCCACTGAGCATAGTAGTCCCCACGGGATAGCGATCCATGATTAGCCTTAACACACTACGGGATTGCTGCACAACTTTTGCCACTTCCGACACACAGAGCTCAGCCTTCCGTACGATCTAGGCCAGTCGACCGCAAACGATAGAATCGGTTCCCATAGGTCGAACGCATCTAGGACAGAGCATAATTGCTCTTGGACAACACCGGAAGATGAAGGTGAGGCTGTTGGTGCGGCAAGTTGCAGACCAGAAGATGCGAATGCTGTAGCTTCAGTGGAAACCGATCCACCAAGCGCGGATGAGCTGCTTGCAGCACTAGACGAACTTCCAAAATCATCGCACGATATATCACGCGCAACGCCGGCGGCCTGTGTGATGATGCCAGCGCCTGGAGGAGTCGTGGCCCTTTGTCCAGAGAGGCCTCGTTCCTCTGGACTGGCTGCTTGCGATGACGACCCTACGACGCCACTTGAGTTCGAAAAAACGAAGTCGCGGATGTCCGGTTCCTCGTTTAGAGGTACCAATAACCCATCTGTTACATAAACATCTCAACCCATCTGTTAAAACATCTTAATCTTTCAGTTCTTCATTTCAAGAAGGTACCGGCTAAAAGATGTTGTAAAAGATGGGTTGGCGGTGCCCATAACTCGTTTAAGAGCAGATGAAGACATTTCTTCAGTTTTTTGCCCACGCGAGCTTTACAAACTGTGTCGAGGTCTGCAGAGCTCAGCAGGCGGTCTACGAAACGAGCGAGGCCACGCAGGCTCAAACCCTCGATATGGACATGAGCATCGTGCAAATCCATGATGTTCTTGATGTTGTATCTTTAGTACCATATGCGTTGAGAGAATGATGATCTTGTTTGCACGAAAACCATATAACGGTATGATCGTCATGTCATTCATCTACTACGGAAGAAGAAGCACAGAGCCGTTTGAGCTTTCATTTCTCGGATCGGTCTCTTCAAACGTTGGATCAATCTGTCATGTCATATGTCTCCAATCTGACCTGCCAAATCAGCTTTGAGACCAGACCCAAAGGGATACCCCGATGAGCATACAGTAACGTACTAAGCCGTGAAAAGCATGATCCACCACTACAGACCTAGCGTGGAAAATACTACTGAATACGACCGCACTGGTCGAGCAATGAAGCTGTTCCGACAATCCCCACCGATACTCACAAAGCAATCAGCGTCGGGATCTTGTGAAGGCATGCAACAAACAACGTGTCGAACACTTGCGAAACGCAAGCAGGCAGAGCTCTCCAGTTTCACGCCGCTTACGGTAGTAATCGATAGCGGTACACTAAAAAGGCTATTTCACCAGTCTTCCGCAGCATTCTCCTCAACGTCTCTGGCTTTCGCGACAAAAACCGGAACATCGTCGTTCCCTGAAGCGGCAGAAGGACCATGCGGTAATGAGAATAAAAGGCAAAAACTCAATGCGTCGAAGTCGAAGTCTGAGCCGAAGATGTCCCTGTTCTTAAACCGATTTCGCTGAATGCGATGTGCTTATGATGCCTATGATCATTTTGGAACTACACAATGCAATCGCGGTGACCCAGTAGCAAAATCCACTAGTCCAATCCATCTGCTGGATCCGCGGTGGGCACTGTCAAAACTAGCGTTTTCTTTTTCGTGGATGCCTTGGCCACGATATCGTCTGCTAGAATCTGTTGTCCCTCAAGGGAAAGCCGCTGTATCTGCCCATCATAGGTCAGCAGGAGTTCGGTCTCACGAGCTTCGATGTCAACCTCGCGAGGCCGTTCGCAGTCTGCGATGCTAACCGTGAATTCCTTTCCGGAACGAGTTATTGTGCAATCGAGACTGCCTTCCGCAGGCTGCGTTGATCTTAGAGGTGTCGTGCTTGCGAAAAAAAAGTTGACTTCAAAAAAGTGTGATGCATTTAACCTATTTCACTATACCTGCTCCTTACACGCATCTGTTAGATACTTCTGTGACGAAAAATGATGAGGTTGCGTTTGTTCTCTTCCATCATCACGATGGTTGGAAGAAGAAGTGCGAAATATCCAACTTCGTAAATTTGATGCGGTCGACTCCACAGGTTCTTGACTTTTCGTTGCTTGCAACGCAGAAGGGTCCTCGAACTTGTCCAGCATATCGAGAAGGCCATCTGCTAGAGAGCCTGCTTCCCCTGAGCGGTTGCTATCTGCTTCTCCGAGCTTGTCGAACCAACCTTTTGCAAGCCCTCTGAACTCAGCCTGCTCTGCCTTGGACAGGATTTCGTTTCCACTCTTTGCACCCTTCTTCACTGGATTTCCCTTGCTGTCGAAATACCTTACGGAGGAGGAGTGAAAGATATTCAATTGAAACGATCGCCCGAAGACTTCTATCTTACAGGCGTCGCACTGTACAAGTAATCTCGACCTTGAGGTCTAAAAATCTGCACACTGCCTACATCATCATCAATCAATGCACGTGGTTTCAGACCTCGCTGCAATCGACAAAAGAAGGAGGACCATCTTAGGAGTACCAATCCCTGTCATCTTGTACAACTGGCGTCTCGTTCTTTTCAGCCGCTTCCTCCCGTTCCAAAATCTTGTCAAATCTGGCATAGTCAACATCGTACTTTTTGCCAAAGTCATCGTCCGCACCTATTGGATTGTCCTCGGCCCACCGACTACAAGGATCTTGCCTTCCTGCTTGCTTTTTCGCCCACTTCTCCAGGTCCTTGAGCATCTCATTATTATCGCTATTCGACGCTTCTGCCTCCCGACGCTGCTTCTCCGCAGCCTGGTACCTTTTTGTTGGACAAAGAAAAGCTCTGGGATCGATAAGTTCCGTTTTTCGGTGTCATCATGGTTGAATGAAGTGTGTGCATGCCAACGACAAGAAAGAATCCAAAGAAGGAAGCTGAGGAAGCGCGGAAGGCACACGTATCGTCTGCTATGAGAATAACTCCTCACGCAAAATACACACGCAATAAACACAGACAAGACAGCCAGAAACCGCGGCAGGGGCTCACGCGCAGAACCCGCCGCGCGCCAGGTCACCCGAGCGACACAGACATAGACGGCACGAGCGGCCAGCCAGACTCGATCCGGCTAAGCCCGGCGAGGCTGTCCGAATTCCTCACGGACACGTCGACCAGCGTCGCAAGCGCGGCCCCCATGCGCCTCGCCGGTGCCGCCTTGCACGCGAGGCCGCCGCTCGTCTTCGTCGCAAATTCCCTAGCGCCCACCCTGCGCCCAGGTGGTAGCTTCTTCCCTGCTTGCTTCGCATACATTTACGGCCAGGCAAGTTTGCCCTCAGCCCGCCGCTGCCCGCTCGCGCGCGTGCGAGTTGTGTGGTGCGTGGGCGGTCGCAGCCTTCGCCATTGGTCCCCTTGCACTCCTTGCGCGGCTCTTCCAAGCTGCCGGGCCGCCGGTGCTGGGGACAGTTCCAAACCTCGACGCTGCCCGGAGCGAACCCCCTGCCGCAAGTGGTGCCGAAGATGCCACGCCACAGCTTTGACCAGATTCACAACCACCACGGCAGACACGTCGAACAGCATGCAAAGAGACCCGCCAGAGCCACCACCCGCAGGGAGCAGCCTGAGAGAGAGCCTCAGAGATGGCGCGCGGAATGGAAGCGCGCGGGCGTCGTTTCATATCCGCGATGGCTGATTCTTGGGCGCTACCTTTCAGGCCTGCGGCGCTGCGATGTAAGTACGCGATGCATCGCGATCGGGCGCATTCCTGACAAAGCCGACACAAGTCAAGAAGCCGACAAACTGGCTCCAACGTGCCCAGGGTTTTCCAATAGCATGGAGCCCCTGCACCTATTCCCTTTCCCGGCCCTTCTCTCCTTCAGCGCTCAGCGCCAGACTGCGCGCCCTGATTGGAGGTCTGATTTGAGACGTGGTTCCCTTCGTCTTGCGTACCTTTTCCCGCCGTGGTGAAAGCCTTACGGTGAGCAGTCTTTCTACGCGGAGACTGTTCCTACGAATAGTCCCTCCCTGTGCCCTACCAGGGTGCCAAACGTTTCGCGGCTCCGCTGCACGTTGCAGGCGACTGCGAACAGGTTTGCGATTCTTTAAATAATGAGCCCGTTTTTCTCAGGGGGGTGCGGTCGGACAAGGCGGCTGCCGCTTCGAAGTTGGACAGGAGTAAAAGCGCCAGGCCTCCCGCCGGCCTGGGCGCATTGCCATGGCCGACCGGGGTACGTGTCAAGAACTGCCCCCAGCTGTGAAAGCGTTGACCGTGTCGAATCTTATGGCTCGAGCCCGCTGCTTTGCCTAAATCTTTCGAGGACTTTCGCCAAGCCGTCCGCATCCGCAGCCACTTGCCGTTGCCCCCTTCTTCCCCACAGTCCACCAATGGCGGCCGCGCCGCCAGCCTTGCCCGTTTCCGGCTTTCGCCTTCCTCTGTTCGTCGCCACATGCGCGACGCCTGGCCTCTCGAGACGGCACCGCAACGATCTGGCTTCGTCTCATATATGCGAGCCCGCTGCTTCGGCTGTTGCCGGATCATACCGCACAAGAGCGAGCCCAGGCCACACCTTCGACATAGCACGAAAGTCACACGAGAAGAGAATCTCGCCGGAGTTGTTTCTTCCCCGGCGTATTAGTGCGAAACGCCGGAGCAGGCGCCTGCCTCTCCTCACATAAACCGAAGCAGTCCCCCGGTGCTGCGTCCTGTGGAACACTATCGCCCTGCTGTCGTTGGCGAATGCATGGCATACGAAGCGACAAGCTTTGGCGGCCCAGGGTTTCCTCGTGTATCATGCGGGGGGCCTTCTCCTGCGCGAAGATTTTCCAAAAGCGCCCCCGCTGTACTCCTGCCGGGCCCTATGCCCCTCCTCACACTCTCGGCCAATCTCAAGCAAGCGGGCCCGCATCAGCAGGCATCCCAGCACCCTGCGCATTGGTTAGCAGGCGATAGACTTTTCGGCTATTTGCGTGCCGCGTCGGTCTGCGAAAGCACCCGCACCAGGCAAAACGTGCGCGGGCGGCAAGGGCCGCGCCTTGTCAATCGGCCTCGCGCCTTGTCAAAAGCCCATCCATGGAGCCTGCGTCAGTCATGGGCGCTGCGTAACCGCGGCGCCCCTGCACCATCCCGCAGCAGAAAACCAGGCAACGGCTGCGCCTGGCGTTCCTGATTCATTGCCTTGTAGAATCGCTATCAATTCAAAAAAAGTTGCAGTACTCTGGTGCCCCCGTATCGACGATTTTGCACGTTTGCAGAAGTTTTTTCGGGAGGTAGCCCATCGGGTCTCCAGCGTTTTCTGGCAACACACCCTCGCCGCTTCCGCCATCACCGTAAAGCGCTCCTTTCGCTCCTTTCTTTCCGAAAAACCCCTTCATTTGCTTCTTTAATGGCGCAGCCTTCGGCTTGCTTTCCCGGATAACAAAGTCGCCTCCGTCACTCGAGGAGGCAGAGGACCCGCCTACGACACCGCCACCAGGTAGATTAAGCCGCCCGCTACCCAAATCGCCGCTGCTAATTGTTAGAGTTGCCGCGGTCGAATCCTTCGCTTGGGCCACCCCTGTTGACGCCCTCTTCCCTCTGGAAAATGCCCAAGGATACAATGCAGTGAGTGAGACTTACTTTCATTTTGGTTCTTGTCTTAACATTGCGGCCGCCGTAGGAGCTGTGACCTTCACTTCTTTCTCCCTTTTCATCTCGGCTTCCATCTCCTTTCTGATTTCCTCGACAGCTTCTTCCGTAAAAATCTCCCGAAATTCTTGCGGTCGAGGGTCTGACTTTAGAAGACAAAATCTGAATACCATTACCAAGTATCCAGAATAAGATTGACCTATTTTCCTTGTATTAGAATTAAGTTATCATCATTAGAATTAAGACGAAAACTTCATCTGATAAAACGAGAACTACAACTGATGTTCCACACATCACGCTTAGAAGTCTAGTCGACCAGAAGTTACGAATTGGAATAAAGTACTTGAAATTTCTATTCCACTACTAGCTTGAAAACCATCTTCATCACGACGTGGTCCATAATTTCACTGGTTCGCTCCCCTTGGCATTCTCAGGGTCTTTATACCTCGTTTCTTTTACAAGTTTAATATCCTTCTCCGCTCGCGAGAGCTTGAGCTTTAGCTCGCGCTCTACCATATTGAAAGCGACATTGGATAAGTATGCGCGAAAGGTGTTCATCTGGTCATTCGCAAGTCCCATTTTGGAGCTGTAAGGAGAATGTGTGGTGAAAGGATCATGTGCGTCATCGTCCATATGGAGCCGTATAATCTGTATGTCTCATTATTTTGTACCACTTTTAAACTTACTTCTACAACCATACAGCATTACATACTAACAAAAAAGACACAATGAGGCCACATCAAATCCTCTCAAACTTGATCTTTAATTTGATTTGAAGAGTGGTGCCTTGCAGTTCGGTGTGAACAAGATATCTTTGTACCTGTTGAACGCGTCGTTCATAAAAAGTTCGATCATTGTCGGATGGAAAACCACGTCCAAACAAAACGCGCTATTTTTCGCGCCCTCTGCAGCAAGCTTCAACTTCCGATAGGAGCCAATGTCTAGAGGGATCTGTAAGATGGCTCAAGTAATCGTTGAAGTAGAGGAAGAAGTGGTGAAGATGAATTGTCGCTCAATAGATTCAAGTGATGAAAGAATTGTATCGCAAGAGGTAGAAGTCGAAGACAAATTCAAGAAAAACTTCCTGCACAGGCCTAATTTGAAAAGAAAACGAACGGAAAACCGTGGAAAGTAGAAACTACTGTACACAAATAGTTCCGGAATAAATCTACTTTACTTACAATTGACACACCACACAAATGGTAAACAAGAACAATATTAATCTTTATACTACAACATACCTGCATATTTCCAATCCCATGCTTCAATAGCCAGTCTTTTGTGACGCTCTCCTTGTTCGGCAACTTCGGTTTTTCGATCAAAGGATGGCTGCAGAAGTTCAAGTACATGCGACTGCCTTCCATGCTCGTTCGGTCCTCTCCTGCTCCTGTGATCTTTGCGCGCATGCAAAAACCGACCTGAGGGCGCAACACCGGAGCGCCGGTCGGCTTTGCAATGCCCTCGAACGGCTTCGCCATGTTGATCAAAGATATCAAGTAGTGGTGGTAGTTTTACTTTGAGAGGAGAAAATCTAATACAAATTGGAATTACTTAATTCGGTATATGACGAATACTAACAACAAGTCGGTCGGAAAATCTCCGTTTCTCGCACTAACACTTCTACTCTCTCATTTTTTGGTTTCCTACTACTCTTTCGGCTTTCATTTGGATGTGTCGGGGAAAGTCAGCATAGGATCTAGTAGCTCTTCCTCTAGTGGCGTTCCGTCTTTCCGATGCTAGCGCAACATCGGACGGCGGTTGGTGATACTATGTCCCTCTCAACGGCAAAAGCAACAGCGACCAAACATTTTTCGTTGGCGCCACAGGGTTGTCGTCATGACAAAATTACTACTCTTCATTTTCGTCTCACTTGATATCACCCGCTTAACAACGTTAACATGCTCAAGCATAATCAAGCGTCTCCAATCGTGATTCTGAAATGTCACTTTGCAACAGGTTGTAACTTTTTGTCAGGGGCACTGCATTAAGAGGTAAGATTGTCTGAAACATTAACTGCATAATTTGGAACGAGCTCAGGGTAGCCCAAAATACACATCGAGGAAGAACTTCCTTGCTTAAATTCCTATTCATTCAAGGACTTGAATCACTCGAACCATGAAACTCTACGGTATCAGAAACGTAACAAAAGGCTCACACTAGTAACAAGTAAATAGAGAAATGTTCAACTCTTGGAAATCTCCTCAGGATTTCGTCACATCAACGCTACTAGCCCTCCTATGTACTTGCACTCGATCTACAATCACATGCGCAGCAGCAGTACGACCCCCCTGTCCTAGTTATCCGGATCAGGTCCCTTAAGCTCCTCCGATTTGAAGAAGAGGAATTCCGCAAGGTAATCGACCGGGTCTTCCGGCATGACCCGACAGATTTCTATCAGTGCTTCCGTCACATGCGGTGTGACGTACTCCGCCATATACTTGCGCAGCGGTTCGGACCTAGAGAATATTAATTTTTGAGAATGAATCCGTGTGACCCGTTCGAACCGTTGGTTTCCAGGGTACGGGAGTATGCAAATAAAGGATAAACCTGGATCATCATCAGGAGAGCACTCTCACAACATCAGTGGACTCTCATAACAAATACACTTCTTCCAGTTGACTTTCTTCTTCGCGTTTGAGTTTTTCCTGATATCTCCTTTCTGCTTCCGTTTTTTGCTGCACCTGGCGGTGATGGGCCTCCTTCTCTGCGCGCTCTTTTGGACTGTCCTCATCAAGCGCAAAGCCGATGGCTCTGTAGTTGTGGGATGAAACGCAGGTGTGAGATGAGCAGTTCTTGTAACAACTCATAGGATTCAGCCAGTCATTCTCATCTTCAATTTGTGAATATTTAACGTACTTAACTCGACAAAGTCAACATCACCACAAGCACATTTAGAGAGGAGAAACCTTGTCTCGTCGCCTTCATTTGCTATAGGTCCGCCATCGCGTTCGACATCCAGTGGTGGAAGGAAGTTGCGAAATTTCGTGCCACCTCCCTTCATATTTTCGTAGCATTTGGCTACCATTTGCAAGAAGCAATTTTTCTTGACTACGAAAAGTGCCCGTTCACGCCTCTGCCTCTTGAGTTCCGCTATCCTCTCAGCCTCAACGCGCTCCCGCTCAGCCTCCGCTGCCTCCTCCGGCGTCGGCTCGGGCTTTTCTCAAGGAATGAAAGTTGAAAGGTCAAAAACTATCACTGTAATGAAACAGCTATTATACAGTGCGTAAAGATAAGGCAAGGCTCTTTCGACACACGCCTAATATCATGATGAGCATGAATTTCAAATTATAGATCTAGACTCCGACTATCCAATCTCGATCAGACCTAGAAACTAAATCAGAAGTAGGAACTAGATCAAAAATAAATCGATCTAAATGCATTGATGTCATATCTTCCTCTGCTGCTGCTGTTGCTGGTCTACTAGCACCTTCCGACTCCGGTTTTCGCGAGTCGAGTTCCTCTCTCGCTGCATCCGCGAAGTCGTTGAAAAGACTGTTCAGGCTGCACTTATGCAGTCGACCATGCTCCTGTAATTAGAGCTACTTGTCGCCTTCTAAATTCTAATTATTCAAAAATGTTCTTGAAAGTCGTTCTCATCTTCTTGGCTCCCAAAGAAAGCGGGACCAAAGAAGTCTTCAGAAAGGGGTCAAAGACGCCTCTCAAGCTGTGCACCTGTAAGAGAGTACTTAAAGCCTTAATCAAAGAAATCCAAAGTGGAGCCGATCTTTTCAGGTCTATCTTCAGCTTCGGGATCCATGGCTGCTAGTTCGATAGCTTGCGCCTCTACCGCTTTTACCCGCTGCAAGAGCTCTGAGGACTCTGTTGTACTTTCCTCTCCGCTGCTTTCCTCTCCGACAGGGGGCATGAAGGGGAGTGGAAAACTAGTAGGAGAATAATGGAAAACTAGTAGAAGTAGGATGAGACTACGGGGGTCTGAAGGGGAGTGGAAAACTAGTAGGAATAAAAACTACTTACCAGGAATGAGGAGGTATGAAGGGGACTCGAAAACTAGTTACTCTGTAGGAACTTGTCATACTTCTGCTCCTGATGCTATCCTATCCATGATCCTAGCCATACACCCGTATAAATCTGGGTAGAGCCTGCGTTCTGTTCTTCGCAACCCCTTGTCTGCTTCGAATAGGAGCAAAATGTCTGGCGCAGTGGGCAATAGGAAGCGTTCGTAGTGGCCTTGGGGCTCCTCTGGCACAACCTTCGCTGCGCCAGCAGCACTTGTCCACGAAGTGCCCCCGTCCGCCTCTGACGGCGCCGCGCTCTCGCCATTTTCCGTTGCAGTGGCAGAACTCGTATTTGGCTGTGAACGCCGACTACTCCGACTACTACGTGTTGATCGTGTTTCTGGCGGCGGTGGTGGCGGAATATATCGCAGTTCCGAAAAATACTCTGTTGCCTCCGTTAATTCCTTAGAGTCCGTGGGGGAGGATGTATTTAATGGCGTCCTCTTTCCAGACTAAGTATTATGGCGCCTTTCCAGACTAAGTATATTACTTGTGACTGTAAGCATATTATATTACTTGTGCATCTTTGGCACGAGGACCTGAATTATACATGTCATTTGTCACATGGTGCCTCTTCTAAAGCAATGCAAGTCTATGCATGGAGAGGTTAATTCAATTACGTAGTGCCTCCTATTGCAAAGTCAACACTTATTCCCCGCTCATACATCCGACCGGCCAGGAGTCGAAGACGTAACCCTTTGTTCGGCAGCGGCTTGAGTTCAGCTTTTGCAGTAATAAAGTTCGTATTACAGGCAATTCCTCCTCGTTTGCAGCATCATACTGCAACTCCTTCGCCTTCTGTGCGATTTCAGAGAGTTCCGGTGTTGGCACTGGCTCATACTCAGCGAACCTGGGCTCCTCTTCAGCAGGTGGCGGATTTGTCTCCAGATACTTCTTGTGCGCAGTCATGCGGAAATACAGATCCCGTTCTTCTCGCTCGAGGAACTCAGCGACGATATCTGGATACCGATGCATAGCATCATGAAGATCATGTAGAAGAAGTTCGTTGTGTTGTACTAGGAGAAAGGCGGTTTGCTTCCACCAAGTCTGACAAGTGCTTATTTAATTCTGAGAAATCTATCTATGTATAATGGTGCTACCCTTGATCGTCAGTATCTGGATCTGAAAGTATTCCGCTACCGCAGGTAAAAAGTGTTGGTAGGTTCCCGGTTCCCCCGCGACAATAGTTAGCGCTAGTCTTTCACTATGCCTGGCGGAGTGGGTTCCCCTCTTTCCCCCCCTATTTTCCCCTTTAAATCAAGGGGAAGTCCACTCCACTTACCATGGTCGGACCACATGGGACGATAGTTGTGAACAACTAGCCTTAGAATAGCCTTCAGCGGCGTGAGTCCGCGCCATGTCCGATACTCCTCCGCCACCACGTCTGCGCTACTACAGAAACCAACTCCACACCAGTTCGCAAACTGAAATTAGAGTGTGCTTGGTACTTCTCTTCTTTCTCTTGTTGTAGTACAACAGGAACAGGCACGCCTACACTCTTGTTTGGTGTCTGTATTGTATTGGTATTCCTCAATGGGAAATAAAGTATACGAACAAGACGTTGAGACAGTAAATGGAAAAAAAAACTTGACCATAATGAAACATCTCTGCGGAAGGCTTGAACTTTAGATTTGTGGCCAGAATATCAGCATTCTCCATCAAAAGGACCTGCTCGATGTGCAACGAGCCATGCAAAGCCTCGGTCAAAATAGCGGCAGTGCTGTCTTCCTGACCAAGAAGAGTGAGTATGGAAACAAATTTCAATTTTATTGGAATTTAAGCACTTATGATGTTCATCAGAGGAGGAAAAGAGTGTTCGTAACAAAACGATGGTCGTTTAATGATGATCATCATGAGCCCTACTTCCGTGTGTTCCAGTCACGGCAGAACAGTGACAGCACTGGTAAGTGTTATGTTTCTAGTTGAACCAAGCAATAGCGGCAATGAAGGTCTAGTATGACTAAAAGTTAGTGGGAGCAATAAGGGACTAGTACCCTGCTCGTGTCAGCGCCTTCGCCTGCGTCACCACCTTCCTCGGCAGGTGGTTCCTCCGCTTTCGTTGCCTCACGTTGCTTAGAGCTACCGCGTCGCATCCTTGAGGCCATCCCTGAGCGCTTTTTCCCCTTGAAAAAGAGACCAAGGATGATGTACTTAAGGATTTACTGTAGGGGTAAAAGCCATAGGATGGGCTCTAATCCGTCGCGGATCGTCCTCTTCGTACGCTAGTCGTATACTGTCCAAAATCTGCTTTTGGGTGGCTGCAGTCTGGTCTACCGCGACGTAATACGTCTGCCTCGCGTCGCCCGGCTGAAATACACTGTACCGCGTGAACCTGTGGAAGATGTATGAGTGAAAGATGTATGCGTGGATCCACTGTGGAAGATGTTGTGGAAGATGTTGATGCTATCAACCTAACCTTCACAACAGAAGCGAACCTTCACAACAAAAGTTAAAGTTTCTCATCACAACCTCGCAAGATTTCTGCAGTGCACCAATGGCAAGAAGTTGCTGCCGTCGCCGATGGTGAAGTTTTTCTCAAAATCCCTGTTGTAGCAGGCTCTGAACCAATTTTGGAATATCTGCTCACCATTCCCGTACAGAATCCCGGCACCCACCACAAAGGCTCGCACGTTCGACTTCTTGCCCAGACCCAGCCATAGAAGCTCAAACGCCTTCCAGTCTGCGTATCTGTTGTGGATAAGGACTAACCTAAGCTTCTTGAAATACCTATTGGCGATAAAACCGTCGAGTCTGCGTATCTGTATGTCGCACACAAAGGGGGTGGGTTGAACTTCAGATTGAAAAAGCAAATAATCTGCGACGACTTGTCCTAATTCGATGTGTCGTAAAAATATCAAAACGAACCCTCACATTTAAACGAAGGTAATCAGAAGAAGACCACCTCACACTGGGTATTCGAGACTCCCAGTCTGCATCTGATAATGACGTAGGCTCTATGTGACTGTAACCAACCTTGAATTTCGACACCCCCGTCGATCCCTGAATAAACGATGAGTTTCGTTTGGAAGGCTAAAAAACTATGAATCACTTAGTATTCCTCGACCGGTTTCAAAAAATCAATAGGTGGCCAGCAATTTGTATGAGTAGACGAGATTGACTGGTCTATATGATCCTATTGACAGAAGTTCTTAAAATCTACTGCATAACCTACCACCATAGGCTGCGGGTCGTTTGTCGTAGGTCCTGGGCAGACGGTTCGGGACCAGGTGAGAAGCGAAGAGACAAGCACGAGACACGTCGGTTTTGTGAAACTGTTGGCATTTAAAGCGGAAACCACTAGCTCAAGCTCCTCTAGATCGCAGGAGTGCATATCGTAAACAATGACATCGTTCTGCAGAATGTGCGACATCATCTCGCTTGGGCTCACACGCGACAGAACCCGCCGAACGCAAGAGGGGATCTGGACGAAGAAGAGGGGAAAGAATTCTGAGTAGAGTAAGTCTTACAGTCCTCTAGAGCTGTGCTTTGTCTTTGTGTTTGTGGTCGTAATTCAATTTAGTCAGGTAGAGTTCGCCTTCATCGCTCTCAAAGCTAGGTAGGTCGTCGCCTATCAAGCAACGGACGCAAGGTCGTGTACAAAATCAATGGTCATCTTTCTATTCCTGTTGTATTTCGATGAATAGCCCTGAATCTCCAACTGAGCTGTGTTCCGTTCTATAAAACAACCTTAAGGATACCTGCCCGCACCTCTTTCCTCCTCGTAATGTGCCGGACAGAAAGACATCGCCCTGTAGGCGCATCTCAGCGCAGAGAGCGCCAGGAACGTATTCGTCGACATTGTTGATGAAAATTCGCGTCCCCTTGAATTCGGTCCCAGGCCGATTTGTCCCACCGTCCGTCATTTTCTTGTCTCAGGGCGTACGACAACGGACGCGCAGGTAGTTTCAAAACTGCGGGTTTCGGACGCAAGATTCGGGACCTACATGAATTTTTTTGTTCTACTTTCTACGCAGATTTTTCGTCTCAAAATCTGGCGTCGCTTCCGTGGCCTTTTGGTCAAGACGGAGTCCTTCACCCATTTTTTCGACAAAGTAATGGATGAAACTTTTTTCTTTTTTCCCAACTACCAATTTACTGCTACGGCTCTGTCCCTTTGTTTTTGTTTTCTCTTTGCACTACATGAGCCTGGGTCTGTTTTCGTGCTCCAAAAATTTTCCTACTAAACCTTCATCGAGATAATGCGAAGCCGAGTTTCACTCTTCGGTGGTTATTCTCTCTATACTCAGGAAATCATTGGACCACAAGCCCTTATCCATCATTTTAGTTATGTTGATCCATCTCCTGCTATTTGCACCACCCAACCTGCCCTAACCCTCATACTCATTGCGGTGGCTTGGCCACTAGCGAGCATTATGCCTTGCCAGCTGCGTGGTAATCCTCTTACCAAAGTAGAGTAAAACATCAATCTATCCATCGTCTTGATCCTGAAAAACCATGTACTCCAATTCATCCAAGCCAACATCAAGTCTTCTCATCTATATATAAGTGTGGATCCCCCATACCGCATAGATGAAGTGACAGTAGTGAACCTGTCGTCTGTGTTCCTCAGCGCATATTGGATATGCCTGTCGGACTTTTCACTGCGTCGTCTATGTTCATAGTTCGTTCTCGAATCTTACGCCGTAAGAGCATACGACTTTTCGATATTGGATAGGCATGCTCCACAAAAGCCATGGGGTCTTGGATATGTGGATTCCACCAGGAACTACGGTTTTTTTAGAGCTTGCCCGAATCCATCCATCCTCACATGCATCCTGAACGTCTGCTCATTTTCCTTCCCCTTAGGAACGGACCCTCTTCAGGATGTCTTTCAAAAAGATGGATTAGGGCAAGCCTTAACCTTTGGTGAGTCGATCTGGCTGTGGTCGCATGCCTGGTGGCGGCTTCACCCATTCTTTCCCAAAAACTGGGAGAGCTTTCTGCCTCAGAGAGCAGAGAACTTTGTTCTCCTCCATTGAACTCACGTGCTCCGTACGGTAGCGCCAGAGGTCGTCCGAGATTAGGTGGAGAGGAGATCTACTTTTAGGTGCTTCTACTTACTCTTTGACGCCGATTTCAGATTAGGTTCGATGGTTCGATTAGGTTAAAATGTGGATCCTGCAGATTTCGATCCTTTACATTTGTTTCACTCACACTTCAATAAAACTCATTAAGGAACCATAACTCAAGCAACTCTTCTCTCGCTTCTGGCAGGACGTTTGCGATTTTTACGTCCCGCGTGACGTCATGCGTGAATTTGACTCGGCCACTGCACATCGCGACTAAGGATGTATCTTTTGCGACTCGGATGTTTTCTCCTGGATACAACTTGAAATGCTTCTGGGCTGTGACATTTGGGTTTTTCGCTATGTATTTTCTTTGTTTCACCACAGTCCGTCCTATTTCTACAAATTCCGCTGACAATGCTCGAATCCCTATGTGGGGTCGTTGGAGAAAGCTGCGCGTGAAAACGTGGGCGCGTGCTGGCACTCGGTAGGAATTGGTCTTCGTGTACTTGCTCCGTCGCTGCTGCTGGAGATGGCCTCCTCCACAGAATGCTCCAAAGAGCTGTGGTCGAACAAACGTACCCAATGCGAGGGCTCCTGCCATACCATGGCCGGACGACGAAGAAGCGGCAGAGCCGATGACGAGAGGCATTTTCTTTTGCTCGAAGAATCAGTGAGTAATGTAACAAACTAGAGGGTAATCCAAGACTGTACGTTTTTGTTTCCAAGTTACGGTACCCAATTTCAAGCGTCGCTATATCGAAAAACGCGCTCCGCACGATCCACTGAAACGCTCTTCCACAGAAACTAATTCTACTCTTGTGTGCTCTACGTGCCACTCTCAACGATATTCTAAGAAAACTCCCCTTCAAAATACCGTAAAGAAGGATTCGCAACTCCCGTGAGATTGTTCGTACAATTGTCCATCAAAGCTCAGCATGATTATTGTTCCCAGTATTCTGATCAAATAAAGCACGCGTGTTGGTAGAGGTGTTCTTTTTAATGAGACATCGCAAGTAGTATCCCGTTGCTGGTGAACGACGAAATTCTGTGCTCAAAAGCCTAATTACCAAGTTCGTTCGCGTGCCCTTACTATTTTCATCGCCCTCGTCGAAATTCTTCACCCCGTGTGTATGCTGACCTGGAAATAAAAAAGCAGCGTCTTCCTCAAGGGGCAAAGCAGCATTCTCAAGAAAAGAAGATGCGCCAAAACCACCGATCTTAGTAGAGGACAGGAGAGCATTACTCGATTTTTCAAAGCTGTCCCGCTCAACTACTCGCAGTCTCCGTTCCACAGTTCGAGCGGCTAAGTCATCTTCTATCCAGTCTACTTTGTTCACACCATCCTTGACTTGAATGTCTCCAACCGTCACCACCTGGTTCTCCTCAGCAATACCATTCTGCTGTCCGAACAACAGCTGGTCCTTCCGTGAGGTCTCGAGACAAGCATTAAAAGTGACCTCCGCGCCATCCATATGCATGTCTAGACCTTCGTCGCGGCCTCCTCCATAATGCAATGTAAACGCGTGCCAGCGGTCGATGGTAAACATACCCCATTCCGGGAACGGAATCATGAAAGTGTGGGAGCACCAGGTGCGAAGTTATACATATCGTAGTATTAGGGACTGATACTAAATTCTAGAGTACACGAAAAAAAAATTTTCGTGTACTCACAGGCGAGGTTGGTCTCATAGACGTACATCAAGCTATCCATAGAGATACCTCTGCTGCTCTACAAAACCCACAACATTCCTTCATTCAAGTACCAGTCATAATCTGTTGAGCCGCAGGTAGGACATTTTGACGGACCCACTCTAGAAGATCGATACCGATTTCGCGCAGAATGACACCATGCTCGTTCATGCCGTTAGGGCGTGAAAACCCCGCCAACGACTCGAGAGCTTGTTTCGATCGTGCTGCGACTGTATCCCTGATGTCGGCCCATTTGGGCAGCAACTTTCCTAGACCGCGAATCAGTAAAACCTGTGGCCGGTGAAGAGGGTTGTTACTATTTTTGTCTCCGACTGATGAAGAAGAATCCGTTTTAGTTTTTCCCACACCACCAGCATCTGTACTTGCCACCTCCAGCGATTTGCCAGTCTCAGTCTGCCCCTGACTTGCATCAGTTTTCGCGAAGCCGTGACCCTGACTTGCATCGGTCTTCTTCTGCCCCAGACGATCCATCGTCGTCGTAAAAGAAATCCTTTCCTTTCCTGTAATTTCTCTGTGCTTCAAGGTCATCGCAGTATGCTCGGCATCAGCAGCTTTCCGTTGCTCCTCTTCCTCCTCTAAATAGGTTGCGATGTGCTCCGTGTCTTCCCCAGACAGCTCATCGTCGCCAACTAGTGCGAAAACAACCTCCTCTCCCAATGCACGTCCGTCATGGCCCCAAGCAATTGCTGACACGCGGATGGTCTTCACATTGTCGTAGAGCAGGGTATTAAAGGCGATGATACAAAACTTCGGAGCTGCCTCACATAGTAACAGAAGACCAGTATCATTTGGAGGTGAACAGAAGACCAATAACTAGGCTACAACTCCATCCAATCCTCGAATTGTTCCCGTATAGATACATCCATGCTTACGGAACGTCGCTTTTTAGGGTTGTCATTTCATGCGTCTGCAACTGATATGGCCACTCTGGACCACCGTAGAGACGGGTTGAAAATCGCAGCCATATATTTCATTCAGCCTATTTCCGCCAAAGCCGGACTGTTCTGCCATCTCTCCTGCGCCAGAAACCCTAGACCACGGCACGGTACCGCTCAATATTTCACCCCCTTTTTGCTTTGTTCCTCCTGTGGTCGAGCACAATTTCAAGGCAGTCTTAGATCTCTCTGTAATTCTCATCTAGAAGAGCATCTTTTCTGTCTTTTCTTTCCTTTAAAGTATTGAGATTAATTGCTGCAGAAGCAGCTCTTGCTCTTACCGGAAAAGGCGGCCAAAGAAGATGCCTCTCAAGATGAACAAGACCAGAGCTGCTTCTTAACAAGCGGACCAGCAGGCGGCGGAATCTCGTAGTACCAAACGGCCGCACCATGCGCACTACGAATGCGGATCTGATATGAAAGAGTCTGATCTCCACAAACAAGAGGACGTCTTCAAAGAGGGTTTGACTGCTAGACTAAATGTAAATCCTCTAAATAAATTAAGTAGCTCCTTCTGACACTTGCAGCATGTTCGAAGAGGGCGGGGTAGTGCGCTCATACCATCTAGACTTTTATTACCAGTACTATTTAATCCTAATGCCCCTGGACCTGTTTACCAGTACTATCTAATTTTAATGCCCCTGGTGGTAGCCATTGCTCATGCAAACTCCGTAGCCATAAATCTGCACACTTCACCACCTCGGGATCGACGCTGATGTCAACCCGGATTCCTTCGCGCTCCCAAAAAACAGACCCACATTCACTCGGCTGCTGGACCTGTAGAGATTCTCTTTAGAACTAGGAGACATCCTCCCTCCGCAGCATCGCGAGCCCCCTTTTCCTTTAGAAACGGAACCAAGACGCCTGTGAAGATGGATTTCTTGTAGCCTTAATTTTTGAGCTGAAAGATCTCGGGTGTAGTCTGACTACTGCTTCCGTCCACCCTAAATAGCGTTGGTGGTTCCGCGTACGCCCAGACTCTCCCGATAATCAACAAGCTGCAGCAGGACAAGCGGCTGATGGCGAGAGGCAAAGGCAAACGAGACATGATTGCTTTGATGGAGGATAGTTAGAATTCTCTAGTACGTGTACCCCTCGCAAACCGAATCAATCATCGTGCTAGGTGGAAATAACCACGCAACGTTCCCCTTCATTACGTAAATATTAGTGCCCTCAGTAAAATGTTGTTTCTCTGCTCCTCACAATGGCTGACCCATGCGTGAAAACCCTTACCATCTTACCGATTTACCTTTCTCTCAATACCTTAAAGAGCTTTTCTGTCAGCTATTATCGGCTTTCTAGAAAACACATATGGGCAAGAAATGAACGGTCTAATCTTTCCGATGTCTAGGTTTTTTGTTTTCTGGAATTTGAAAGCTGGATCATGACAATCTTCTCTATCAATCATGTTCGCGTGACGATGTTGATTGATGAGTATCTATATTTCCTAGTAGGCTGCATGAGGACGGAGATGCCTTGTGCTAAATTTGTTGTTGTTCGAATCTACGTATAATTCTAGCTTTGATGCTACTATGCAAGTCACAATGCGTTTGATGTACGGAATACTAGAGAGGACCTTCACATTTTTATAAGAACGAGAAGCATGGGGTAATTTTTAGAAGTAAGACTAGTCCTGGCGGCAGAGCACCAGTCTCAACTACATCAACATTATACAATTTTAATGGGTCACTCATTGTGAATGCATAGCGCGAGACGTAATAGTCTAAGATGGATAAATCTTCATGAGCATGGTTACTTTTCCGCGACACGTCGGGCAGCAGAGTCCTTCCGGGGGTCGCAGAAACTCTGGCGCCAGAGTAGACGCACAGGTTCGGCAGAAACAATGGCCGCATGGTACTATTGCTACCTCGTTCGCAGGATCAAGCAAGCAGATGGTGCAGCACGACCCGGTGGAGGAAAGCTGTCTTGAACCCGTGCTACTAATGCTGCTGCTGCTGCTTCCGCCCAAACTACAAGGACCAGTGAAGCTCCTGATGCTGGTGGCTTCTTGGGAGAGCGATGTAGTGGGGGATGACGTTTGAGTCTGGCGCCAAGAGTCGACGAACGTCTGTGCTTTCTTGATTGCTTCGTGCTCATTCACACCGAAAAAGTCCTTCTTTCCGCTACCTGGTGGACAGGCAGGCCCCCCGGTGATTCGAATCATCCACTGGTTCTCAAACGGACCACCTACTTTCTTCACCTTTCCGTACGCGAATCGGTGGCCGTAGTACTGCACCACATTTGTTAGGACCTTGCCATTGTCGGTACTACTGGAAATGCCGTTTTCGGTCGACAATACAGCAGCGTGCCTGGAGTGTGGAGCCTTGTCGTTACTTTTCCGCACAAGCCCTCCTGTCGAAGCACTTCCAATATTAGAAGCTATGGTGCCGGAGGTAATGAACGTGATTGCCTTCTCGAGCACCGTTTCCTGCGTGGGTGCGAACACGTTCTTCTTGCCGGAACGATTTCCGGCAATGACACACCTAGCACCGGTGATGATCGCCATCCACTGTCCGTGGTAGTATCCACCTTGCTTTTCAACTTTTCCCCACTGCACGACGTGACCCCCAACCATACTTTTGTACGGAAGAACCATTTTGATACGATTGCTCAACAATCTACTTGATCGTCAGTGAATTGCTTTTTCAAATGATACGAAATTATATACTTATTTCTCACTCAGCCGTCAGTGTTTGCTAACTTCCTGAGACAAAACAAGAATGAGGAACATCTTACTTTACTCGAGCTGTAGAAATCAACACATCATGAATTCTTGTTTTTGAGATCAGACACATGACAAAAAGCTATCAAATCCATCGTGACTTCTGGGAAAATACTCAGAGCGAGAAATCACGGCTATCTTGAAACGAAATCTCGGCTGATGTTGCGACTTGTTTTCCGAATCAGACTCACTTCTGAGTATTTATCTCTCCCTCAGCGCATCTTCACGCCACGGATATTTCCTCCAAGGATATTTCTCTCTCCATAATAATGCATAGATGAACCTTCGATCGTACTGTAGTAAGAATGCGTGCGACAAGAACTAGGCCTGAGCAACAACCATCCTGGAAACCTTGCACGTTGCTGGTGCAACAACAAGTAAACCAGTGAAATAAGAAAAACCTCGCACAAAATATCTGGGCAGACGGCCAAGAAGGCAATATAAAGGTTGAGGTTCGGAACGATGCGAGACTACTCAGGAGGAGAAAACGAACGACTACTACGACCACGCTACGACTAGGAGGTCAGCACGTGAAGTAAAGAATACGGCCTCTCTTTGGGTCCTTCTTCATGAAAGTTCTGACTACGTGAAAAAAAACAAGAGTGAATACGATAAGAACCGCTGAAGTCTTTCAATTCCCTTTACCGAAGGAAGGCTCAGATACAGAGGGTCACTAAGGTGCACGTGCACGCGAACTACAACGCTTCTATCACTGTTAGTATGACGATGGTCTTATTTGGTAGGAGCTCGGCGGCTGCGATCCTATTCGAGTGAACGATTTGAAGAGTTAACATAAACTGGTTATGTATAATTTGCCTCATATACAAAACATGACAATGTCCGCTGTACATTTAGAACCCTATCGGAAAATGAAGAACTAAAATGCATGTAAATCTAAGCGCCCATTGGCGCAGATTCTCACTCAAAAGGGACATTTTTTCAGTAGAACTATTCCTAGGATAAGACGTGCGTCCGTGTTCATTTTCTATCATTAAGTAGTAGCAGCGGCGTGCTCACCATTCACGGGTAAAGGCACAGTCGAAAGTGCCAGAGTTATTTGTAGTCTAGCGTCCTGCAATATGCAAAGCGGAGCACAATTTCCCTCGCAGGAAACGACAGTGACACTACTAGCATAACCCGACTTCTAATCTTTTTCCCCAACATTCAATTTGCCAGTCCTGTAATAAATCCCGCGGATATATTCCAAATTTCATTGATGCTATTCGTAGTGTCCTCTCGTCAGACGACATATAAACTGTTCTGAATTCCAAACATCTCAACTCAAACGGACGTGGCTCCCGCCGACTCCCTTCGGAGACTTGAAAATAGTGAGTGACGATAATTTTTCTGGTTTGATCGTCAACTGAAGGAAAGCGAATGAACTCACCATCCACCTTCCATACGGTACTGCCGACCAGTGCTCTCTCTCTTTCGCAAGCGCGTGCATGGACAACACGTCTATCTTCTGTAATCCTCCTCGCCATCTCCCTCCTCTTTGAATTTGTTGTAGGCGTGGCCAATGCGCTCCATCGCTTGCGTAAGCTCGGACCCCTTTGCGATTCTCCACATCTTTTCAGCTTCGTGTAGTTAGACATCTAACTGTTAAAAATTTTGGAGCAGCAGCGTCAAGGATCTACAACTTGCGAGTTCTCGTATGCCAAACTTAAGGTTCTTGTATGCCAAACTTACATTTACTTCATTCTTCATTATAATATCATCCCCTGTGGATCCTGCTCAGTGCCTGTTTGTTTCCAGAGGGGGGGCCGTTCAACGTTCAGGCACTTCCCGAAGAATCCATACGAACACGCACACAAACATACACACGGGAAAGATGCTAGTAGTGACACGTGACAAGGACACATGTAAGATGTCGCCAGATGAAATCATAAGCACGTATCGTATTTCTTTCACCAAAAAGGTAAACACAAGAACCGTGGACCCTGATTGCTGGCCCGTGATGTATCTGACTTGGTAATCTTGTTACTTGGTTATCTTGTGGCATTGTGGTTCGTCTTTTTGGCTTGACTGTGCTACACGAGCGTACACCTCTGTTCCAACACAGTGAGCGTTATGTAAGAAATTGATCACATTACCTGACAACTTAATGGGTCCTCTGAAGTCCTAATAAGACTTCTAGTATGTAACGATGATATTATCAACTGTGATGAATGAGTAATGAAAACAAAAGAACTTTATCAACAGGCCTATTAAACATTGCATGTCGTTCTGCTTCTCTGTGAAGATGTGAAGCAGATACATCTTTCTTTTTTCTCTTCTATAGCCGTCCCCCAGCTGCCTCACCCGCATTCAAAGAAGACCTCTCTACAGTCTCCTTCCACATAGTCTTTACTCGTACGGCTTAGCGAGAGGCGGAGGACCCGCGCCGGGGATCGCACCAGGGCCGCCAAAATTAGAGCAACGTACCCCATTGGCATCGTCCTTGAGAGCATGATGCTTGGGCGCTTCTTTTTCAAGTAGAAAAAGATGGACCAAGGATCATCGTGTTAAGGACATGCTTCAGCGGTAGCCCTACCAAAAAAGGGAATGCAGTGAGGGCTTCCTCGTTCACTGTCACGGACCTCTTGCGCATCGTCCACACCGAGATGTAGTGGAGGTTGAGCCAAATTGCGGTCGCACAAAGCGTCGATAAATGCGGGTCGCGAAACAACACCCAAACGCAAGCCCGCACTGCTCGAGCAGACGATATACTTCGTACGATGAAGGATGAGGTGACAGAAGATGGAAATATCACTCCGAAATGATGAAGAAAACGTAAACCTAAACGAAGTATAGATCATAGCTACTGATAGATACTTTCACTTTGGATAGCAACATAAAGTTTCGGATTCTGGTGAAAGACGCAAAAGAGGGTGAGGATGTGCGCATCCATTGACAATTTGGCTATTCTCGTGTCTACTAGGAATGAGAGGTCTTCTGGTGCCGGCTCATCGTCATTTCCGTCTCCCGAAGATCCTCCTTGATGAATATCCACGCCGCTCGTATTGACGGGTGACAGAGCCCCAATACTCGTTGTTGTCCCTACGACGCGAGCGGGAGGCGCAAAGGGGGTGCCGGCTGCGGTAGCATGTTGTATGCCTGAAGTAGGCACAGGTTGCTGCGTAGAGGATGATCCAGAGGTCACTTCTAAAGCTCCTCCTCGCCTATTTTCACCACTCAGAGGGGGCTGTCGAGGTGTCGGCAAGCCAACTGAAGGTCGAACGCCAACGTCAAGACGTTCTGCCCATAATCCACCACCGCCCCCAACAGTAATATTAGACCTCTCCGTAGAAAAATTCACCATAATGATCTTCATTTTCAGGGCCACGAACTTTTTCCTCTTTTTCATCTTTCCAGAGCTGCCTTCTTGGGGAGTGTCGCAGAGCTCCCCATGGCTTTTCAAGGATGTAGTCAAAGACTTTGGTTGGAGGGACTAACCTAGCATTTGTGAGGGAAAACTAACCGATCATTTTTTTCCAAGTGGATTAAGGAGTAAGAGCCTTAATAAAAGAGCATATTCGTGCCTCTAGCGCTTCCTCTGTGTCTCCACGCATTGACTCTCGGATCCACTGTCGGAGTCTTCGCATTCTAATGAAACCGTAGATAGGACCCAACCCCTGTCGCACCAAAATGATGCTGCGATCACTGCCGGCGGCGACCTGGATGAGTCATGTCATGTGTCTCCAATCTGGTTTTCCAAACCAGCGTTGAGACCAGGCCCCGAGGAATTTCTTCCAAGAAGCGTACAGTAACGTACTAAGCCGTGAAGAGCAAGAACCAACGCTACAGACCTAGCATGGTAATCACTATCCTGAATACGGTCGCGACCTGGACGAGTCAGTTAGGATCGATTAGTATAACATTCAAAACATACAACTAACTAACGAACAAAATAACTAACTACCATCCGGCTACTCGGGAAGCGCCTTCCGACAGAGGCAGGCGACTGCGACAGGGGACTGCCCTCACCCTCCTCCGATTCAGTATCCGCTTCCTCATCGGTCGAGTTTTCTCCCAGCGCTTTCCTCCCCATGCGATCTGCTGCTGAAGGCTTCATCTTAGCGAAATGAATTCTAATTCTGATTATTGTCGTGGAGCCGACCTAGCTAGAAAAAAGACAGACCAGAGGAAGATAGAAAAGAGAAAAGGGTAACTATCAACAAGTATCCTGAAGTATCCTGCTAACTGCTGAAACTAATTAAGCGCCGGCGCTATCGTCGTCCTGTCAGCCCCATAGGCTGACTATTCAATGTTTTTTGGTCATGCACGTCGCAGCTAGGTGACACTTCTGAACCCAGTTCTTATAACTGTGGTGGAGCCGACCTAACTAGAAAAAAGACAGACCAGAGGAAGTTCTTATAACATGTATTGTCCAGTTATGTGAAAGCAGGTAGGTCTTGGTTGGTTCGGCGAATGTCCAACATCGATCCAAGAATGCAAACTGCCAGCATAACTTTTTCCACCTGCTCCTTTCTGGTCTCTCTTTTGTGCAGACCCGGAACCTGGTCAAAGGCAAGCTGTCGCAACTGCGCGAAGGTGAACGATTGCTCTGCGTCCATTACGCGAGACCAAGGGTACTCCTCTGCGAGGTCAGCTACCAGCACTTCTTAGACCTTACATAGTAATTGAGAGACGTTCATCCCCAGATGTGAGAGTGGTGCTAGTATCAGCAACTGCAACGACATCGTTCCGCATGAGCTCTGGGGGCGTCATCTTTGTCGTGTTCTTTCTCTTTGCAGAAAGGACCTTAAACAAAAAAAAATATGGGAAAGCGACCTTAAACTTCAAGGCGGATGGAAGTCGGTGTATCCTCAATATTCGCGAATCCGTTCAGGGTGGCTACTTCTTCGTAGATGCTAGAGGTGAAGAGGTCCCCAACGACCTTGGCCGTGATGACAGCGCACATAAACGGAATCACGTAATTTAGCTCTCCCGGATGTATGAATTTTCTTCCAAATTGATGAGATTAAGCAAACTCGCCCTCAGTGTGTGCTACTACCTGGTCGGTCTCATTACAGGAGTTAGAGTTACTGAACTACTAGGTCTTTTTTCCATTTTGATTAAGGGCTTTTGATTAAAAGAGCCTCAAGTAGTCAATCTTTTCGTCCAAGTAGACAATGCCATAATCAGTTCGAACATGATGACGACCAGTGAGACGGTCATTCGCGTGAATCCTGCCAGCATCGCAGCTGCGCCTATCATCGCGAATACTCCTGGTTCAATGTGCTGCTCTTGGACAACCAAAAAGGTCAAATTCCCCACGAACCGACCCACTGTTGCTCCAATAATTCGAGCTGTCCCTGATCCATCTCAGGAAGCGTCCTACTCACTCTCCTTTTCCCTTGAAAATAATAGGATAATTAAATCTCCTTGATAATAGACCATCAAATTCCTTGAAAAGCCTCGCCAGGATGCCTGTGAAGATGAATCATGTGCCGCCTTAAGATAAACAGGGACGGAATAAAGAGACCGGAAGGAAGCATCGCTCCGAACGTGATCACGGTCTGCAGTAATCGAATCCCCGCCGCCAATAGCAATTGCACTGGTATGAAGAGAAACCCACACTTTAGATTTGAACTACTTCGCTTGTGAAAAATCTATTAGCTAATCCTAGTATAACGAATAGATACTTACAAGCACGGTGAAGTACTTGCCTTTATCATTGAGTACTAAGCGAGACAAATCTGGCGACCCAATAATGCAAGTATATGATTCTGATACTCTATTTATTACTATAACTATATAGCCTCGAGGAAGAGCTGTGTAGCACCTATTCACACTACTTTCAGATCCCGTTCATACCGTTCATGCTGAAGGACGCATTAAACGTCGACGCCTTGCACACGTTCATTTTCAAACCTTTTTCATGTGGACACGTTTCGAATAGTGCATGTATCGCCACTGTCGAGTGAAAACGCAGTAGTCTGGTAAAAAGGTAGTTGCTGACTGAAGTGACCACCGCGATGGCGCAACCCTCTAAAACGACTAGACTTAGACGTTGCGAAAATCCGTCTCAATCAGCATTTTGCTCCCCGTTTTCTCTTTAAGACGGGTCCAAGGTGCTGGGGAAGATGGATTTTCACAAGCCTTAGTAAAACGCGACTGGATATTCGATAGTGCGACCCCCGCTCGCGAATTCTCCGCATGATAGAGTCGGGAATAAAATAATCCACTAGAAACCGGTGTCGTTCGGGGCTAAGAAACCACAGGGTGCCGTGCTGTTCTTTCCGCCTCTTGCGCCACTTGTTTACGTGCACGTTCATCCGAATAAATGCAGACGAGATGAGTCCGCCAAGCACTCCGAGCAAGACGGATTAGAGCAGTACGAAGACTCTGGTACTGAGGTCCTAGGATCTGGTATTGAGGTCCTGTGGTGAAAAAGCTCCAAAATCGACAGTGATCAGACAGAGAACTATCACAAAAGGAACACTGCTGTCCAAACCATTTTTGCAACAACAGCCGCGTTTACATAAACAAACATGGGTGCTGTGGCGGTCTCCACCTTCCATAAATGAAAAGCCAGATCTCGTTCGCCTCCCATTCTTTCCGGAACGAGTTTGACGCCGTCGACAAGGAAAACATGGTCACGTTGTTGCTGCCCGTGAGGTCCAAAAACTTCAGCAAAACATGAAAAAAGGACCTATACGGTATAGAAATTTGATCCTGGAGACAGAAAGTAGGCCTAAACCGTAACATATTGCATGCTAATGTCCCTGTTATCACCTTTCATAGTGACCGTAGAGACGTTCTTTTCTAGATGAGAATTCTTTATCTTTTAAAGGCCCCCATAAGTAAAACTGGCAGCAAAGGATCCCAGGAAACAGAGCAACAATGCTCGTCGCGTAATGGTTCTGACACTCCCAAGTTCCTCAACCGCGAAAAGGACACCCCCTAAAGGTGCGCCGAAAGCGGTTGACACACCAACAGCAGCACCAACGAACGACCACTCGTACAACGGGATATTGATGGTAGAACTAGAACTCTCCTCATGGAAAAACCGGGTGTACCTGCGGGGTAGTGTGAAAGATCATCTAACTCAAACTGAAACTTACGTGACTGTGAGCGAGACATAAGAGTCAACAGAGTTGCCAACGTCATGGGCTACTAGGTACTAGTACTGGTATTTGGGTCAAAAGCGCAAATAGTACCTGTTCGACCTCAGGAAGGGTATGCCCTTTAGATTCGCCAAGATGTGTGCCCAGCAAACTCCCACTTGAATCAAGGGTCCCTCCTTCCCGAGTGCGAGGCCAGCCCCTACGACGAGCGAGAGCCCAATGGACTTCAGGAGTAGGGTTCTAGGGCTGAAGGAATTCTTCATATCGAAACCACTGACGTGAGCCTTCACCTCTGGAATTCCACTACCTTTTGCCTGTGGCGCATACTCAAAAACGACGAAGCAGCAGACGCCGGTCCAAAGCACGGAAGACCCGCAAAGAGTATAAGAGAGACAAGCACTCTTGGGGGAGGAAAAAGGACTCTAAGGAACGCAAGTACATGGTTAGTGTGAAGTCCGAAGCCGGAGAAATTGCACAAGTGAGAAAACACTGCAGTGGACAGGATCTGGAGCTTCACATGTTTCTCAGGAAATACTGCAACGCTTTCTCTACCACTGGATATTTCAGCTTTAGGTATATACCGCCCACGTGCCCCCGGCGTGTACACACGCCGGGGCAGGGCGGAAGGGTCTGGCAAATGCTACGAGTTACATAAAATCCATACGGCCTGCCGGCGTGCTACGAATTACGTAAAGAGTGGCGGGCTATGGAATAAGCGAAGCAGCTCCGCGCTACAAGCTACTACGTGCTACATAAACCCCCGCCCTGGCAGCACCCGAAACGCCCAAAAGGAACTACTTCGAACGAATGAGGCAAACGGGTAACCAAATACATACGCCGAGGGTCAAATCCTTGAGCAGATCACTCCAGGCCTGCCGTTTTTGGTTCTCAGCGTAGTGGCTGGGCGAAGCACTGCAGTCGACTCCGCTCACCATGAGAACCTCGCGCGCCGCCTGGCCCGGGTTTTGGGCGTGGGTCCCCTACTCTTGGACTGTGTTGCGTCTCCGGCTGGCATGGCAGTGTCACGAGGGGGGCCCCAGGCTTGTCGCCTTCGGTTCTCCGCATAGTGGGCGAAGCACTACGCCCGACTCCGCTCACCATGAGAACGTCTACCGTGGATCTTTTCCGTGGAGAGAACTAGGGGGCGGCTCCGTTCTACTCTCGGCCTGTTTGCGGGGTTTTACTCTTTGCGGCGTTTTGGGTTTTCCATCCAAATCGCGCAGCTTTATGGTGTCGCAGCGCGCGTTGCTGCCTACGCTTCAGCTGCTTCGCGTGTCTGTGCTCTCTGTGAGCCATTTACCCTCCCAAGCTTACGGCAAGTTGCGCTCTATCGCTTAGCTTCCCTATCTGCTTCTGGCTTTCTCGAGAGGTGTGGGCGTGCGTCATCTCAGGGCTTTGATCTAAGTGAACAAGAACAACGCCACGCGAGCAGTGCCGTGCGGCTTTCATGTGCTTGGGCGATGCAATCTGTGAGCCGCTTGAGCTTTCTGATCAGAAAGCAGGCCCAAGCTTATGGGCTTGCTGGTTACTTATGGCCTACTCGAGCGGCCTTGTCCTTTGCGCTCATTCTTTTCTGATCCAAAAAGCGCAGCGCGATGAAGTTGCTGCGTACTTGTGAGCTGCTTAAGAGGTCCCACCCTTTGGCGCAGTTCAAGACCCTCATCCAAACGGCGCAACGCTGTGAAGCTGCTGGCCCTTTTGACTTGCTGGGAAGGTCTCACCCTCTGACCCAGCGCAGGCACCCTACCCAAAAGGCGCAGCTTTATGAAGTTGCTGCCTACTTTTGAGTGACCTGCTTGAAAGGTCTCGGCTTTTGACTCTGCTCAAACCTCCCACCCAAAAAGCGCAGCTGTATGATATTGCTCTCTACTTTTGACCTGCTTGAAAGGTCCCAGCCTTTCAATCAGCTCACTCAGAGGCCTTCCACAATCAAAGGGCGCAACTCTATGAAATGGCTGCCCACTTTTGACCTGCTGGAAAGGTCTCGCTCTTTGGCCCAGATCTGGCCAGCTTGGTTATTCAAAGCGCGCAGCTTTCTGGAATTGCTGCCCACTTTTGACCTGCTTGAAAGGTCCCACCTTTTGACCAAGCTCGGGCATCCTATCCAAAAAGCGCAACGCCATGGGGCTGCTGTCTGCTTTTGGCTTGGCTTGCTTGAGAGGTCCCGCCTTTTGCCTTTCTTTGCTCAAGCTCCTCGCTCAAAAAGCGCAATCTACTCCATGAAGCTGCTGCCTACTTTTGGCCTGCTCGTAACGTCCCACGCTTTCACTCAGTCAAGTCAGGCGCCTTACTCAAAGAGCGCAGCTCTAAGAAATTGCTGCCCACTTTTGACCTGCTTGAAAGGTCCCACCTTTTGACCCAGCTCAGGCCACTCAGGCATCCTATCCGAAGCGCGCAGCTTTATGCGATTGCTGTCGTCTACTTTTGGCCTGCTTGAAGGGTCCCACCTTTTCACTCTGCTCCAGCCTCTTACGCAAAGCGCGTGGCTTTATGCGTTTCCTGTCTATTTTTGACCTGCTTGAAAGGTCCCACCCTTTGACCCAGCTCAGGCCCCTTATCCAAAGAGCGCAACGCTGTGAAGTTGCTGCCTCCTTTTGAGCTGCTTGAAAGGTGTCGCCCTTTGACTTAGCTCAGACCTGTTATCCAAAGAGCGCAGCTCTATGCCGTTGCTGTCTGCTTTTGAGCTGCTTGAAAGGTCTCACCCTTTGACGTCGCTCAGACTCCTTATCCAAAAAGCGCAACTCTATGAGACTGCTGTCTACTTTTGACCTGCTTGAAAGGTCTCACCCTTTGAGCCAGCTCAGACCTCTCACCCAAAAAGCACAACTGTATGAGATTGCTGTCTACTTTTGAGCTGCTTGAAAGGTCCCACCCTTTGAGCCCGCTCAGACTCCTTATGCTAAAGCGCAAACTTATGGGATTGCTGTCCACTTTCGAGGTGCTTAAAAGGTTCCAGCCTTTTAGTTTGAGCCAGCTCAGACTTCTTATCCAAAAGGCGCAGCTTAATGAAGTTGCTGACTACTTTTGACGTGCTTGAGCGGCCCCATCCTTTGAGTCAGCTCGAAATCCTTACCCAAAGCGCGCAGCTTTATGAAGTCGCTGTCTACTTTTGACCTGCTTGAAAGGTCTGACCCTTTGAGCCAGCTCAGGCGCCTGATCCAAAAAGCGCGCAGGTGCTAACTTGCTCAGCGTGTAGCTGCTGGGTGCTTGCCTCTGTTTGCGTTTCTTTGTTTGCATGTGGGTCCTTTTTGTAGCACATACGCAGACGCAGCGGATTTTCTTCATGAGATGACTGGCCCCAGGCTGAGGCGCTTCGCTCTTCGTTTTTTGTCCATGCAGCGCAGTCCTTGGCTTGTGCTGTTGGTTCAGGGTTTTGAGGCACTGCCGAAAGCCTTAGCAGGAGCAGAATCGCGGGAAAGTTGTACTCAAAAACGCGGCATTTTTACGGCGCGAGATGTATACATCTAGCCCGTACATCTTTCCCATGATTTCCGTAGATCTCAAAAAAGTGGAATGTTGGAAACCTACTATGAATCGCCCCGGTGTAAGTACATCCCAAGAGTACATCTTTCCCGTGATTTACGTATAAGATATATATCTCGAGATATATATCTCAGACGTATACATCTCACCCGTACATCTTTGCCATGATTTGCGTACATCTCAAGCCGTAAATTCACTCCTGTTTAGCATTCAAAATAAGTTTTGGTTTATAATATAGATAATTATAGTATCACGTCGAGATCCTTAAGCAAACGCACGAGGTAAGGGAAACTCACGAATTGAAGGCCATACTAAACAAAAAAGGCGACGAGCCATCCAAACCAAGACGCGGAGCGCGACCCCGCTCCAACCAGCTCCTCCCATGATATCCACTCTTGAAGCCCAGGCCGCACTTTCGCGCCACTTTTGCCAGCATCATACACATACGACGGCACTATACCTGTTTCAGTGCACGGACTAGCAGAATTATGGGCGGAATGAGGTTGGTAAGTGAATGTGAGCGCGTCCTTTGGGACCAGACGACCACACGAGGCGAGCGACAGGCCCGCCCTTGGTTCTTTTTGCGATTGCGACGCGTGAAAAGAGAAACTACGACCGACAGGGAACGAGACGAGAAGACCGCGGAGTTTGTACGTAGGCCTTCACTTTGAGGCCGGTGGAACAAGCGCAGCGGCGGGGCCTATCTGTTCCCGGGAGTTATTTCGTCGCCTGGTTTGGTTGGTACTTAATCAACCACACGACACAAGGACAGGGGCTGACTTATTCAGTTGACGCATCTGGCCCAAGGCCTAAAGTACAAGGCTGAACGCCGTGAGGATGGTGGGCATTGTGGTGCCCTTCGCTGTCTTGCAAGTCATCAGAACGAGAGAGCCCCCGCACCTGTTTGTGCCGCGCACATGCGCCGCGACGTCCGCCGTGAGCTTGTCATCGGGGCGGAGCGCGAACGGCGGTAGCTGCGGGGGGTGTGTGCGTCCTTAGAGGTCAAGACTGAGAGCGCACTGCCGGCGACATGGTTCGCGCGATATTGTGCTCCGCCGTCTTTAGTGCGCCGCCAGTGGTCACGCCGCTGGAGGGGGCGGGCATGAATCCAAAGACCGAAAACCTGAGCGGCCCACCATCTTCCCTTAAAACTTGCACGGGGGAAGACTTGCACGCCTCGCGAGAATTCTAGCGCACCAAGCGTCCCCCTTGTTGGGGGCGCTGGAGATGCGCTGCGGCTCCATCTTGTCCGCAGCCTGATAGTGCGCGACAGCCTTCCTACAATCCGGCAAAGCACTGCATGGCCCAGCACTAGAAGAAGCGCAAGCATTGACGCGAACCGTATTCACGAGACGTTTACAAAGCTCCTTCTAATGCTGCGCCATACTATGAAAGTCCGCGGCAGGCTGGATTGCGCAGCCGATAGCAAATGTGGCCGCGTTCTCATCCCGAAGAGTTGCCCGCCTGCCCGGGCTGGGGATCCCCAGCACGGTGGCCACTGGTGCGACAGCGGCCGCGGCCGCGCCAGTGGTCAAAGCGAGGCGGAGACCGTCCGCGGCCTCACCTGTAGCAACCGCGTGCGCGGTGCTGTCGCTGCCCACGCCCTACCAAGTGGCGACCGTGGTGACGGGGGCGCACAATGACGCCGCAGCTCCCAGCGGATTCCAAATGCTCGCAGAATGGGCACCTAAACCTGCCCGAGGCGATCGCACGATGGAATGCGCCCACAAACACACAAGCGGACCCCGCTTTCTGCGTTCGCGTCTGCCCGGGGCCGTCCACGTATTTTCTCGAGGCTCGAGCGCAGATCTTTGGAGGCGCGCCACTTTCCATCTGCTGCCAAAACTCTGCAGCCGGTCAGATAGAGGCTGGCGCAGCATTATCTAACATCACGTAGTGTAAATACACTTGTCTGTGCGCTCGTCGTAGTTGTCGATTCCCCCACAGCAACGCTTGCGGTCTGCCAGAACTGAGATATTCGAACAGATTCCGAAACGAAAGTCTCCAAACCAGTCCGCACCGCTGCTTATGTAGGCACCATTGAGCGCAACGCAAAACCCGAGCAAGACTGTGTAGATCCAGGGATAGAGAGTTTTGAAAGACTTGAACAGCCGTTGCCGTTCTAAAAGCCCCTCCGAGCAGGAGGGAAAGTTCTCAACTGCGAAGGGTCCGTCTTGGGCTGCGCCATCACTGCGATCCTCGTCATTCAGCCTCGGCGTCCCTCCACGACTCTCCGCTCTCGAAGTCAACACTGGATCGCCCCTCGTCGGTTCCGTTGAGCTCGCAGCTCCACCTTCACCGCCCTCGGAGAGACGTGCACTCGGTGCAGCGGGACTGCTGGAAGCTTTTGTTTTGTCCACGTTGTCAAAGTTAGACGTGAAAATATGATGCCAAAAATCTGACATCCTGTTGTGGGTGCATGTTCATCATCAAGTCTATCTAACATTATGAGAATAATCGTGTGATCTCCAACATCTCCTTCCATTTCCTACGCTCGGCTCAGTTCATGTGGATGTGAGTCCTCAGATAGAATTGCTAAATGGTGGTAGTGGAGAATGAGGTGCTGTACTAAGTAAACCCAGCAGCCTTAATGTCATTGGACGGACTGCTGCCCATCAATTGCGCCCTCACGGTTCGGCCGCCCAATTCGTGAACGATATCCTTAGAGCTCACGATCATTCACCTCTAAAGCCATCTCCTTGGATTCTCATCGGAAAACAAAAGATATACCATTTGAAGATGGTCATCGTCAACGCGTCGCAAGTAGTTCTCCTAAACCAGTAAGACGAAACACATTCAACAACGACCTTAGGCCCTAATATCAGCTTTCCAGGCCTCTGCGTACTCGTGTGCCTCCTCATCACTGTCGAACTCCGACCCATCAAAATGATTCTCCAACAGAACGTGTTCATCCGTCTTACGTCCAGTTCTGAAGAACCGTCTCGTTCTCGAGCCTCCCGGTCGTCGTTTTCGAGCCTCCCGGTCACGTCGGTTCGTACTGCGACCCTGCGGGTTCAGGCCCGACATAATTGCTCGATATTAAAGTTGTCAGGTTTGATGTTGTAGAGGAGACTCTATTATTATCGCCCCAGAAGACCAGCAGCAGCGCACGGAGATGAGGAGATCAACCAAGTCCGAGGAGATCAACCAAGCCTGAAACAAAAGTAGCCGATCGAAACCACGGCTGCAGTTCAAACTCCACAAGCCCCCACCGCAAGTCCAATCTCCACAATTTGAAGCAAGACAGGCTACAGCTCAATCTCTAAAATGGATTCCGGTGTTGTTTCGAGCAGAACATAAAGCAGCGCTACTTCGCAGAACGCGGCCCAACACTTCGCAACAGGTGTCTCCAGAGGCTTCCTCGGGTGGCAACTTCATATTTATGCTTTCCGACATGAGTACTTTTTCCATTCATTCATTCAATGTTTTGATTTTCCATATTCAATGTTTTGATTTTCCATATTTAATGTTTTGATTTTCTCTTGGAAAAATCTTCAGTATACGGTGCGTTTTTCACAGTGACGCCGCCCAATTACTTTCTCAAGATCTAGGTCTTCTCGATGGCGTAGGATAATTCCTAATTCTCGATTTCCCTGACGACTTCTAGCGTTACTATTATTATTATCATTATCATTATTATTCGCGCGCGTGACCCTCTCGTCTTGCACGTGTCGCGCTCGCGGCGCCCTTACCATCTGTCACTACGGACGGCGATGGAAGACTACTGTTATCATTCAAGTACTTCCTTACGCGTTCTTTCATGCGATCTATACCTGCAAGAGTGCGATCTTAGCTGCTCATTCTACGGTCGTAGCTAGTGCCACATTCTCGCCACATCAAATTCTTCACGAGTGGGTTCATTCGCAATGAATATGTACCTAGAAGTAGTCAGAGGGCCGCGTGAATAAGGAAAAATATATGACCGCCAGACATACCTAGGAAACTTTGGTTGTATATCCTCTGAACCCACGGCGGACCGGTGCATCTCGGATCTGATTTTCCACGACCACTGTTCCTTCATTATTTTACCATCTTCTAGATGTACAACTAATACTGACAAATTTTCTAATGCGAGGGGATAAAAAAGAAAAGCATCGAAACAACAGAAAAATAGGGAATACTTGTAATATGTTTTTCAACAGATTTAAGTTCTATCTTGAGGAAACGACGGCAAGATGCGAGTTACCACATCAACTGCGGACGCCGTAACCCTCTAAGAGTCGAAAAAGCACGATCAACGACCAGAAGAGTCGAGCTCAGTCCTCTTTCTTTGCCTTTCCCCTTGCATTGAGGACCATATCAGCTTCAATCCTCTGCTAAGCTAACGGAGTGTGTGGGAGACACATCACAGCGGATAGTGCAGGGGAAGAAGTTGCAAAGGGGGGCTTTCCTCATCTTAAATGCTTGGTATGTATTCTGTGACACTTTCTTCAATTTGTTCTTTTAGTCATTTTTTGTGCTTTGTTTTTAACGACCTAAAGTCCTGACTTTTTAGCTTTGAACTTAGCTTTTCTTCTTTCTTACTTTTCTTCGTTTTTACACAAAGTTCTTTAGGATTAAGACTTTTCCTTATCTCTTTCTTCACTTATAAATCCACCTCCATCCATCAGCTTCCAGTAAAGAATGCCGTAATCATGCTACTAAACAGGTCCGAGATTCGAACGTTTTAGAAAGTGACCACGGCCATTTTCAGGAAAATTGCAGTGGACTCTTATTTTTACAGCACAGGAAAATGATGATCCTACCAGGACTCCTGGAGGACAACGAGATCAAGGACAGTATTGAACAAGGGAACCTTTTCTAACTTCATTCGATGAAAGTACCTGAAGCAGCTTGGTCAGATGAGCAAAAAAAGGAGACCACGTGCAGGAAATGTAAAAAGTGGACGAGTGAGTACTTACAACGAAGAGAAACAGACGCTGCACTCGAGATCAAAGAGAGTAGATCTCATGCGAAGGCATGAGAAAAAGCGCAAAGGGAGCAAAAAGGAAGAAAAACGCAACTTGCAACCAGCATCAACTAGACCCCTGACCTCTTGCCGGGCACGTCAGTCAGTCAGTCAGTCAATCAACTATATGCGGCCGTCTAACGAGCGGCGGTGCTGGATAACAGAGGAACAGACAGACACAGGGCCAACTCTGGACTGTGCAGGCACCTCTACGTCTGTGGAAGATATGAAATGAGGGATAATATTTCTACCTTCTCAGATCGGATCACTCATCCACTGAAATATTCAGGTGTCGGAGCTCGTGTCGGACTCTGCTTTTTTCTGTAATCTAGAACTGCTGAAAGAATGGCCTTATCCATCCTCCATAAGTCAAAACGCAGCTCTTACATTAATTCTCGGGTCAAGCGACCCGAGAATTGTAAGTACATAGAAGCTATGATGTGTACTGGTGCTCTACTTTTTTTACAGACGAAGCAAGGTATAAGGCAAGGCAATCCCAACCTTTGAGCTCAACGCACTTGCTGGTGAGTCCCCATTGACTCCTGCACTTCAGCATTATGGAAAAACCAACTTAGTCAAGAGTTTCGGTAACGACATTTCAATGCCGAAAGCCTATAGAACTCACGACAGCTGCACATTAGGCGAGTACTAAGCACTTATATACTGCCACCTCTTCATCATGCTGCTTGATTGATGTTTCGTGTTCCTTGGTCGATGCTTCTGTAGTCAGGAGGTCACTGAAATGCCATGTTTACTCTCGAACGACCTGCCATACTCAGAACAAAGTAATGCTTTCCGCTAGAAACCAAAGCCAGATTGCACTACGTCTGATTGTGGCGCAACCAAGGTCGTTGTACTACGGGTGCATCTACGAATGATTAAAGGTAGCAAGAACAACAACAACAACAGAGGTTATTGCCTTCTATAAATGATCGAATGGGCATGAGCATCTTTACCACCCGCAGCTTACGCGTTTCCCTAGGCTTCACGTCCATGCGTGTCCCTGTCCTAGGCGTGTCCCCGGGAGACGCGAGGCCTAGAGAAAGCAGGCATTTCACAAACGCAAAGATTTAAAAGCAAAACAATAGTGAAGTGAGCAGAAGGCTCTGTTCCCCTAATGAGCGCTGAAGCTGAAAACAAGATGCGAAAACAAGATGCGAGATCAGTTAAACTAGGCCTCACGTCTCCCTAGGCCTCACGCCTCCCCAGACGGCACGAGTCTGATTATACATAACTGAATAAAGGGTATTGAGTTTACACAAAAAAAAACGCGAAATGGCTCATCATGATGATAAAGGTGGGGCAGAAGCCGGAGTCTACCAATATCGCGGCGAAGTAATTAAAGTAACATCGACAAGAAGATTACTAACTTCTCGCGAGGAGCGCGACTCACCCTAGATTTCGATTTTAGATTTAGGGGGGTTCCCTGCTGAGTACGTGAGTCTATTCTTTCTGCGTTAGTAATTGAAGTATATCTTAGGTCTTTTCAGCCTAATCACGACATCAATCCACTGGAAGAATATCGCGTGACGCGCGCACCCAGCACAGGATTCCTTTGTGAATGGAAGAACATTTGTACCGAAGAACTATGGGTTGTTTCAATCAATAAACTGTATGCGGCCGTCTAACGAGCCATCAATCAAGTTCGGGCTCCACTTGTCTCCTCCCTGTTTCGCTTAGAGTCGCGCCAACTAAAAAGAGAAAAATACACAAGCGAAAATCTGAACATGATTCAACAAAACATCATACAGCACTAAGACACTTTTAAAGAAGGAGCAAAAGACCACGAAACAAGGGGAAGATTCCTAGGGTTTCTCATTACATACTGAATGGCAAGTATTCACTTCAATTCGGTACAAAAAATAATGATGGTCGATGGCGGGATTATAGTCAGGTATACCTTCGAGTCTCTGCTCATAGGAGTTCCTACTTTCTGACCTCGCACCCAGGCGTCGCAGATGCGCTCAAACCATATCATGCCACAGCTGTATTATCTTCGATATTTTTGTAGTACCTCTACTGTAGAAGGGAGTCTATCTTACCAATCGGACTACGTAGTGGAAAGACCACATGGTGCAGTCCCACATGCGGTTTCATTACCGATGCATTCGTTTTCCAAATCTTCACCCATAGAAATTCTAACAAGAAACGACCTTAATAACCGTGAAAATACTATATTTTACAGTAAGATAAGTCTTAATCTGATAAAAGCTAGATAGAGTTTAGAAGAACTCAAAAAAGTTCAGCTTCAACTTCAACATCCTAAGACAGCTGATAGAGTCTCCGATGTGACCTAGCAAATCACGTTCGAGACCAGACAGACTCCAAAAGAACCAGATTCCGTTTCAGACCAGACTCAAAACATCACCCGCTCTTCAGCGGTTTAGCAGGCGCTTCCTTTTTTTGACTGGATCCAGTTTCTGCAGTACTATTAGAGCCCAACATAATCCATCCTGAGGGCCACGCTGTGAGCTTTTTCCCCTTGAAAACGTCTCCTGTAGGATCACGTCTCTGAAGATGGACGCCTTGATGATTTGAATCTACTCGGCAAAATCATGCCTAAAATTTCCTTAAGGGCAAGCCTTAATAACATTAGTGTGTTTTCTTGCAATCTGCGGATCATGAGGCATTTGTCTAGCGGGCAGTTCGCTCTGGGGCTGCATCCTCTGCGTCTGACGTTCCTCCTCTGCCAGTCTCTCAGCCATCCATCGAAACCGCAGCCTCGTTTCCTCCTATCTTAGAAGATAGGACAGGACAGTACATAGCATACTAGAATAGTGGACTTACTGTTCTTCCTATTTCAGAAGATAGGACAGGAAGATACATATTGGGATAGAATGTAAGATCGAATTATAGCGTACGATAGTATGTGTAGAATATCATAGGACAACATAAGATAGGATGAGATCGAAGGACACGTGCTCAATTTCCACAATCTTCTAGCCCTTCGCTCTATTCCAGATAGAAGCTAATAGAAGTACTTATATCATAATCGTAGACTTTCCTTACGCGCAAGCTTGCGTGCATGATTCTCGATCACCTTACGGAGCAGTCTTTGAACCAGAACCTTAGTAGCATCCACATCTATCAGCGCCTGCGTCGAATCAGACAGGGACTTAGAGGTTCATTTCAGTAAAAACATTCTCTGGCGCAACTAGAAAAAAGGCGACATTTCAGAATGGGAGAATGGAAGAACTTGATCTTGGTACTTATAAAGTGTAGATCCTTAAAAACAGGAGATGTGGATGCCGCGGTTTCTTGGTCAGGGCTATTGCCGTTTGTTGGACCTTTTACAGGTACTACAGGCCGCCCATTCTCATCATGTAACGCGCTGTATTTCGGGACGCGGCCAAAATGAATAACACGAGAACAACCAGCATTCTTGTTGTAGGACCGCTGCTGTTCTCTCAGTAATGTAGTTGGTCCAGTATGATCTGAATCTGCGGCAACTAGCATCACTTCTTCTTGCGGGCAATCTTCTTCATTAGAAAAAGCCTCGACAGACGAGCAGTCCTTCGTCCATCCGTTTCCAAAAGCTGAAGCTTCTTCAACGGATGTTAGAAATAACGGAAATCCACCTGCGGCAGCGTCTTGGGTCCCGTTTCCCCGTTAAAAACGGGACCAAGATGCCGGTGAAGGTGGATTTATTGTAGCCTT